ATATCTTCTATTCATATTAAATATATTGTTCTTTCTCTAGCCTAACCTTGTTCTACATCACGTATTGGTAATTGATACGATACAGTGAGTTGGTGTAGTCGATGGTGTGACTTCCACGTAAGATCTTATAGATTAGGCAGTTATATCATGACAATTCTAAAAATTTAAAATTAGGTCTATTATTAGAGCAGCACTAATATCATAGTAGATCATAATTCTACAGTACCAACAAAACTGCCCAGATTGTCTGGACATTTGTGACCTGTTTTGTGACTTGGATCGTGGTCGTTGTGGTGACCTGCTCCTGTTTCTATGACCCATTTGCATTCTAGTGACAGCCTCAGTGAGACTATTAACACTCGCAATGAGTCCTTCTATGACGGGGTCTTTTGCTGATTCTACTTTTTGTGTGTGATTTATTGTGCCTGATCCAGTTGGAGGACCTCTTTCCATTATTCTGTCGGCTATAAGCGCTACATGAGATAATGAGGTTTCAGGATCTTGTGCATCCAAACAGTGTTGGGCGTAGCATAAGCGAGCTTGTATCCATCCTTCTTTTAGGACTGCTTCACCCACTGTTATCACCCACTAAGACTTGGAGGTGCCGTAAAATCTGTGACGGCGACCTATCACCTAGTGTTTCTCCTTGGACAAGTCTTTGGATTCTTTGACTGTCTGATAATGATAAACGGTTCATTATCTCTCGTCTTAAGATGGTGTATGGTTGTGGTGATGGTAGACTTGAAATCAAGTCACGGACTTCTTTGGCGACTGAAGGGGGGAGGATAGAACACAAGTCTCTATGGCGAATCCCTTCAGATTCGATATTGTGTCTCGTGAAATAATGCTTTAGTGGAGCAAACCACAACTCAGGACCACTACGATCAAAGTCTGGAAGTAAGGATTTCGTAGTCATAAAAGTGTCTGTCTCCACTGGTGACAAATCCTCCAGATTATGGGTTTCCATTGAGTCTGACATGAAGTATGTGACAAATATAGCAATAAAATTAGCACGAAAAATGGTTACTATAACGCGAATAACTTAAGATAGTAAAAAATCAACTATTAATATACCCAACTTAGTTTACGGATAATTAGGTCTACTTTTACGATTGAGTAAAACAAATAATATTAATAACAGAAATCAGGTTAAATTTATGTTCAAAAGGGCTTACCAGTTTCATGCCTTAAGGTAACCCTCGTGCTTTTGATAGAAGAAACCAGACAAGTAGTGAATAGGTCCTTATTTCGATCTTTGCGCAGTCACAGTGGAGCGTGGCGTTATTTGTTCAGACAAACAAAGCCTCTCAACATTCAAAATAAGATAATAGGAAATATAAAGCCTATGGAAAATGAGGAAGTGAATGAATACTTGACTTATACTGTTTTGGCATGTGCTTGGTTGTTTGACGTCAACTCTTAACCAATCAACCTATGCTGTTACAAACGCTTGAGCCTCACCAAAGTCGTCCTCCATTAATGATGCGGCAGTATTGTCTCCCCATAGTGCAGGAATATTTCCTCTGTGATATAGATTGTTTTCCCACTCTAACCACTCAGATTCATGTTTCCAATATTATGCTGGATTAGCTATTCTACTAAGACAACCTATAACATGCTAACTCGGATTTTTACACTAGGATTGCGTGGTTGGCATCAGATAGATAAAAAGAGGAAAAAAATCAGACGACAAAAGATATAGTCATTAGTATTCTTAACACTTCACCCTCTATATACACTCCCTTCTAATAAACCGCTTTCCTTGTACCAGCCTCTGACTTCCCTTACTCCATGTGAGCTTACTCCAAGTTGTTAAACGACACAACTCATTGTTCTTTATTACTACATTCTCTAATATGGAGCCTCTGACTTCATTTCACTCTAACGAGAGATAATATGAATTTAATCTAATTTATTATACCTCTGTCTGTTATACTGCACAATGTTAAGCAACGTTTGTCGTTCATATCCAAGTGCCTCGCTGCTCTTCTGTTCCTCTTTTTTCTTCTTCAGAATCGTGCTCTGAGGGCACAGCTATGAAAATTCTGACGTCTGGAACAAACATGACGTACGTGTCCCCTCAAGGTCATAGTTTACAGCAAGCGCTCTACGAGTATATTTTATAACGAACACAAACTTAATAAGTTGGGAAGTACTTCGTGAACCAACAAATGTTGTGATTTATGGATCATGCCTGTTAAAATGGCGTGTACCTGCACATGCAGAAATATATATATTATTATTGTCCTTTGGTTTATATGGGAATATAAGCGTTTAGGACATTCTATAGATTCCTTAGCAATTTTTTCTTCCTACAACTTTCTAGACTTCCGGGGTTCGAGGCAAAGGTATTCCGAGCTTTTCGGTACTGAGATTTTGTCTCATAAGTCCCCAATAACTTAAATCTATCCCACATTTTCCTTCTCTTACGGAGAAGAATGAGAACCTCCCTACTGAACCATGCTGGAGAGTTTCTCAGCCCTCTTGGTGTAGTCCAAGGGATGTGGCGTGCGGTTACCTTCAAGTATAAATTTCGAAATGCGTCCCAGGCCGTTTCAATTGAAGACTCTGGGTCGATTGTCCAATCTACTGACGATGCTGAGTGCATGGTATCTTGGATGTTTGCTTTCCAGACGTTAGTTCTGGACTGAGCTAACGCGTGCTCGTGATTGACAGTTATATGGAAGTCAGAAGTTAAAACTGCGTGATCACTTTTACCTAGGGGTGGCATGTAATGGAGGTTCTCAACATCATCCTCATAGTGAGTCAATATAAGACCTAGTAAGGATGATTCAGTGTCCGGGTCGTACCTAGTCGCTTATTTCGCATGTTGCACTAGGGCACATGTGATAACCGCATCAACTAGTTCCCGCTCGAAGGAATTTCCTGACGATTCAGTTCGCAGATTTTCCTAGTCTACCATAGATGCATCAAAGTCCCCTAGGATTAGACATCGACTACTTTGTGACCACGTATTGAGACTGATTAACAGGACTTCATTTACCTCACAGCTTGGACTGCGATAGACCAAACCAATCAGCAGCTCTTGTCCCTTGCATTTCAATCGGCAACTAACTAATTCAAACGCCCCACTCTCATGCGATACACCTTTGATAGTGGCAAATGGGATAGCATTTCTAATGAATAGAGCTACCCCCCTCCTTTATGCTTTTGTGTTATGTCGGCCCTTACTAACATAACACCCTCGAAATCATGTTCCATACTATCTATAGACTGTGTCCTCCAGGTTCCTGTGACTGCGATTGTGTCTGGCTTTGTAAGGTCAATTTGTACACCTAGTAAGCTTCGGCATTAGTGTAACAGGTCCGAAGCATATTTAAGTGGCTTCGTCCTTCACTCAGAGTATCTTCGGCATCATCTTCTTTTGAAGCCTCACAATCTGAAAATTTACGGATAAAAACTCCTGAACCCTTTAATTTATGTCCATTCTGTAAAATTAGGTCGCGTTCGTTCGAAGACTTGAATAATACTTTAAGCAGTTTGGATCGATTTGGTTTCAAGTTCGCTAGACTCCCTAGTCTGTACACCTTTAGCAAGGTGACCCCGGTGATATTTTGAGGCATGAGTTGATATGACAGATGTTTAATCAGCACAATGTCATGCTCAAAACGAGCTTTTGGTTCACAGCTTTCACTCTCATTGATTTTATGAAAAATAACTGGTCTGTCACTGTGGCCAGCCTTCAATTTCTCGACTACTTTTACGGGGGCAGGATTCGCTTTTATATCATTATGTTGTTTTTTCCTTACAACCTGTACCACTCATCAACGTTGCTATGAGAGGCAACCACAGTTGCGCCAAACATACTGTGGGATTCCGGAGAGTTGTCGACGATTTGGGAGGTAAGGCTATGTTTCCCGCTAGAAATCGATTGAGCGTTTTCTTCTGGATACCATTTAGAAGACGGGGACAGAAAAACTTCTTTTCTTGAGATTTTGGTTAAGACAGACCTATTTGAAGACTGTTTTTCCTCCTTTGGTCGGTGTGAGTCACCTGTTTCAAACTCACCTGAGTTTACTTCACACCAATTTGCGTGTTGACAGATCGAGTACTATTATATGTATATCGATCCACGCTTGCCAAAGCACTTTTTTACAGAATTTACCAGTGAGATGGCCTCCGTTAGCAAGCTGTTCGCATCCGAACAGCACTGTTGACAAAGCCATACGCAACCGTTTCTACTGAACCGTTTGAAAGCCGCAGGCGTTAAATTCGTACAAACTTCATGGTACCAGCCTTTGCACTCATCGCACTGCATACCGCTTTCGACGGGATAACGACAGCTCGGACATTGTTATTTTTGCACTGTCCAGTAATTTATACAGAGGTGCTTTTTTAAAAAAAGAAGTAGATGCAATAATACTCAGAGACAAAAATGATCTATGACCAAAAAAGTGGAAAACTGCAGATTGTTAGAACCAAAAGTACTAACAGATACAGTAGAAAACAAAGTACGACAAACTACTTTAGAAACAGAAACGATACTCTAATCGAATAGTTTAACTGAAATAAATTCAGCTGAAGTGAAAACAGTAGTCTTGATACGTAATAAACTATCAAAATGATAGAATATACTCAGAGAGGAAGAATACCACTGTTCTTTTACTTAGCGCGCGTGATTTTTTGCAAGTCAAGTCAGAGTAGTTCTTCCCGTTCATGGAGCGTGCGGTCTTTTTAGTTTACCTTAAACTTCCTCTCCTTTTCTAAGGGTTTTTCAGATTCGTAATCCTACACCTGAAGGACTAGGCTGTCTATAACCATTGTAAATAATAAGTTGTGAATCTGAATCTGAATCTAATTTCAACCCATAAGCTTGGAAGTGATTAGGTTCCAAATGACTGATAAACTATGCTAAAACATCCAGCTATTTTTCAACGACATATCTGTACACATTACTGTGATTGTAAATAATCATAGTACACATGTGATTTGGAACAATATCCTCGTTTTAATTTTTTGACTTGGATCTTAAGGTCAGTAGTAACACATGGCGGGATCGTACTGGTCTTCTTAATCGTTTGTTGTACATGTTAGACATACATCAAGTTCTTGAATACTACCTGACGGATTTTTTTGTATCGACACGTTATTGTAATGCCACAACACCGGAAACAAATGAACGACAATTGTAACGTTTTGAACCAGCCACTTCCCCGTGTAATTCACAGACCAATCCCAATTACTGCATCATCTGTCGTACTTTCACCTTTCGAACTAGTCACTCCTAGAATGCCTGTACGAGCTGTGGCCGATCCACCGGAAGTGGTCCCGTCTGGTCACTGGTTTCACGGAAATATTAGTCGGGAGGACACTGAGAGACTTCTGAAACATCATTCACAAAATGGGACTTTTCTTATAAGATTCAGCATATCGACTCACAAGTATGTTCTGAGCGTCATTTACAATCAGCAGCTGTACCACTATCCGATAGAAGAATTGTCAGATGGATTTTATCAGGTACTTGTTGAATTTCAAAACGTTTTTTATTCTAAGTTTTCATAAGGCAACGAGTCATACTTTTATTTATGATTACTTCTGTCCGTACTGTTTTATGATGGTGTATATTGTTCATTTTGTTCTCACTAAAAAACAGTGATATTAAAATTGTAGACTAGTTAGTTCCTTTCGTCTGGTTACGACATCAGTGTTGGGATTATACTGTATAACGACGTCCTAATAACTTTATTAACTTTGCGTTACTCTCTAAAACGCTCGTCTGGGTTTTATTTTGTTTTTCAGGTCAATGGAACAAATGCTAAATATTTGGGCATTGACTTACTTGTATCAGAGTTCAGGCGTGCAAATAACTGCATAGTTTGCTCATTAGGGAAGCCTGCTCCAGGTCTCCGGCCGCCTCCACATATTACTGTTTATGGAGTAACCAATGACTTGCATCATGCTGTAAGGAAAGCAAATCTTAAGGTTAGTTAATTATTATATAAATCGATACCAGTCCTCTCCCTATCTACTAAACATGCCTATTTGGTAGTAGTCAGTGTTAAGACAAGTATTCAACCAAACATATTTCTAAAGCTTTGTTTATATGTCGTGAAGTCATGGGACTGAAAGTTAAATATTAAGTGTGGTGATTTTTGAAAGTGAACCAATTGATTAGTTTATAAACTCATATTGACCGACAATTGAGAACGTTTTATGCACTCACGTTTACCATCGGTAGACTATTTCCACTGGAATCTACTGAGAATCCAAAAGGTTTTAAGATGGCCAAACCGAAATATTGAGCTAATCTATGGAGCCAAGCTGCCTTTCGATCCCACAGGAGGAATCTTATGTTTCATGATAGAGGTCCTCTGAACGAGAATAACTAGTGAATTTTTACTTGACACGAATCTTGTTTTGGTGATACCATTGCTTTTATTATCTAGCTGTTAGCTTTAAATAGATTATTGTGCTTGATATTTTTATTGTTGAAGCCTATAGTACGTAAACTACTGGAATAACTCATGGTCGGTGAGATGTGCATAAACCGACCGACATTTATTTGCTTATCGAGCTATATATATATATATATATATATATATATATATATATATATATATATATATATATATATAATTGAGGGTCGAGGCAAAAGTCACTGGACATCAAATTAAATGGAAATTTTGACCATGTTACAACCTGTCTTTTCTTACTTTCCGTGATCACTCATTATTACTATCGTGAGGTAAGATGAGCAACACAAATTTCCATGCTAGTCCTTACTTTTTATGTTTAAGTTGTTTTCATAAAAGGCTTATGCCGCAATCAGTAACTCGTTGTCTTGTCACAAATCTCATTTAAAACAGTTCTCTTAATCAAGATTACTGTGACTATGTGTGAAGCTTTTTTGTCTACGTTTGTGTTTGCAAGGGTGTTCGTGACCTCTTTACACGTGTCAACTCAATGGAAGTAACAAGTTTATCGGATTATGTGAACGAAAAATCAGCTGACAGTGGTGCTACTCCATTAATCGAAGCTGCTAAAACAGGCTCCAATGATATTGTCCGGGTAAGTATAACTTACAAATTGTAGTTTTGTCATATTAGTTACCCGTAATTCGATTGTTTCTCATGCAATTTTTTATAATGTTTTATGTAATAATAGTGATTGTACCCGGTAAACTGTTAGACTTATGCTTACCACATGCATCGATATTGATAGTCATTAATGCATTTTATAACTAATATTTATTATATCACTATTTCGCAAAGCGAATAGTTGGCCATCCTACCATATTGCAGTCTTTGGACATTTTCGGGTTTTTTTCGAACTAATGCTTTCCTGGGACTTATTTATTAGAAAAAATATATGACGAACGAACATGCTAGTAAGTACAGTGAATTAAAATTATAAAAGTTGTGACAAACGTTCCTTTCTTTTAACTCGACTTTCGTCGAATTCTCAGGAAATGGAGCAGTAGACGCAGTTCATTATTCGGTGTACACTCAAGCTTGCTTTTCGTGCTCAATTTATCTATTATTTTGTAGATAATTACTTCTTATACATCACTGTGCCTGTTAAGCAAGTTCTATTTAATGTACATTTTTGTTCAATTAGCTTTTATTAGAGCACAATGCGTCTGTAAATTTAAGAGATTGCGGTGGATTCACAGCACTTCATCGTGCATGTCAAAAAAGTTTTGCACATGTTGCTGAAACCCTTCTAAGAGTCGGCCGTGCTAATCCTCAGATCAAATGCCCATTTTCTGGAAATACTGCACTTCATGAAGCTGCTATGTTAGGTCATGCCGATTGTGTAAACTGTCTCCTACGTTACCATGCTGCTCCATGGGCAAGAAATGCTGAGGCTGAGATGCCTTTTGAATTAGCTCTGCGCTATGGATTTGCTGACTTAGCTGCTGCTCTGGCCGGTTACAAACCTGCTCCAGCAATTACAATGCAGGTAAATTGTATTTTCACCCTTTTGTGAAAATTATTTTTGTCCTTATATATTAGTTATTGGTCGATATTATTACTAAGAAGCAAATTATTTAATTCGTCATACTAGTACTGTTGGAAACATTAAATTAATTGTTGGTTATGTTTTCAATTGTAGCTCTATTCAAAACAGTGTAGTGTAATATCCGCTACATAGCTAATTTTGTATGTACTTGTCGATGTCAAAGCTTTACCTGTTTAGTTACCGATTTACATTAACTGAGGATTATACAGTTGTTATTGGTTAGTAAGGATTGTCCGTAGGTATGGTATGTGCTTTGCACCTTCGAAGTGCAAAGCACTTATATAAGACTGGCAGGATTCTAATCCTGTACTCACCCTGGATGGTGAGCAGATAGACGTAGTCGAGAAGTTCGTGTATCTGAGTAGCTGCATAAGTGCTGGTTGTGGCGTGAGTGATGAGATCAATGCACGAATAGTGAAAGCCAGAGCGGCTTATGCCAATCTGGGCCATCTTTGGCGCCTTCGTGACGTCAGTCTGGCTGTAAAAGGTCGGATCTACAACGCGTCGTTGATAGCAGTTTTGCTCTATGCTTGTGAAAACTGGACTCTCCGAGTTGAGGATGTTAGACGACTCACTGTGTTTGATCATCGTTGTCTCCGAAGGATTGCTGATATCCAGTGGCAACACCATGTTAGTAGTAATGCAGAGATTCGGCATCGTGTGTTCGGGCACAGAGATGATAATTCAATTGGTGTCACCATCTTGAAACACTGACTTTGTTGGCTTGAACATGTTCTACGAATGTCGTCCTAGAGAATTCCACGTCGTGCATTAATTGCCGACTCTGGGACTGGTTGGAAGAAGCGGAGAGGTGGTCAGTGCATGATATGGTGTCGTGGTATGAAAGAAAGCTTCAAAGGACTGGCTTGTGTTGGTTCTTCACGACTCCCTGGCTGGGGTCCGAGAGATGGTGCGACAGAGTGGCTAGAGACGTTATCAGATATGGCTCAGAATAGGAGCCGGTAGCGATCCTGCCACTATGTAGCATTATGCACGACAAAAGTGGTTATCTTCTACAAAAGGGCTTTATCTTCTCTAGGAGGGGATAAATATTATTCAATGTGTCTGTATATGTAGTTGATACAAGACAGTAGACTGTATTAACGAAGTAAAGAGCAAAGTAAACATTAGTGTAACAATGAAAATGATTAGGGAGAGTATTGTTTATAAATTCATTCGGGACATTTACAAAAAAAATTAGAACTATTATAATTTAAATTGACTAAAGCACTAGGTAAGAAAGGACGAAAATCCTCTTATGACAATCAAACAGGAATCAGTCTGACTAATATAGTGTCTAAAATATAAGCCTATAATAATTCAACGCCTAACTAGAGCTCGTGAAAATCAGGCTGATTTCAGCGATGGACGTGGATGTATAGACGCCTTAACCACTCAGCGATCGCCTAAGAAGTTAATTACCAAACCAGAACACACGATTTTGAGATATTTCTAGCAAAAGATAGTGGCTAACAGTGGAATCCAAGAAGTTCAGTTAATTCTATTATAATCATGTCATGACCCTTTCAATTAGATTATTGTTGGTCTTTAAGATGCTGTTTGTTCAGCTTATATCTTAATGAATTGTTACTGCAAAAACTAGAGATAATGTATCTCACGGTAATGATACTGAGGTGTTCTATCAAAAAATCTAACCATGAATTTATTACTCCTTGTTTTGTAAAACATAAGTAAGGTTTAAATTATTTGAAGTAGTTGCAATGACACCCTAACAATCAGTGATGACTGTCTGTGTGAATTTGCGTTTACTCCCATTTAAGTCCTCAAGTGATGATCAGCCAACGGCCATTTAGTAAATCATGCTAAAAGGAGTGTATCAATGAATTATGGAGCTGGCCAACACGATGATGGCTTTTTTCATGGGTTATCAACTACTAGCGGGGTATAGATTAGATTAGAGCATGTCCCTTGCAGGATTGTATTGAGGCACTCTGATTGACTATTCCTTAACCAATCAACTCTGGCGGACACTCTTAAGTCATCTTATGCAAACATTATAAATAAACTAACGTTTTTATCATTATGGTTCCTACTTCCATCCAACCTTGTTATTTGTAATATAATTACGTTCCTGTTCAACTGTGTTCTGATTAGGGAACTTGTCATGCGAAGTCGTATCCAAAGAATACTGAGCAATAAGAGTAGCTGGGTCGTAATAAGAGAAATCATAACAGTAACATTTTGAGGACTACCGATGTATGGCATACCCAACCGATGCACATTTGTGTCCGGTTCTGCGTTGCTTATGACTAACTAATCCCGGTTTCATGTTTAACTAAGGGTGCAATAATACTATCTTTGATCTCAGCACTTAGGAGGTGCTTCTTATAGGGGCGTTTGACAATTCAATGAGACGAAATTCTAGGTTGTTAAAATCAATGAATAGGATACTCATCGATAGATGAACACAATATCATATGGATGTGTGATGGCTGTTTACAAAAACGAATTATTGGCTTAAGCTTCTGGATGATCTGAAATCAAAAACAAGACCACTAGCCAAACAACTAGGTTTTTCCGTCTAGTAAAATAAAATGGTTGTACACAGAATGCGAACACCAAATACAGATAATAAAGTCCCATTGGTGATTAGTTTGTAGGCTACTCAGGTGAGACCATAATTCATGGACGACCTTTAAGTGACGCTCGAGTGACCTTGAGAATCTCCACCTACTAATCAGGACCAAATGAGGGTTATAAAGCAGTGTGAGGAACTCAATTTATAATTTGAGGCTGATGGTTAAAGTTAGGGACTAGATTTAGGGTTTTCATCACAATGTGACACCAGTTAAAATGCCAAAACGCTATTTAGCCAAATGGATGAATGCATTTCGCGTCTCTCTAGTATATCATGATTTTCTAAGTGGTGTGAATGGGAATATGCATATGAAAAGCGATTCGTTTTTTCCTTATCTACTCGTTATAACCTACGTGCAAGTGAATATTTCAGTGGAATAGTATCTAAGAATAAGAGGATTTCGATTGCTTGCTCATTACAACATGAATTGTTGAGTTGTCAGTAGACTGAAAAAGATGTTAATTTCCTCTTGCCACACTGATGTAAATTTTGGCAACTTTAACTAATATATATATATATATATATATATATATATATATATATGTTAAGTCCCATATTCTGTTTATAATTGACTGAATGAGGTCAAATTTATTAATAATGTACAGTTTGATGATTGAATTTTGATTGATTCATCATTATTAATGTAATGCATATAAGATAGTATGAATGATATACCCAATCACATATCATCTGTATACAGGTTGTTTTTCGCAGATCGGCACGTACATGAGTATTTTACGATTGATAACCGACTTCCTAAGCGTTAAAATCAATAATAACACTAATGTCAGGATGCCATCGTGTTATGATTTATGTTGGTAGTATTATTACTGGATGTATAAAAATAGAAAGTATGATTATATAACAGTTTACTTGTCGGAATGACATTATGATTTTTCTTTTCAGTGTGTAAAACTAAATTATATGCTGATTAGTATTATATGAAAGTTGGAATTTATCTTTAAAACAAAAATACCACCTCAGTAATCAAATTACAACTATTCGTAAACCAAACTTTCGATAATACGTCTATTAAACGAAAGATAACTACACTGTCTTGTTTAGTTGTAAGGAAATCGAAAATTACCTAGTTGGCTGTAACGTTAAATGTCGAAAAATTCACTGCTCAGATTAACTAAAATGTATCTCTGCAAATTTTATGTTACGTTATGGATGTATGTTATGGCTCAAAGAGACAGCCGATTATATGACAGTGACTTATCGATCGGACCAAGGATTCAGAATCTCGATAGTCTATTCTGGTCCGTTGTCCCCAACTCTGCTAACTCGATCAAGAAGTCTGGGTAAGGTGTAGAAAGTGTATTCTACAGACAAACAGCAGATAACCAGTCAGGCAGGCAGATCAGATCAAGCATACAAGTCAAGCGTATTTATACAAATATTTACAATCGATATTGTCATGGAAGATTTTTGAACATTAATCAACAATTGACTGCTATTTGAACATTTAATCGATAGTTCATCAATTGACCTATCTGCACATTTAATCGATAAGTAAATTACAAAATTTGAGTTTTGGGGATCTATCGTCCCCAACACTCCTCCCCTTTTTAGAAGATCCGGAGTTGATATCCGGATTTTAAGTTTTCCAGGTCCATCCTCCCTCACGAAACAGTGTTGGATCTTCATATGCCCACGTTATAATTAACTTGAATTTATTTAAGACATATTTATCGCACTGAACAGAGAATTGACTGAAAGTGACTAAGTCTTGAGGCTGAACAACACTTGATGTGAGGTTTTCGAAGTTTAATTCTTCTGAAATATTGTGACCAAATTTATTTGGAATCTTATTTGTAGATAATCGATCATCAAGGTAATTAGCATCTATCAAAATTGTATTAAGTTTTTGATCATCATTTGATGCATCTGACATATTTTCTGGTAAGAGAGAATCTTGATAATAAGATTTGTCAAAAACATTTGTCGCAGACTGATGAGAACCATTTGAAGCAGTTGTATTCAGTGTACTGCTCGATTTGTTTTCTGTTTCATGGGTGGTTATTGCGACAATTCTATGAGCATTTACCAGGGAGTGTGTTTGTGAGCTGGGTAAGTCACCGTCTGCACATGCTGTTTTAGGGATAATGGAGTTTGAGTCCATTACCGGGCATGTTTCTGGAATGGAGAGGACTGGACCACTGGGCGAATCTTGAGTGACTGCTGTACCGTTTGAAATACGGTTTATCGGGGATTCATTGGGGCTGCAAACATTTTCCAGCTCTGTGTGCAGTTGAGAGATCAATCCATCCACTTCCGTTGCATCTCCAAAGCATGAGTGATTTAACAGCTGCGTGCGTAATTTGACTAAAAACTCCAACTGTCTTTCAAATAGCAGCTGTACTCGATCGGAAGGGAGAGTCATTTTTTTTATTCAGCACCGGTAATGAAAATTACTGTTTGATTAATGACCAATGTTGCTGAAGGACACTGATGACAAATCTGGATGCTGAAGGCTGACTTTGGATTGTTTTTTTTTACCCCGTCGCCAATTGTTATGCTCAAAGAGACATTCGATTATATGACAGTGACTTATCGATCGGACCAAGGATTCAGAATCTCGATAGTCTATTCTGGTCCGTTGTCCCCAACTCTGCTAACTCGATCAAGAAGTCTGGGTAAGGTGTAGAAAGTGTATTCTACAGACAAACAGCAGATAACCAGTCAGGCAGGCAGATCAGATCAAGCATACAAGTCAAGCGTATTTATACAAATATTTACAATCGATATTGTCATGGAAGATTTTTGAACATTAATCAACAATTGACTGCTATTTGAACATTTAATCGATAGTTCATCAATTGACCTATTTGTACATTTAATCGATAGTTCATCAATTGACCTATCTGCACATTTAATCGATAAGTAAATTACAAAATTTGAGTTTTGGGGATCTATCGTCCCCAACAATGTACTATTAGTGGGGATTTAGTGGACGCCTAACAAAAAGATATGGGTATAGTAAGAGTTAATTTTTATTACATTCTGCTCATTATCTGAATTTAATGTTTATACGTAGTTTACAATTTCAATAAATATCTTAGTACATTTTATGAGTTTTAAAAAAGAATATACTTTATCATCAGTACTACGCACTTAGTGTTTCTAAAAGTAATGCTTTGAAAATGTCTATGATATTGTTATCAATTTATAAATACCCCTAACTCAACTGTAACCCGGCTGCGACTGCTACCTCAATATGGTAGTCGGGGTTACCTATCGTGATCGCCTAATCGAATTCTATTGGCTAGGACATTCTCTTTTCTTAAGCTCTTTTCTTGCCAGATAGTCCGGTTGGAGTGTTTTCCTGCGAAAACCAGAACCTACGGAGATGCTGACTTCTCCGTGAAGGAAAGGACTGGAAAACGTCGGCCTTTAAATGACTTACCTTTGTCCACGGCCTTTCGTCTCCTATGATAAGGCTTTGGAAATGGGGGACTAACACATCTTAGATTATTCACAGAAAGTTTGTATGTGACCAGCCTTAAACAGTTGACCCTTAGGCACTACATTCACGCTCCTAAACCGTCCATAACACAGTCTCCTTTTCAGATACTTGAAGAAGAATTGTCTTTCTACAGTGTAAGCAATTGAAATGTAGTAACTGCCCTCATACCTCTAATGGTACTCGAAACATAGTCGTAAAATAATCACAAGATGCAATATACTAACTTTTTGATCAGTAAATGAGCATATAATTGTCATCACATGTGATACAAATCGATAAGATCTATTTTTACAAAAATCCATCAGGAATTCTGTTAAGTAGTCGGAAAAATAGAACAATAATTACCATGTTAAGTCCAATGGTGTCCTTGGAACTTAAATGTACATTTCCTATTGGTCGATGTTTACTTCACTTGTTAAATATTTTGTAAATGTTGTTCTCTATTTTATGGTACGATGTGGTATGCTTGATTGGTATATAAACAAAGTATGTTTGAAATATAATGATTCATAACCCAGAGGCTGTGACTTGTGTTCTTGACTCAACTGGCTGGGGCTAGACAGCGAAGCAGGGCCAATCAGGGCACTAGGTCGTCCTTACGTGTATTACGTGTCCACTGTCACAGAAGCGATCGATAGTAACGCTGCGTATCAAAAACTGCAGTCAGTCACACCCGTTACAACAAATTCCTCAATAGATATAACTTTACCAATGTGTTCCTGCTGTTTTTCACCACCCCCTCTCCACTTCCTTTACTTACTATTATTATTATTTCCATACAGAACGATTGGTATCATCCTTCATTATCAAAATCCGAAACCGATAAAATATTTTCCAATTGTTCCACAATTAAAGATGGTGCATTTCTAATTCGACGATCATCACAATCAGAAAGAAAATTTGTACTTGTTCTATATTATCAACATCAGACACTAAAATATCAAATAGAAGTAGTTGATTTTTCATTTCATATGGATACAAAAGAAGCTTATTTCATTGATAAAGTATGCGCGTTTTTTAATTTTCTGACTAATCCATAGAATTTTTCTTGTTTATTAAAACAGTATTATTTTAAAGGTGGTTATCGAATGTAATGATAAAACTATTTGGGTACTGATTTGTGTACTGACTATTACAATGTTATTATATGACTGTCAGAAGTAAACATTATATCTACTCTAATTCATTGAAATGCTTCATCACGAAAATTTAACTGTGAACAGTTTACGTTTAAACTGAGTTATGTGTGTATTTGTTTAAATTCTCAAGGAATTGCTGAATTATAAACTTATACTAAATGCATAAGACCCTTTTCCAGAACTTTGTCTACATGTTCTGGATGGCTCTCATCCTAGGAGATCTTGGCGTTTTTAGTGATTTCCTCAGGAACAAATCTTCAAACGTTTCTGTATTTTGTACGCTAGTTATTTCGATTAAACTCCATCAGTAGTCAGATTTCCTAGACAGTATTACAACTTCACATTCTGATGTTCGTTTTACACCAATATTTTATGTTTCGTCATAAAGTACATCAATGCTTCCATGTTCGTGACTCATCACGAAACAGAAACAATGGAATCATTCTCTTCCCTCGTTTCTTGCAATGATAGTTATTTACTATTGTAAGCTGACTTTGATCATCTTATCTGGTTTAGTTTTTCGTTTTTATTTAATCGCATACTTCAACTACTTGTTTTCTTTAATTTGATTTGTATTTAAACGTAACCTCTTTTCTTTTCATTTTAGGGTCCACTTCATTTATCCTTAGAACACTTAGTAGAACATTATAGTCGTTTCGCAGATGGAATACCTGTACGTTTACACTATGCTATATCTCCGTCTGGTAGAATTACTAATATTGAACAATTGGTACCTCACAATCTAGATAATCATGGTCAAGAATTAAGGAAAATTGAATCTTCTGCCGTTGGTGGTGATGGATGGGCTTTAAGAACTATCTCATCCAGTTTACATGGTGGTCGTATGGGTGCACCTTTGTCAATGTCAATTGCTAAGGGTGCTTCACGTCATGGACAAAAATCAAATCAGGTATTTAATTTACATTCAGTTATTTTTTTCCCTTATCATATTAGTTGACATGGTCTCTCTAATGATCACTTTTATTTGTCTTTTTAAATTATTCACCAATCACTCACAGGGGAAACATCATAGTTCATCGAGTTCCGGCGTCTCTGGTATGTCTAGTGGTGGTGGTCTCCTTCCAGTTGCAGCTGGTCTACAATTAACTGCATCTGGGACGTCTTGCATCGGATCAACAACTGGTTCTGGTGAACTTCGTTTAATTCCTAGCGATGCTGTCATTCTATTGTATAGACTAGGTGAAGGTGAATTCGGTGAGGTTTATCGAGGCAGACTACACTTGGATAATGGTATAGTTCAAGAAGTGGCTGTGAAAGTAAGTCAGTTTGTAATTTAATTCTTTCTGTTTCTTTTTTTGTTTTCGTTATTCTACTTTCCTTTGTTTCATGCTTTGTCTCAACTGATTAATTGATTAATAGTAGTAGTATTAGCTGTTGTTGTTATTTGACCTTTTGGTATACCTAGTTAATATATACGATAGACCACATATGTTAAGTCAAATTGTCATAAACACGTTTGAGAAGGAATAAACTATTATTACTACTACTAGTAGTAGTATTAGTAATACTGACCTGTCATTAGTTTGTCTTCTTATTTCTGACTGGTCGATTGTAGTTCTTTTTGTTTTAATTAGTTTTTTTTATTGGTTGACTCTAAACAACACTACACACGGATATACGCACATTAAAGAAAAACATTTAGAAGGTGGCCTTTCAACCTGTAACTTTCTTATATTACTAAAAAACATAAGGTACTGTAAATAAATGTCGCCTAAGTTTCAAATATGCAAATATTGTTGACATTTTATACACGAGTATTTAGATATGACTGAGGAAGTAATTTTTTTTCAAAAGCAAAGTGTAGGGTCGAATTTAATATTGAATTGACTGAACGTTGTTATCACGTTTGAAATCAGTACATCGGTTAGTAAGCGGTAAGAGGAAAATTAAAAAGAATGAAACTAGTTACTCTAAGTTAAGTAAGAAACTTGAAACAAATAAATTATTAAAGACGATAAGAAAAAGATCATGTGTTATGATCTACAGTGGGATAAATAATGTTTATTACCTTCATGGATTCAGTTTCAAATATCAAGAACTTCAGCAATTCTTATCCAAACCACTTTTGGAATACCAACAAAAGTATTTCAAAATGAAGGCTGAAAACTTGACAAACACTAAATAAATATCAGAAGGGGTTTTGTGGATATTATAGTGATTTCAATGGTTGAGATTATGAGTGGGTTGAAGCTAGATCACCAAGGATGCCAGCTCAGTGGTCTAGTGGTTAAGCGCTCGCGCGCGAGACTGATAGGTCTTGGGTTTGAATCTCGCGGGGGGTAAGATCGTGGATGCGCACTGCTGAAGAGTCCCATAATAGGACGAGGCGGCCTTCCAGTGCTTCCAGTTTTTCCATGGTGGTCTAGCTTCAATTGACTCATGATTTCATCCATTGAAATTACTAAATAAGTAGTTTGAAATATCTATCTCACTAAAGTTTATTGCCTTTCAATAGTTCTTACCCATGAAGCGAACTCAAGAGTTTTGAGAATTATTCATTAATTCTCTGTCCATATGATCTTAGTTGCTAGTTTATTTCCATTGAAGTCTAAACTATCTCGATTATTTAAAAAAGATGGAATGCATCTAGAAATGAAATCCGTACTGCGTGTTTCGTGTTACTTGGATCTTTATAATGGTTGCATTGTGTAATAAGAAGACTAAGGTTATCAGAACTACGTGATATACTAGTACAATACATATACTTGTTAAGAACATTTATACATAAAAATAAAAGATCAACTAGACAAATGAAGAGGGGATAAGAGGAGATAAAAATAATAAAGAAAATAACATGAAAATGTGAAAATTCATCGCGCTGGACAATAAGCTAATATTCCCAGGATAAATTCTAGGTGAGAACAAACCGTTTTTGGGTACATAAAGGGGGTTTGAATTTTCGTGTCTTAAATTCCAATTAATCTTAGTATACACTTTTGTACAACACCACAAAGGCTGCGTTGAGATCAATCTTATGACCTGTTTCGACTATATGTTTGGCAACAGAAGATGAGGAATGTTTATCATCTACTCTTACTGGGTCATTTGATTTTATTTGTTTTTGCAACCATTCAGGTACATGTTCAGGCACCCTAATTTGGAGACCATGAATACTCCTTCCTATGTTTGTGTGGTCACACACATTTGAATTAGTAAACACAATGGGATGTGACGCAATCGTTCTCACGTCTTTTAGGCTTTTGGTGAAGCATAGTTCTGATGATCTTCGTCTTTTTATTACACTATCCGAATTTACATTGTATTCATCGCTTAACTATTACTTTAAAATGGCACTTTTTAACTTATCTATGTTGTTGTCTTCTTGTAGCTGGAGTATCCTTTAGGTTTTATCAGCGTAGCATAAAACAGATTGTTATTGCCAGTCTCTGCGATAAGTTTCTGTTTCTAAGGATCATATTGATCGTTTTTGCAAAAATTTCAAGTGTTTCAAGGATCATTTTCATCATTTTTTTCACCAAAGAGATCTGGAAATCTTGTATTCTATCTTACAGTTTCCAAAAGAGCTCTTCACTATTTTCATTTTACTGGGTTAGAATTTAAAATTATAAACCTCTGAATACCGACTTAGTGGTCTAAAGGTTAAGTGCTGGCTTATAGGTTGAAATGTTTTGAATCCGATCCACAGTAGGGTGGGTTATGAATATGCACTCCTTAAAAGTCTTAACACTATGAAAAACGTCTTTCTAATGCTTTTTGTTTTTCACTGGTTATATAACTGATGTCAGTCCGTAATGCAGACTATAACAAGTTCAACAATCTCTATAAATCTCTCTACATATACAATATCTAATATGTATATTTGTAGATAATATTATATAATGTTAATCATTGTTTAAATGCCAGTCTATTAGTTTGTTTCAACTAATTCCATTGGTGATGAATCATTTTCTTTATTCACATAATTCATTTATTGAAAGATAATTGTTTGAGCTTTCTTACTAGGTCTTTAGTATAGTTTCATATATGTATATACTGTTGGTATGAACACTAGTAATATGATTAATAGATACTCTTAGATGGTTAATATAAAATGTACAATTATAGTATATGATATAATATATATAATAGTGTTATTATTAATATTAATGAAAGTATGGTAGACGCCATTCAATTATTTGTTAATTAGATTATATGAATTTACATAGTGATGATAAATAGACTAGTTGATTCAAGATAAGTATTTTTTTTTGATTAACAGAATTAGCTTTCATTACTACAGTTTTCTTTTCTTCAATATACTGTCTGATAATTTTTTTTGACTTTGATATGTAGTAGTAAAATGAAGAAGATATTTTTGTCTGTCTACTTTTCTAAACATTGATCCGTTGATCTTGAATGAATAATTTGAACGAATTTCTTTTCGGTTATTTAGTTTTGCATTAAATATAATGTGAGACACTGGTCTTTTAGATATACTTGTGTGTGTGTGTGTGTGAAAAATAATGATACTACCCAACTACTCAAATATCTAAGTAATGGTGGTGTGGATCTGTTGCCTGGAGAAAGACTTCTTGACCTTGAGTATGCGGATGATATTGTCTTACTGTGCGATAATGCCCAAGACATGCAATCCGCACTTAATCAGTTGGCAATCAGTGTCCGTAGGTATGGTATGTGCTTTGCACCTTCGAAGTGCAAAGTACTTATATAAGACTGGCAGGATTCTAATCCTGTACTCACCCTGGATGGTGAGCAGATAGAAGTAGTCGAGAAGTTCGTATATCTGAGTAGCTGCATAGTGCTGGTTGTGGCGTGAGTGATGAGATCAATGCACGAATAGTGAAAGCCAGAGCGGCTTATGCCAATCTGGGCCATCTTTGGCGCCTTCGTGACGTTAGTCTGGCTGTAAAAGGTCGGATCTACAACGCGTCGTTGATAGCAGTTCTGCTCTATACTTGTGAAACCTGATCTCTCCGATTTGAGGATGTTAGACGACTCTCTGTGTTTGATCATCGTTGTCTCCGAAGGATTGCTGACATTCAGTGGCAACACCATGTTAGTAATGCAGAGGTTCGGCATCGTGTGTTCGGGCACAGAGATGATAATGCAATTGTTGTCACTATCTTGAAACACTGACTTTGTTGGCTTGAACATGTTCTACGAATGTCGTCCCAGAGAATTCCACATCGTGCATTAATTGCCGACTCTGGGACTGGTTGGAAGAAGCGGTGAGGTGGTCAGTGCATGACATGGTGTCGTGGTATGAAAGAAAGCTTCAAAGGGCTGGTTTGTGTTGGTTCTTCACGACTCCCTGTTTGGGGTCCGAGAGATGGTGCGACCGAGTGGCTAGAGACGTTATCAGATATGGCTCAGAATAGGAGCTGGTAGCGATCCTGCTGTAACCTTCTTTTACTTTCTTCAGAAAAAGTAACCGTAACTTTAACTGAAAGAATTCTTTCTGGTTGTATTTTTCTGTTTCCCCCATTATTATTTCCCTACCATACACTAATTTGTAGTGGTTATTTTTCTTTTTTTTTAAACACACCTTACATTCTATATCTCTTACCATTCTCATTGTTATTGTGTGGCGCATATGTATCTGGTGCCTCCATGTACCAATATTTATGTGTTCAAATAAAATAATAAATAAATAACTCAAACATCGAAGTAGGTGGGATAGCGTTGTAACCTGCAATTTAGTAATAAAGTGTTGTGTATTATAACTGCTAAGTTGTGAAACGTGACGACCATTGAATACTTCCTGAATGCCCGTACTGTAAAATACTTTTTCTAAACCTAGAGTGTGTATTAAAGGTTCGAGTCTTTGGAACGTGACTACGAAGGCCTCGGATATTTTTCCGAGAAATTCACACATAATTGAATTTACTACTTTCCATCTTACAGCTTTTCGATTTACCTGTTGGATAGGATAGAATCTTGAGAGATAATTTTTTAAACCAGTCTAGTTGTATTGTTTTGGAATGATACGATAGGTTAGTCTGACTACATGTAAGGTAGAAGTTATAAACAACAAAACTGAGTCCTCTCTAACCGTTTGATCAAGTAGTGTTGTTAAACAAGTCTACACAGCTGACGCGTTTAAAATATGACGAAACGCGTGTCCTTGATTCCACTGCTAGCTACATTCCATCTATTCTATACAAGAGTTTTGGTTTCGTAATCTATAATAATTATTATTATTATTCGAAGGTTCTTGTCCAACCATCACAAAGATTGGATTTTTTGAAAGAGGCTACAATCATGATGCAATTATCTCATCCACATATTGTAACGATTTATGGTGTATGTGAGAATAAACGCTTAATGATGATATTAGAATTAGCTGAACTTGGCAGTTTATTAGATTATCTATTAGATTATCCGGAAAAATGTCAATTACCTGAATTGTACAATTGGAGTATGCAAGTAAGTTCATTTTCATCTATTTCCTTTTTTGTATCTATTTAGTTAGTGTTGAAAGAAAAGTCTGTTCATCTTGATAGACTACTTATTATGTGTTTCTTGGTCAGTAAAAGAGTTTCTTTTTTGTATCGATAAACAGCTCATTGGATTTCCATATACAGTAAAACAAAGTCAAACATATAGTTTACATTTTTGAAATGTTAACTGATCTATTGAGATTCACGCCACCCATCTTTTTAGTGGTAACATGTTAAGCTATAAAGGTGATCAGTGTGGATTCGTCCCCTCAAGTTTTCAGGTGCTCTTTATTAATGAATGTCAACTAACACAATACCTAGATCCATCATTTCCTGCCAACTAACTTCAATCACATTTACATCTCAACATATTCTAGGCAATATCGTAATCCTTTGTTGGTTGTCTAAAGAAGACACGACTTCAAATCAGTAGGAATAGCGCAGATGTATTGAGTACTTATCATCCTCTATATTATGAGTTGTAATTATATTACATACCTTTTGTTTCGTGATTTCACTTGTTCATCTTGAATAGACTTTCCATTATTATTAATAGTATTATTTTGTCTTACTATTCATCTCTGTGATTTCATCTCTCATCGTCCTGATGTGAATCATAGAAAGTTGTATCGTTTTACACTTGGTTCTAAGTATTACTCTGTTTATTGATTCATCGACCCGAATAATCTAAACCTGATCGGTTATTTTACTGTCTGATGACAAGAACTGTCGTAAAATTTTTCGAATGGCGCTTAGTCAGTCTTTTTGTCGGTCATAATCATGGCAAGAATCTGACACAAATGTATATCGGTTCAAATTACCATACCACACTCAGCACAGTAAAATTATGAATATGAATACCAAGTTATTATAAACAGTAGTGGTACAAGTCATAGCAAATAAAGATTAAGCAGAGATACAGGGAGGGAAATAATAAAAAGATGATTTTGAAACTCAGAATTAAAGGAAAATAAAAAGACAGAATGCATCTACACTATTTTAGCTGATTCTGATCAACTTGATTATTCATACTTCTCTAACTTCAAATTTCACAATACCTTCCATCGAATGAAGTATTCAGAAACGATTCCAACTCACAATTTTATTAGTATCAGTCTTAAGCTGAAATGAATAAGTTGTTGTATATGATCTGGTGTTAATATCGGTCAAATTTTTACTATCCTCACTTGTGGTTGTTACGAATGTTTATTAATGATGTAATGACTTTTCTTATCATATTGAAAAATACAATCCTAGATTGCAAGTGGTATGAGCTTTCTAGAATCAGCTAGATTTGTTCATCGAGATTTGGCTTGTCGTAATGTCCTATTATCAAATCATTCTTGTGCAAAAATTTCTGATTTTGGTCTGTCACGTGCAGTTGGCGTTGAATCCGATTACTACAAGGCTACACAACGTGGTAAATGGCCAGTGAAATGGTATGCACCAGAATCAATTTATTACAAAACATTCAGTCATGCTAGTGATGTCTGGTCGTTTGGTATATGCTTATGGGAAATGTTCTCATTAGGTGAACATCCATATGCAGATCAAGATAGTTTTGAAGTTTTACGTCAAATTGAGGAAGGTGTACGTCTACCTAAGCCCCATTTAGCTAATGATGATGTTTTTGCTATTATGCATGATTGTTGGGCGTATAATCCAGATGCACGACCAACATTTGCTCAACTTCTCGCTGTATTTCAACATCTTGCTACTAATGTTTACGAAAATGTTGAGCCACCGGAAGTGGTGGTCCCAGGCAATGCAAATCCATCATGTAAAGTTGTGAAAAATGGTATAGCATGTCATAATAGTACTAAGAATAACAATATCTCTTCATCCACTACTGCTCCTCATCCTTCTATTGTCACTACTACCATGGCAACTGGTACTACTAACCACAATGATAATCAACACATTAGTGGCAATGATCGACGTCAAACAAACTGTACTAATGTACGTATTCCAAATCTTGTCCAAACTAACGGTTCATCATAATAGAACAAATATAAGAGAAGATGGCAGGATAGAATGATTAGTAAGACAAATAGAATGAAAACGTTTTTTAAAAAAACTTCTCTAGTCTAATATGCTTTCTCTTTTTACTTTTTGGATAAGTTTTCCATTTTATTTTTGCTTTTATCAAGTGAATAGTTTTGTGTAAGTGTGTGTGTATATGTGTATATGTATGAAGCAATCTCTATCGTTCCATTTCTATTCTATTCATGTATGCATTTTTATTTGATTCATCAACCAATAATCATAATATCTACCTCTTTTGATGATGACAAGTATTCAACAACTTTTATTGGTTGTATCTCCAAGACATTATACTGTACCGTTGATGATGATTTTGATTGAAATCATTATTTAAAAAGAAAAAAAAAGAAGAAGAACAATCGATAATAATGATAATTTCTCTCTTTATATTTTAATTTCTTTTTTAAGTCTAGCATTTAATTCAATTCATTATTTTGCCGTTCTTTTTTTGTGTGTGATATTCTCTTGTTTCTTCTCTTCTTTTTTTTTCTGTCTCTACAACGGTATTGTTGTCATTTTGAAATCATGTTATCGTATTATATCGATTTCTAAATTATTATTATTATTATTATTATTATTATTATTATTATTATTATTATTATTAATGTTATGATTTCAACTAGTTAATCATTGTACATAGATACACATTTCGTGATATTCAATGTAGTCCTGTCTATGTACTTCTATTTCTGGTCTCTCATATGCTTTTTATGATACATAATATTCTATTTGTATTCTTTGTATATTATTCTGATTATTCCTTAACAGTTTCTTTCTTTCTTTTCTTTTCTTTTTTTTTCAATCATTAAGATTATGTTATTCAAATGTTTACACATCATATTCAACTTTATCATGATTCCTTTTTAATATACGTGACCAGTCGCTCATTCACTCACTCACTCACCGATTCATTTCATTTCCTTAGAAAATGTCATATGTTGTAAAATCTTCATTATCTTTAAAATGTGTTGCTAGTTTGGACATTTGTTGTCATCATTTTCTTTTTTCACTTTTGAATGATTGTTTCTTTCCTATGATCTCGAATGATATTTATTGTTAATTATCAATACTAACTTATACCATATTTTCTTAGAATTTAATAATTATAATTAGTAATAAAACAGGAACTATCTTATTATGTAATACCTGTTATATGAAAATATTAGATCTGGTTCAAATGATAAGCATTAAAAAAACAAACAAAAAACAACACTTAGTTCATGCTTTTTGTTTTGTTCCTATTTTGCATTGTATTTTATTCATCCCTATTTCTTTATCCTTATCCTTTGGCATATATGTTTTTCATACTTTTATTATTTTTGGTATCATACAAACCATGGTTTCATTAAATTGAAACTGTTATCTATTATTTAATTATTTATTATATATTCCTCATTTGTATATTGATTTCAATGGATAATGAAATCTATACAAACGTTTAGCGTTTTTTTAGCGAGTTAGTTTTCTACGGGATGGGGACGTTAACCTCATGCCCAACCCTCCTCCTTTATCCGGGCTTAGGACCGGCAGTAGCCCCCCGGAGGGACTTCAGGCGGAGTTGAAATCTATACAAAGGAGAGAAAAAATCTCTCAATAAAATGAAGTTACAAGGCATGTTTGTTTGTTTGTTTGTTTGTTTTTCTTTGTAGTTTGATGTATACACTTTAACTAATAGTAACACTTCAATTATTTTTTTCTTTTTGATGGTGTTCTGTCATCAACTATTTCCAATGTTTGTTTGTTTATATGGTTTACTACTTTCTATGAGATCCATTGAATGTTTACTTATTGCAACAACATATATGACTAATTATCTTTTAAAATTCATTGTACACAAACATATATATATATATATATTATTGAGTTGCATATTTCATATGTTATTATTGAATAGGGTTAATAACTTTTAATGATAATAACCCTTATGAACTTGTCTGTCATAAAGCAATTATTATTAAATAGTAACCTTGTTTGTAATTGGTGATCTTTGTAAACTTTAATAATAGTGATAAATAACAACAAATTGAAATATTAACCAATTCATCATGTCAAATAATTGTTCATTTCGATTTATGACTTTAACGTGATTATATCTAAATAACTTTAATGATAGATTAATTAATTCTATCGTCATGATACAGAGCCCCCAAATGTCCTGGTATGGCCGAGAATAGGGTGGGCATTACTCTCCCTCTCGAAATGCTCTCACACGGCCACGCGTATACAGCCTCTGCCAGGGAAGTCCTACTCACTGCCTTCTCATGAGGGGGGGGGTGTTGTTTATGAAATTGAGAGGACGAAAAGCGAATGTCCGGCGCTTTGATCGGATCCCAAACCAATGGTACACATGGGCTCCAGTATCTTGAAGGAACAAATGGCGCACGAAACAATCGTTGGTCACCGGCTACCGTGGGATTGCATCTCCTCACGATGCTCCACTGCCTTGTGGATCAGACCTTTAGGTTGAAGACCCCGGGTGTGGTCCCCTAAGAAAACCACCTGCTTCGGTTTGGACACCCGGGCAGTATCCCAGCCCTCACAAACCGAATGATTTATGTGGTGCATATGTATTTGGTGCCTCCTTGTACCAATGTTTATGTGTTTAAATAAATAAATAAATCATGAAACAGAAACATTTCGAGTAATTATACATGACGATAATATAGTGACCTAGTCTCCCGTTTTATATGCTGAATAAGAAAAAATGGTGTGTGATAGTGGAAAAATATGATATGATGGAACACTGAGGATGGACGGATAGATAGACACTCAGCTTACTGACTACTTAATATGTGATTTCCTTCTTGCTATTGATTTCGGCTCTGAACTCAACGATTGTAGACGGTTTATGATTGTGTTGAATAAAAGTATTGTTTAACGCTGTCTAGCTTATACTCTGGGTTTCTGTTTGGTCGTGAATCATGTATCTCATAGAACATGATCCACCAGTTTGTGTGTAGCGTATCGATAATGGCAGTATATTTGTGTAAACAGAAAAATACTTTTATTTCCCTGTTATATCAGTAAGAGAAATGATATACATCATTTAGTGTAAGTACGCTTGTAGGTTAATTTTGTTGCGAGATGTAATTAGCGTCGGAAATTATTTTCTACTCAGAAATTACTTCAAATACGCTCAGTCAAAAATTGTTGCAAAAAGATGGATTGAATTAAAATAGCTCACAAGTGGAAAATGTTTGGGATATGGAAATCAATAGTAGGTCATTTAAGGAGTTGGGTTTTAGAAACTTCACTTTGAATTACTCCGTTAGTGCTAGCGATATCACGACTTTCCAAACTGAAGGTGTTGAATTCGAGGTTTGTGACCTAATTGATACGTTGGGCCAATCAGAAATCGATCAAATGATTAGTGTACGAGATTGGTCAAAAAAAGTTTGCATTCCAAAGATACAAGCCATTGGTGGTTTTATTTCTTAAGGGATAGACATATGTACATAAATTCCCGATTCAGTTTAGTCAACAAACTATCATTTCGCTCATTCCTTGTACTAGTGACTGGTTAGGCCTGCGTATCGAACAACCCGACACTAGTAGTGACTTTCAGTCGATTTTGATGAGTAATTATTCACAACCAATATCTTGAAGAGTTCTCATCCAGCTGAAGACAACATATGATGTACTAAGTATCCACAGGCTGTTATGAACTCCGTCAATACTTCGAGACGAAATTAATGAGAAGCAGGGGTCAGGAAAGAATAATAATTGCCAAGAAAAGCCAAACATGGGGACTGAATACGATCAAAGAATGAATAGCATAAAATGGCACTAAAATCAAAACAACAAATTTCTATCCTACATCAGTTGTATTGAATACATTTGTATATCATGGTGTGATTTTCGACGTAGGTGGAAAAAATGCTAATCACTCGATTGCTAATGTATTTGAATCTATGAGAAATGTCACGTTCACTAAAAACAGTGAACCGAATATCACTTAATCGTATTCTCAAAATAATAAATGAAAAAATACTTGCGTGACCTTTTTATTGGCATGCAATTAGGTTCAAAGTTTATCGAACAATCAATGAATTTACGAATGGGTATGTCGGATAATTTTCCATCATTTATGACAATACTACAGAGTATGACCATATGAACCTAAAAAAATAACTATAATACTAAAACATAGTGATCCTAGATAGTGTAGAAAATATTACAAAGATAGAATAAAGTATTTTGTCTGTATGTTAAGTCATTAGAAACCTCTGGGTTATGAATTGTGGGAACACAGTTTTTGGAAAAGCACCAGATCAATCGGTGTAGCAGATACTCCTTGCCAGTCGGTTAGGTAACAAGAAACAAATAGACCTACAGGTTTTATGCTACTACATGCAAAATTATTGATGATTATCGTAGATGTAATTATAGCTTACAATGGTCTACCAACGCTCGAAACAGAATAGGAAAATGATACCCAACTGTATATCATTGATATGTACGTGAGATCTTCTTGTCTAGCTATAGAAGTTAGCAAATACTGCTATTTTAGTAAAATGAAGTGTGTACGTGAAACTATTAAATGGAGTTCTTAAAAAGCGAAAAGTTGCATTTGGCATCTATAGTGGGACTGCAACTAGAAAGAAGATAATTATCCTTCAACGACGTTTAAACCAATTACACAGAAGTAATCATTAACTATTCTAACTTAAATACACGACCGTTTGAGGTTGATTTAGATAAACCGATAGGTCATTTGCTAGTGTAAAATATATATATTGCCTTGCTAATGAGTGATAACCAGCATGAAATCTAGTTCCAAGGATTATTGGCAATTATCTCTAACCACGTTATCATCTATATCAAGTCAGTTAAAATAATGTTCATGTTTCATTTTCATTAGCAACAAACAGATATGCGACTAATTAGAAATACGCGATCAGTTAGAGTGACTATTTCATTGTCACAGTCGTTTATGATCCGGGGACACTAATAATAACATCGCTGATACTGCGACTGATTAACTCCGATTCAAATTACATTGATATAATTAATTCTTTTTTTTTAAAATTCCAGACACATTATGTTGACAAGTGACAACCAGCACTACAAAAATTATATCACTGGTTAAATCATGAGTCAGTTGACGCTAGACCACCATGGAAAACCTGGAAGCACTGGACGGTCGTTTCGTCCTAGTATGGGACTCCTCAGCAGTGCGCATCCACGATCCCGCCCCCCGCGAGATTCGAACCCAGGACCTATCAGTCTCACGTCAGGCGCCTAACCAACTAGACCACTGAGCCGGCATTTAAAGGTGTTAATGTCTAACTTCAACCAATTCACGAAGTTGCGCCACCATACATCATTGTCTTCAGTGAGTTCCTATCTCACAACAGACCTGGTTGAACTCCACTGGTAACGACTTCTCACTAGAACTCCAGGAGTATCTCCTGAAGTCAGTCACTAGTGAGCAGGTGATTATTATTATTATTATTATCAGAATGGGTTTTGTGGAGATTTTTAGAAATTTCACTGGTTGAAAAAATAATAACCTACAACTAAAGTGTGTTACTAGTCACATTTATTAGTATGAAAAAGCTATGCAAATAATCACAATTTCTGAAAACTTTCCCCTTGGTAAACACTGTGCATGTTTCAGTATCTGGTAATACAATAAATTCAACAGAATATTAAAAGAAATATTTGATATTTATACATACAACAAGAACCATTAAAGAAAAGGAAACTGATTACAAAAAAGAAAAAAGAAAAGTTAATTAGTCATAAAAAAAGTAAATTATTTTATTGTTTGTAAACAGTCAACAAGAAGAGAATGAATTCAACCGATTTTGTTGTATTTAGTATGAGATACAATGTAGAATTTTTCTTTTAAATTTGTCCACTATGTGTAACAGTAGCCAGTCTACTGATACAACTTTGTATTTTCGAATATGCATATGTTGAATGACTGCGTTGATATAAATGAAAAAGATTAGCATATACTGCATGATCAAATGCAATACCATGTTCCATTAAACGATTCACAACTGCCTATTAAACAAACGAATAAAAGACACCAAAAAGAAAATACGATAAATAGGGAAACGTCAAAATTAATCAAACGCATTAAATATATATATATATCCTAAATTTAACGCTTTTCGGCAATGTAATATATGGTTATTGAACGTAAAATATGATTGCCACTGAGTGTGAACAGACAGATTACTGACTATTTAATATGCGGTTTTCTTCCATTGATTTCGACTTTAGACTTAATAAGTGTAGATGATTTGTAATTGTGTTGAATAAAAGTAGTGTTGTCTAGTTTATCTTGGATTCTATATTTTTGGCTGTGAATCGTGTAACTGGTAGAACGTGATCTACCCAGTTTGTATGTAACATATTGTTCGAGTATTTACCCTAGTAGTAGCGTAAATTTCTATTCCGATCGTATTATTGTACAATAGTAGTTTGTCGTTATATCATGATGATACCTAACTATTCAGCATTTCAAACTTTGTATATTATTGCAAAACAATCAATTCTGTGCAATTAACACCTAATTGCATTAGGAAAACCAAAGCAAAATAATAAAGAAAGGGTTTTCCTTAACTCTTTTATTTTGATCTCTTTAAGATAGATAATAAATGGGATAGTTTGCATAAATATTTGATTAATACAAAAATACTAATTGATGATTGGATTCATCGAAGCAATTCGATCAGATTTAATCATTCGGATGAGATAAAAACTAATTTATGGGAGTTCGACCATTAATTGAACTGTTCATCATTTGTGTGTGGGCTGTGATACTGCCCGGGTGCCCAAACCGAAGCAGGTGGTTATCTTAAGGGGATCACTCCCCGAGCCTTTGACCTAAAGGTCTAACCCACAAGGCAGTGGAGCATCGTAAGGAGATGCAGTCCAATGGTAGACGGTGACCAACGATTGTTTCGTGCGCCATTTGTTCCCTCAGGATACTGGAGCCCATGTGCACCATTGGTTTGGGATCCAGTTAAAGCGCCGAAAATTCGCTTTTCGTCCTCTCGATTTCATAGACAACACCACCGCCACGAGAAAGCAATGACTAGGACTTCCCTGGTAGAGGCTGTATACGCGCGGCCGTGTGAGAGTATTTCGAGAGGGAAAGCGGACTCTCCCCACTCTCGGCCGTACCAGGGCATTTGGGGGCTAACATAGTGTTGTCATTGGATGTAAGTAATCCTTCGGAGACAACGATGATTAAGTATAGAAAGTTGCCTGACATATTTAACTTGATAAGGACAGGCTTCGCAAGTATAAACCATAACTCCTCTGATCGATGGGCTGTAAACCCAACCGGTTACAATCAGATGAACATCACGACGGCGCCAGCTACTTCTTTCAACTTGTTGACACACTATGAACATCAGGTTTCTCATTCCTTATGCATAGTTTTATTACATAACAATCTACATCTATCATTTGAACATGTTACATATGAAATTGTCAGTTGGACAAGTTAACATATCAAAACCTTCCTAATATGACGGATTGTTGTTCTTTTGTTTTACACTTGTAAGAGTATAACAACTGTTTAGTTCTTATATCGAATAATTATTCTTTTGAATTAAAACTTTCTTTAATGAAATATTAAATTTTGTGACTATAGGCAACAATACTTACTTCAGGTGTTAAAAAGAACAATTCATATAATTGTTTCACTCGAATTAAATCAGATTCATGTGTTTCAGTTAAAGTTGCCAATGCTTGTTGTAGTCGATAAACATTTCGACACCTAAATAATAACAATTAAGAAAAAAAAACAAGAAAGAAAACAAACGTTAATTTTAATGTTTAGATCATAAATAAATAAACATTTACACAAACACAAGTAATATATTCTAGTTTATTTCGAGAATTCCTATTAAAAATTAGTGTTTGTTTAAAGAAAACAAATATCACACATAAACAAATTTATTTCGAATAAATTACAGCTTAGATAGACTCATGAATTCAACTAATAAAATTACTACGATCCCAACAAACCCTTATTCTGATTATAATCATCATGTGGTCACTAGTGATGGATGAATTTCTCGAAATCCTAGTGTGAGAAATGGTGATCAGTGAAGTCCAATCCGTGATAGATGTGACACAGTTACCTACTAAAGACAATGGATGAAGTGTTGCACAAGATCATGAATTGATTAAAGTTAGACATTAACATTAATGGATGCCTACTCAGTAGTCTAGAGGTTAAGCATTCGCACATGAGACCGAAGATTCCGCGTGCTAAATCGTTTATACGTACTGCTGAGGAGTTTTATATCAGTGCTTTTAGGTTTTCCATGATGGTGTAGCTTAGATGGATTCATGAATTCGACCATTGAAATTCATATTCATCACGATCAAAAGAAATACAGGCATAAAATCACTTTCAAAATACCATTTAATCAGATGAGAATGACTTTGTAGTTAGTAAGATACATTGAATTGTCAAGACAATAACTTCATAACTGAATTCAAAAATATATACAGCAAAATTATAGCCTTGTGAATCATGAAGATTTATTCCTAAGTTCGTTCATAATTAAAGATGTCAAGTAACTTATGAAAACTTCTCAAGAAGAAAACATGATAATACTAGAAGTAATTTGGATATTTGATAAATTAGATTATCAAAGAATATAAATGAAACGCCTTCTAAACATTTCTTTTATATGAATTCTTACTGATTAAGATCCTAAACGATAAACACTTAAAGTAGCAAGCGGAGATAAGAATCTTAAGACAAAGTTGAACAAAAAGTATAATGTCTGCGTAGTGTTCAGTTCATGATCAAAGTGCTTAACAGTTGAAATTAATCAAACTTGGTAAATTATATTTAATATAATTGATTACAAATAAATAAGTTAAAATAACGTTTCCTACTATACAGAACAAAACACCTATATCTACTCTTGAGAAAAATAAGTAAAAATCATTGCTATTTTCACTTTTCACAGATTGAAATCATGAGTCAATTGAAGCTAGACCACCATGGAAAACCTGGAAGCACTGGACGACCGTTTCGTCCTAGTATGGGACTCCTCAATAGTGCGCATCCACGATCCCGCACCCCGCGAGATTCGAACCCAGGACCTATCAGTCTCGTGACAGGCGCTTAACCAACTAGACCACTGAGCCATTTTTGTATCCATATTAGATCATCTAAGATTATCACAGAACTATTCAGTTTTTGTTAATAATGTTAAAATACTAATTGGAACATTAATCGTAAATGCGTTTTTTCTACTGCGAGTTTTTACATGATCTTTGTCTTTTTCTAATTGATTGCTATTACTTTTAGATTGTCAGTTTTCTGTACGTCTAAAAATCATGCTTCTGTTATCATAAATGCTGATTTATACCATTTCAAGTTGTCCCATGCTTGAATATAGAGTTTTTCTTGAACTTCATCATCTTCCTGTATAGTCGGCAAATTTTTGAAGTACCATGTTTACGTCTCGTTATTGAGTCCACGATAGAATTATTTGTACTAGATATAGATCAACCATTCCTGAATCCGCAAGCATCGTAGACCAGCCGGAAACTATTATATACATAATCATTTAAATAAAGACATAGTAATTCAGTATTTTCTCTTTTTTGAACAACACTCATGATGATCCAGTCCTTCAGACTTTAGACTGTTAGAAGTAGTCATCAGACAACTCTGAACCCAGGTTTTATCAGTTAATAATGATAGGTGGAATTAGATCGCCATCAAAAAAATATAATTAGACTAAAGTGATATTGATTACTACTAATCAATGATAAATCAATGACCCATTCCTTCGTTTCAAGTATGACGCATCACTAAACAGAAAACGTTTCTCTGTTGATATCCCTATTTAAGTTCTCAATAAGCAGTGATCTATGAAAACATCGCAAGCCAACCTATTAGAACAATAAAATGGGTTGGTTATTTAACTTTATACTCATTGAAAACATCAACACCAAGGAATAGCAAGAAACATTGATTACGCAGGTGACACATTTGTTATTCTCAAAGGATAGGAACTATGAAATACTCAAAAAATGATAAATAGCATCTTAGAAGACATAAAGTTTACAGAAGGATATGAATCGGTGAACAAAATATCATTCCTGGATATATTCAGAAGAGACGAAATGCACTACAGCACACTCTACACAAAAAATCGGAGGAAATCATCTGTCCGTCCTAAGAAAAAATGGCTATCCTCACAATATTATCGAAAAATCACCGTACCAGCTAAAAATAGACCCAGAAATCAAAACGTAAATCGTCCTAACTTACGTGAGAAACGACAAAGAAATCACTGCAAGGATTATAAAACCTTTGGAATCAAAGTCAATCACAAGTCAACAGAAACACTTCAATTTTTTACAGATTAAAAAGCAAAAAAGTGAAAAAGACAAACATATTATCTACAAAATAAATTGTGACAACTGTGGCAAAAATTACATTGGACAAAGTGGATGCTCCTCCATCTACTCACACAATCTGTCAGTAAAATGATACATGTCATCATCTCAGTCAGTCAGTAACAACGTAGAACTTCGTACGTAAGTACATCAGTTCGAGTTGCCACACCACATTAGCACAGAGATGCAGTTGTCGATTCAAATCCAGTAGTGGTAGAGGTAGTAAGAGTATAAGCAGTAATCGGGAAGATTAGGGTTTGGAGATGTTATTTAAAGAGTATAATCCAGTGAAAGAAATTTGGAAAGAGGAAAAAGAAAGGGACATGAAGAATTCAGAAGATTAGAGTTTGGGAGAACACAGAGAGTGGATGCACCTGCGCCATTGCAAACGATTTTGAGCCATGTCATTCAGGGTCTCTAACCATCGGTTGCTGTCATCTCGCGGTCCCCAACCAGGTAGTCTACACCTACCAACATGACTCAGTTCACTTGTCAGTGACTTCATGGACTTTTGCCATGTTTTGGTTTGGCCGCCCCTAGCTTTCTTCCAACCTACTCCTATACCACTGAACATAGCACGTCAAGGCAGTCGGTCGTTGGGCATACGTAACACGTGTCCCAGCCACCTCAACTGATAAAGTTTCACTACTTCATCAATTGATTTGCTATCCTTACCTAGTACCCGTTTCCTAACAACTGCATTACTTACTCGATGGTCCCAGGATATACGAGCAATGTTTCGAAGACACCTATGATCAAATACTAGTAACCTACGAATATCCTCTGCTCTCATCGGCCACGTTTTACTGCCATAAAGTAGGACGGAACGAACTGCTGCGCAGTAAACACGTCCTTTGATTGATAGACGGATATCTCGCCTACGCCATAAATGACGCAAGTTGGCAAAAGCTAGTCGAGCCTTCTGTATCCGTGCTGAGATTTCGTCACACACTAAACCACAAGGGCTGATGAGACTTCCAAGATAAATGAAGCAGTCGACACGCTCAACTACTTCACTCCCTATCACTAGTTCGGGTGTCGATGTAACCCAATCCTGAAGCAACATTTTGCATTTCGAGGGAGAGAATCGCATCCCGAACATGCTTGCGTTATTGCTTAGAGTGGTCAGAAGACTCTCCATTTTGTCAGCGTCTTCACCAAATAGAACTATGTCATCTGCATATTCTAAGTCAACAAGTGAACCTCCTGGTAGAAGTTCAACCCCTGGAAATTTAGATGAGGAGAATGTTATCTCTAAAAGCACGTCAACGACAAAGTTAAACAAGAATGGAGACAGCGGGCAACCCTGAAGAACACCACATGAGGTAATCAATTCTGATGACAGTTCACCATAAGCTCTCACTCGACCAGTTGTGTTCGAGTAAAGAGCCTTTACAAGGTTAATGTACTTCTTTGGTACTCCTTTCAGTGACAAACATTGCCATAGAACCTCATGATCAGTAGAGTCGAATGCCGCCTTAAGGTCGAGAAATACTACCATTGTGGGGCGTCTAAACGTGTGTCTGCGTTCTAGAACCTAACGTAGTGTGAATATCTGGTCTATACAACCACGTCCAGGTCGAAAACCGGCCTGGTTTTCTCTAGTCTGCTCTTCACGACCTTTGGTTAAGCGTCGAAGTATTATTGAGGCTAATATTTTAGACACTATATTAGTCAAACTGATTTTTGTGTGATTGTCATAAGAGGACTTTTGTTCTTTCTTATAGACTGGTAATGACAATACAAACCGACTACTACAGATACGAACTATAATTACGGAATAATCAAAATCATGGATCAGAGAGATTCAAAGAATCACAGAGAATTTCAAGAACAGTGGTATTCAGGTCAATCTACAATCAATTTTTGCCAACCTATAAGGAAAATGACAACTAGTCAAGTTGCTAAAAGGTTAATGGAAGAAATTGCTCGTAAGAGCAAAAGGACAGGAAGAGCTGAAAAACCTTTGAAGTGAACTATTCATCGAAAAAGCGATCAGAACAGGCTGATTTAACACTTGTGAATTAATGAAACAGCTGACTTCTAAGTAAGCGCTGATGATGTCCAGAACATTAATGAAACTATTGAGCTTAAAAGAAATAACAAAACCTAAAGTTCCGGTTTAATATAGAAGTGTAAAATCTCATTTATTATTTCACTAGTTTTTAAAAAAAAACGTTACACGAATTAGTGACAAGTCGAAGAAATTAATCAAATATCTACACTTTTCACGTGAAATCTACGTATAGCATAACTATACTACTAAGAAATAGTATAAACATAAAGCACTCACATTTTCTTATTACCATTTGAATTCATTCTTTCAATTTGTGGGATTAAACGTAATAACAGTTGTGAAATGAAATCTCCAAGACCATCGAAAATAAATCTGATCGGAAAAGTCAAGGAAAGAGCAACCGTTTAGTATATACATACATATACAGAAACAAACAGAATAGAGTGTTGAAATATAGAAATAAATTGTTTCGATGGTCTTATACTACGTTTTCATAAATCTTTATCACTGTGACACGATATTGAATGGAGAACAAAAAGAATCAATGTAGAATTCACTGAATAAATATTTTTATGCAATTTTTCGTCTTCCAACTCTGGTGATCAACTAAATAATATGGGATTATTGAATTCATTATAAAATTAACCTTCAGGCAATAGATCGAAATTGAATAGGTTATTAATTAGAAACTTTAATAGAGATTCGTGCTCTGCGAAATCTGTTCGTTTTAGACTTGGTTTCATTGTAAATTTATAGGTATCATATGATCTGTTGAATGAGAGATGATGAGTGAGAAATACTGACCCATGCACACTACTGTTCAAGACTTAAATTCATTGTCCGGTTGAAGGGAGATATGTTCGATTGGCTAAAAGGTTTCTGTTGGTCACGTGTACATTGACAAATAAGCTTGAACACACATTATGATTCGATTGGTTAATACACTTTACAACTCACTTTTGATTTTATTACTCAAGTAGCTGGTTGATCTCACTTATGAGAAGCTTGTATGATAAAATCTGATATCAGACAATTGCTCAAAACAGCACATATAAAAACTGTAACATATACTAGAGTAGAGAACAAAACTAAGTTAGGGTAAATAAGCCCAAAAATAGCAAATTCGGTAGAATTTTGATGTATTCAAAAACTAATCAAGTCAACTGAAAAAGATTGAAACACCTGAGATTCATAGAACATTAAATTATCCTAGAATATAAATAAAAAAGTCCTTTGACAGTAAACCAATAAAGACACGCCGTATGATAAGTGGATGTGATTGGTTATAAAATGGTTCTCACTTTCAAGTTATACGACATATATATAAAAAGGACTACAGATACAATGCATTTAATTTAGCCAAATGAACGTTTTTTCTCCTTCTACGTCTCTTATTTTTAGTAACCAGAATTTTGTGTAGAAAAAGTGTATATCAGTACGAAGTCTCTGACACTGCGTATCACAACAAATGTAGTTTTAAATACACCAATAACAGTATTATTAATTCTATAATCAACTCAGCATTTACGGCCAAAACAGACAATATACAACAAGAATAACAGTACATTATCCAATCAGAAATAAACAGTATAAATTAATATTAAGGAAACACATGGTGCATGCTACTTATACTGACAGATATAAGTAGTATGTAGCATCAATCGGAAGTGGACTGCCTGTCAGAAGAAGATGGAAATAAAGAGAAAAAGAAAGAAGAAAAGGGAGGAATTGGAATGACAATCGAATTGGAAGAACGAAGTATGTAAAGGACAACTGAAGGCAGATGTGCAAATAATGAATTTAATGTATGATATTCATATTATACAACAGTAATACGTGATTATGCGCAAAACAATAAATTGGTTTTGCCCACATGAGTTTTCGTGTTTACTACAGTACGACTTACCGAAATTTATGCCGACTAAATGTATGTATCGATAAATCTTTAACTTGTTCAATATATCCAAGAAAATCTGTCACATATTTATCAACATCAACATCGTCTAATGGACACCAATAAGTAACACCATCAGGTAATGTACCGAAATAGTTATATGCCTGTATTCTTACTTCTAAATAAGTCATTAAAAGACATGCTTCTGAGAAACGATTTAATTCTTTTGCATAAGAGACAAACGAATTATAATAATAATCAGAAGATGTACGTATTCCACCAACTACTGATTCACTTCTATTAGTACTAATAGATATGGAAGATTTTATTTGATATTTTTTTGAACCTTGAGTCCATGTGTCTAAATTCAGTACACGATAACAGAGCCAGCACTAAAAAAAGAGAAAAAATACATATTGGAAATTAGAAAAATGAATATGTGAATATAAATATGATTACTTACTTACTTACTTAAGTGTTGTCTAGGATGAATACACGTAGGACTGACTGCAGTTAGGCTTATACACTACTACATCCTAACTCATTACCCTAGAGGCTAAGTACTTGGGCTCAAAACCGAAGCACCTGGCTTCGATTTCCGGTTACATGGTGTTAGATGAGCATTGATAAAGAACTCCAAACTATCCAGTACTTTCATGACCTGCTAAGTCGTTTCGTGATTTCAGTAACATTCAACAATCTCCACAACCAAATACAAACGCTAAGGTTTGTTGAAGCCACTAACTACGTGTCGACAGAAACAAATAAACTGGTACTTACATTACACTTGAGTTGGTAGCAATACTAATTCATTATACGGAATTGTATGATTCAGATTATTTCCCCTTATTACCTTATTTGTTTCTTTAATTTCAATTGGTTTAGTTAGAGCTTGTATTTTTTCTAAACAAGTATCTTGACATATAAATGTGTGGTTAGATTATTGTTCAAAGTGTATGGTGATAATATAATCACACAAAATTCTGAAAAATTTTTTCACATTGTATTAACGGAATAATAATTGACTACTACAATAGAATGCTAAATTCTTTTATCATCAGTTTAAGATTGTGGAAATCGATGAGTTTTGATTGAGATCGTGAATGGATCAGTGTTAAATCATCATTGAAAACCTGGGAGCACTGGACGGCCGTTTCATTTCAGTATAGGACTCCTCAGCAGTGCACATCCACGATCCCGCACACAGGATTCGAACTCTGGACCTTAGATCTGGTGTGAGGCAGTTACTCACTGAAGACAATGGAAGAAGGGTCGCGCAAGATCATGAATTGATTGGAGTTAGATATTAACACAGTCGGATGCCAGCTCAGTGGTCTAGAGGTTAAGTGCTCGTGAGCGAGATCGAAGGTCCCGGGTTGTTATCCCGCGTACGGGATCGTGGATGCACACTGCTGAGGAGTTCCGTGCTATGATGAAACAGCCATCCAGTGCTTCCAGCTTTTCAGTGGTGGTGTAACATTGATTTATTCATGATCTCAATCAATATTTTCTTATGACTCTTTATAAATAAACGTTTTCAATATTACCAGCTGTATATTACACTGTTAATGAATCTACACCGTTAACTTGTAATCAAAATGTATATATATATATATATATATATATATATATATATATGTTTAACTATTAAATTTAAAGATTTGTAACAAGATAAGAAAAACTCAACATTTGGGAAACACACTCCACAAGGAGTCAAGTGATTGAGTAACTTTGATAAACTGTTCAATCACCCAATTAACAATGCAGAAATAGGATAAAGAGGTTATGGGAAAGAGAGACACAGATTATTTAAAACCAATAAAACCTTAAAATGAAGGAATTTTTCATTTGCTTTGACATCAATATACAGTCTATATGAAAATGTCACTTAAAATACATGTCTGTAGGTAGATAAATTAATACAGCACACTACTACGAAACAGTGAGTTGTTATAAGTAGTTACACTCAGAACTCGTCAACAATGTGTATACACGAGTAATTGAGTTAAACTCTGTGACGCATCCAGACGTGAGCACTATTAACGCTTTACGATATTTCATACATTCATTACATGAAAACTAGCTTGTTTACAGAAAATATGTATAGTTGGAAGTATTCAGAGAAGTCTAGTCATCACGAAAAACATGGAAAATCAAGGATTAATTCAAAAACTCAGTAAAAGTTTGTGACCTAGATATATGTAAAGTAGTCATAGTATGACATTTAATGATGCTAACTATTAAAAAATAGATCACAAGTACAAGCCTCGTTTCGACTACGTAGGGGAATGGTCTAGACGGTAAATATCACCAAATACATTAACCCATACATGATAAATGAGTAACATTCAACAGTACTAACTTGATTCCTAGACTTCAAATTGTTTTCAGACCATTACTTCACATCATTATTGAGTGATTAAAGATGCGATAAACGATATACATTTGCTTCAGGTCTTATGTTCTCTATACTTTAGTTGTAATCAACGTAGACCCTGGGCTAAATGTGGATTAGCCCAAGTTACTTGGTAGGTTGTCCCATAATACATGGGTAATGCTTCAAAGAGATTTATGATCTTAAAACCTCCAGTCAACACATGTTTTCCATTTTCATAGACTGTTTCATAGAGGGAAGAGATGTAAAGTTTGCTGGCCCCTTTGTGTCACTAAGTAGACATCTCACTTACTTATATTTATCTGTAAATTACCAAAAATCTAATAATTTTGTCTAATTTGACTAAAGCAATTAGTCCCTTTTATAAATTTCGACAAGTATATGTGTGACCAGATTGTTCGAGATGTATAGCGCAAATACATCACATTTTTCAGATCAACTCCGTCTTCTCATTGTTCTATCGTAATTTGACTAACTTACCAATGATTCAGTTAATCGACCCAATGCTTTAATTAATTGAATATTTCGTAATGTAGGTAAAATTTGATCAGATTTCTTCTCACATTCGGGTAATTCATGTCTTATCATATGAATTAATTGGTCAGTTTCAGCAACAGCTAATCTTGTCGCTTCACGTTCATGAATTATTCCATGTAGACGCTGTAATTTTTTGTACAAAAATAAATATGTATAAAATAGCAGTGAATACATTCAACAAGTTAGATACAATAATAGTTACTCATTTACAGTACCGTATTATAAAAATGAGGGTTAGTTTAAATACTAATATTACTAATCATAATATAATTAATTTACTAGGTATAGGTTAATGTACTCCGTTGTGGTTTACATTTTAAATCTGAGGGTTAGGTGCAATATACCACCATCCAAACGCTTAAATGAAAATTAGTAAAGTACTATTCAAAAAGCAGTTATACATTAAGGGGATGGATTGAGTTAGACAATCGTTTGAAAACCAGGAGGTATTAAACAACCATTTTGTTCAAATATTGGGAATTCTGAACGGTACATATTCATGACGGGGGTCAGACATAGAACCTGCCGATTACGCCATGATGACTTAACCTTCACAAAACATAGTTGGAGTCGAGGGGTTTACAATTATAATGCCAATCAATTCATGACCAATGACTGTGGCGATATTTGTCTCATACTCTACATGGTTGGAATTCACCGGTCACTGCATCTCACTAAAACTTTAAGAATTACTGCTAGAGAGTACTGTAAAACTAAAAAATTTAACAAGTTCTACAATTCCCTATATTAAACAAATAGTAAAAGCTAGAGTAAAGAAAACAAAGAAAACCTAAAAAATAAAATTAAGGTATCGTGCATACTGAAGGGCGGAGGAAGAAATCAAGCAGAAACGCTGGAAGTGGATAGGGCACACATTAAAGAAAGCACCCAACTGTGTCACAAGGCAAGCCCCCATTTGGAATCATCAAGGCCAAAGGAAAAAGGAAGACCAAAGAACAAATTACGCCGAGAAATGGAAACGAACATGAGAAGAATGAACAACAATTGGATAGAATTAGAAAGGAAGGCCCAGGACAGAGTGGATTGAAGGTAACTGTCAGTAATGGGTTGTGGAGGTTTCAGGAACTAACCGACCTAAGCCAAAGCATCACTGAAAACCTGGAAGCACTGGACATCCATTTAGTCCCAGTAAAGGACTCCTCACCAGTGCGTGTCCACGATCCTGCACGCGAGATTTAATCAAAGAACTTCGGTCTCACGTGTGAATTGTTTAGTATTCGGTTGTGAGCTCCTTAATACTATCTTATCCGGACTATCTTCGTACTGTTAATTGACGCAAACATCTTTTCGATAGCGTTTCACTTCAACGTAATAACAATTAGGTCACAACACAAAGTATTATTAAATTAGGTTGATTGCAAGCAAGCTTATCCTCCAGCAAACCAATTAGACAGACTGAGCAAACAAAGGAATCATGGGATATACAGTCCCTAGACAGACTCCGTCGGGTAACGGTAGTTATGATAGCCAAATACAAATTGAGTCAACAGAAGTTATTTCAGGTATTTATCTATCTTGACGGATTGTAGGGAGTGGAACATAGAGAAAGGTTACCTAGACTACTAAATTTTATGAAGCGTATCTCAACACTTATACGTAGACAGTAAAAGCAAGCTAAAGGACTTGTGAAGAATGGAATAATAGAACATGCACACAGAAATATACACATAAAAACGATTAAATAAACAAGTGAATAATTGCCAAGGTAAAATATATGTATACATAATAACTCAAAAAAGATTAGATTAAATTATTTGTTCAAAAGCAAGAATAAATAATGTAAGGGTACAATAGTACTATTTATTTATTTTAACACATAGATATTGGTACAAGGAGGCACCAAATACATATGCGCAACACAAATCTTATTTGATATATGTGAGGGCTGTGATACTGCCCGGGTGTCCAAACCAAAATAGGTGGGCCACACCCGGAGCCTACGACCTGAAGGTCTGATCCATAAGGCAGTGGAGAATAATATTGTCCGACCGGCCATTTTTTTTTAAAAAAAACCCCACCCCATATCAACCAGGCAGTGGAGCATCGTAAGGAGATGCAGTTCCATGGTATCCGGTGACCAATACTTGGTTCCTACGCCATTTGTTCCTTCAGGATACTGGAGCCCATGTGCACCGTCGGTTTGAAATCAGGGTTTTCCAAATCCCCTAGGTGGATTCCCTATGTCCACCAACCCGGTCAAAGCGCCGGACATTCGCTTTTCGTCCTCTCATTTTCGTAAACAACACCCCCGCCACGAGAAGGCAGTGAGTATGACTTCCCTGGCAGAGGCTATATACGCGTGGCCATGTGAGAGCATTTGGAGAGGGAGAGCGGACTCTCCCCACTCTCGGCCGTACCAGGGCATTTGGGGACTGAAACGTGGTTCGAATATACGACTTAGTAGTCAATCATTTTAACTACTGAGTTATTACACCCATTGAGTGTATACATTTGAAAAGTTTTATAATTCAAACAAAATTCATGTACAATCTACTTTGACTTTTCAAAAAAGTTCAATCAAACTCAGGTTAGTTTATGATGATAAGCATTTTTCACTTTTATAAAATGAAAAAAAAACTTCAAAAAGACTAGTTCAGTTGATTATAACATACCATATATTCTAAACCTCTTTCTGCATCATCTATATTATCGGAATTATTATTTAATCCATTAGCAAATGGTATTATACTTGGTATATTGATATTATTACAACCAATTGTATCATTATTATATAAGCCTAAAGCGATTGCACAAACTGGTTTAATGATTGTATCACTTTCATTCATTTTCTCTCTAGCATTTAATTTTTCAGTCTCTTCTTTTTCTTCTAATCGTTTTATTTGTATATCATTAAATGAATTTGCATTCATTGTTCTATTATCATGATTATAAGTTGTTTCGTGTGCTTTTTTCTTAGCCAATGACTTCTCCATTATTGTATTATTAGCTAATAAACGTGCTTCATGTGTAGCCATACGTTGCCATGATGGGAATTTTCTATTGAAAAAAAAAAACGAAAAGTGAAATGAAAATTACATATGAGTTACTTTTCAGTAACTAATTAATATAGACTAGACTAGAGCAAGACAACAATAACCAGACGTAAAGGCGTGTATTGGCTAAACAAGGGCCGCATTCCTACAAGTGAAGAACATATGAGACTCAAAACAACTTTCAACCAATATCAAGGTCAGAATCTTCAATACGAACGAAAAGACAGTTCTAATGTACGCAACCGAAACTTGGAGAACTAATACAACCATCATCAAGAAGGTACAAGTATTTATAAATAGCTGTCTACGCAAGATACTCAACATCCATTCGCCGGATACCATCAGCAACAGCCTTATCTGGGAGAGAACAAACCAGCTTCCAGCTGAAGAAGAAATTAGGGAAAGACGATGGAAATGGATAAGATATATATTACGTAAATCATCAAACTGCATCACGAGGCAAGCTCTAACTTGGAATCGTGAAGGGAAGCGGAAGAGAGGAAGACCAAAGAACATATTACGTCGGGAAATAGAGGCTGATATGAAAAGGATGAATAACAACTAGGAAGATCTGGAAAGGATTGCTTGGGACAGGGTTGAATGAAGAGTGCTAATGGTCGGCCTATGCTCCTCTACGAGGAGTAACAGGCGTAAGTAAGTACCTAATGATCAATTTATTTGAAACGATCAAGTTCAACCTTAGGATTGATACTTAAATTGTATAGTAGTTATTAACACAATCCAAATAATAATTTATCAACCAAATACATGTTTATACTCTTCTGTAAATATTACTGATACCACCCGGCTGCTCAAATTGCAGTAAGTGGAACGGAATTTGAACTAGGGACTTAATTTTTGGTAGTCAGGTACTTTAATCCTTAATTCATTATTATTATTCCATTCGAATAGAGTTGACATTAGTCAATGGACTAAATAGTTTTAACTCGAGTACTTAAAATAATAGATACTTTGTAAAGTACGTTCAAACATTAATGGATCATTTTCCAAGTGATGCAATACCTCTCCTCCTAGGTTATATAATTAAATAATTGGTAGGATAATCATAAAGATTTTTCAACTCGAAGATAGTTTGGATGAACGATAAATTATCTGGTTCAAGTATCTATCTCTGACAAGATTGTTGGTCCGAACTACTGAGAGCAGTTTCAAACTTTCACAAAACAGTTAATCAATGACTTTCAAAGTTATAAACAGATATCTCTAGCTAAAATCAATTAATAATTAGTAAGACGGATGAAAAAGTGAGGTAAGTCTTAATAGTTTCAGTGTAAAACTAGTCTTGATTTTTCAGTGTAGCATTTACATTCTCTAGATCAATTAAGTGTGAACTACATTTAACACGTTTTTCCTATATGTGATATCATTAAGTGTGTGCAAAAAATCAGTATACAAAAGTGTATTTTTGGTTAAAAATAAAGCGTCTTGGATTATCAATAAAATTTGCATCTGCACTAATCTTCCATGCTTATTGTTTGTGTGATTATCAGTTAACAAGTATTAGCAATAGAACTGTAGTTATAACAAGAATGTAAACTTCCTTTCTTCCTTCTTATGACTTAATAATGTAACTATTCTGCTCAAAAAGAATTAAAAACTTACTTCCAAAATCGACTAACATCATCATCTTTTGACCATTCAGAACTTGGCAAAGCAAGACCTGTTTCAAGTTCACCTATATCTAGAATGCCAAGAAAATAAAAAATAATAAAGAAATCATTTAATTGAAACAACACATGGAATTGTTTTAATAGACGAATCAAACAGTTTGAAATAATATAAAAAACGACAAAATTAATATGTAACGAATACGTAGGAATTAAAATTATGAGTAATTTAGACTAAACTACTGTACGGTAAAGTTGTTTTAACTGAACAACAATGGTGACAGTGAAAAAGTTATACAGGTCAACACTATTCACTGTCATTGGAAATGAAAAAGCTTTCCAGGTCTTTACAAAACTATATGGGTCATAGATAGATATTAGCAATTAATATAGTTTAGAAAGTGTACAATCAGATCCTTTTGTACAGCGTTTTACGTTGACACAGATTCCGAAAGTTCGGTTAGCTTAAGTCAACTTGCTATTGGAATTAAGATGTGATTAGCCAGTGAGTGAAGACAAGTAAACACTAAGCTATGCTAAATGTAAGACACTATATGATGTTATGAATTCTTTTCCATCGTTAGTTCTTCTCTGGGTTTCGATATAACTTTTTATACAATCAGATCCCTTGACAAATTTAAACAGCAAGAACAACAAGGTTTGCAGAATAAAATGAATCCATCAGTCTATTTTACGGTTTCTCATCAGCTGTATACAACCTAAAGTTACAATAATCAATATAAATATAATTTTCACAGTTAAAATTACGAGTCGGTCTAAGTTAGACCACCTTTTATTCTAATAAAATGATATCAGTGAAAATGCCCCCTAAATGCCCTGGTATGGCCGAGAGTGAGGTGGGCTCGCCCTCCCTCTCGAAATGCTCTCACACGGCCACGTGTACACAGCCTCTGCCAGGGAAGTCCTACTCACTACCTTCCCGTGGCGGGGGTGTTGTTTACGAAATTGACAAAACGAAAAGCGAATGTCCGGTGCTTTAACCGGGTCCCAAACCAATGGTGCACATGGGCTCCAGTATCCGGAAGGAACAAATGGCGCATGAACCAATCGTTGGTCACCGGCTACCATGGGACTGCATCTCCTTACGTTGCTCCACCGCCTTGTGGATCAGACCTTTAGGTCAAAGGCTCAGGGTGTGGCCCTCTAATAAAACCACCTGCTTCGGTTTGGGCACCCGGGCAGTATCACAGCTCACACACACACAAATATGGTGTGGCGTATATATATTTGGTGCCCCCTTGTACCGATATTTATGTGTTGAAATAAATAAATAAATAAATATCAGTGAAAATTTACACGCACACACATATGAACACGAATAAGTTTCTTTCATTAAGAAACAAAAAAACATTCTGAGAGATAAAGTAAGGCGACTATACTACCTGCCTGTTTCATTTTTCTTCATAATACATCCATATAGATTTTAGAAAATACTTCTGTTAATAGACAATAAAAAACTAATAATACAACTCTAGTTCGTCTAGTACTACTGACTATATAAATATATATACTACGAATATGCAATTGTTGTTAAGTAAAAAGTAACAGAACGACAGATTTAATCAACTTGCATACAGACATCAGGTATACACCTATTATATATATATTCACATGTTTGTTAGACAAATAAAGTAAACAGATTATAAAATTCCCTACTTATCATCCAAATAAAAAAGATAAACAGGGAAAAAAAGTATTAATTTTTAGGAAGACCTCAACGTAGCATAACGAACAATTGATCATAATCCTATACTACCCCATCTTGTCGTTCCCATAACATGATTTTTAATAATAATAATAATAATAATAATAATAATAATAATAATAATAATAATAATAATAATAATAATAATAATAATAATAATAATAATAATAATAATAATAATAATAATAATAATAATAATAATAATAATAATAATAATAATAATAATAATAATAATAATAATAATAATAATAATAATAATAATAATAATAATAATAATAATAATAATAATAATAATAATAATAATAATAATAATAATAATAATAATAATAATAATAATAATAATAATAATAATAATAATAATAATAATAATATAATAATAATAATAATAATAATAATAATAATAATAATAATAATAATAATAATAATAATAATAATAATAATAATAATAATAATAATAATAATAATAATAATAATAATAATAATAATAATAATAATAATAATAATAATAATAATAATAATAATAATAATAATAATAATAATAATAATAATAATAATAATAATAATAATAATAATAATAATAATAATAATAATAATAATAATAATAATAATAATAATAATAATAATAATAATAATAATAATAATAATAATAATAATAATAATAATAATAATAATAATAATAATAATAATAATAATAATAATAATAATAATAATAATAATAATAATAATAATAATAATAATAATAATAATAATAATAATAATAATAATAATAATAATAATAATAATAATAATAATAATAATAATAATAATAATAATAATAATAATAATAATAATAATAATAATAATAATAATAATAATAATAATAATAATAATAATAATAATAATAATAATAATAATAATAATAATAATAATAATAATAATAATAATAATAATAATAATAATAATAATAATAATAATAATAATAATAATAATAATAATAATAATAATAATAATAATAATAGGAAAATGAGAAAATGTATGGACTATTAAACAAAGGTATTGAATGAATTCCGAATTCAATAATGTGTATTCAACTACCTCCTGTTTTAATTTACATAGAATAGATGTGAGACTTTTACGTTTTCATAAATATAAAATAAAAACAAAAAAAGGTAAAGTAGTGTATTCTGTGAGTTATTGGCCTTGGAAAATATAACAATATGATGAGAATAAATGATGAGTGACACACAACTCAATATTGAGTTTAAAGCAATTAATTCCTTTTATAAATCTTGATGTATTGGCGCCATATATTTCGAACAATCTGGTCACATATATACTTATCAGAATGAGTTTTGTGGAGATTTTAGGAAATTTCACAGGTTGAAATCATGAGTCAGTTGAAGCTAGACCACCATTAAAAACCTGAGGAGTTCCATACTAGGACGAAACGGCCGTCCAGTGCTTCCAGGTTTTCAATGGTGGTCTAGCTTCAACTAACTCATGATTTCAACCTGTGACATATACACTTGTCAAGACATTTTATATGAATATTAATAAAGGTCAATTAAATGAAAGTTCAAGCAAAAAAGGTAACAAAGGGGAGAAAAACATTTCTTACTTGAACTCTCATTTAATTAACCTTTATTAATATTCATATAAAATGTCCTGACAAGTATATGTGTGACCAGATTGTTTGAAATGTATGGCGCCAATACACCACATTTTTCACATCAACTCCGTCTTCTCATTACTCTATCGAAATCAAGATTGATTGACAAGCTCCACTAGCTTTGAAACTATTTCTCTTGACATAGGAAATATTTGTGAAATTTACATGAGTCAAATATATTTTATTGATGAGTAACTGTGATTTCTCATGATACAGTTGCTTTGTATTTTGTTAATTCAGTAAAATGTAACTTTATTTTTGTTGGTTAATGTAACAATTAACCGTTTGGCTAGGTTCAACTGGATATTTTTCGTCTTGTTTCGGTTTTATGTTATCAGATTAACAGTTTAGTCACCGACAACATAAGAAGACCTAGAGATAATGTAGTACACCAGCATAGTGAAAAAAGAACTAACAAGAAGAATCGCAACGGTGTAGAAGTGATATAACGTTAGCGGCTTGGAGACAGTTTGCAGCAAACCCTTGATCTAGGTTTGAAGCTAGCTGAAACTTGTCAGGAAGCCATACTTAGAATCTCGAAGGAACTGATTCTCCTTGGTGGATTCGAACTAATATCACCTAGTCCCACAGTCTCAGATAATACTATTGAGTCTTTTGTGTTGTGACTGACCTTCAATCGGACTGAAGTATTTACAACTGGTTGATTAATGAATGGAGAGTTTCCTGCTGACTAGCTCCGATCACCAAATATTAAAACATGGTGCAAGTGATATTGATTCACTTAGACTAGTGATCATATCGCGAAGTTATCTGCGGAATTCCATCAGTATTAAGAACTAGAAAAACATGATGGTAACGAATTACTTATCACTTAATGTAAAGCAATATGATGTTTAAAAAAATTCAAACATAAAAAATACAATTCAAAAAAAGTAACGAATGAGATTTACGAGATAACAGAGAATAAATGTAACTGATTCACTGAAACTGGTTTAAAGTCACGTCACCACTTGAAGTCCCCAAAGACTGCTCACGATTATCGTGTAAACTACAACCTGATATGGTTCGGACCAACAGTCGATGGCTTCATGGATTGCTATATTGTCTTGGTTTGACAGCTTTAAGCTTTTATACTACTTCACAAATTAAAATTATATATATATATATATTCAGAAGCTGAGACTGTTTCTACAAATTATTCTGTAACTGTGTGATTTACAACTACAACCTACTTTTATAAATCCTCCATATAGCAGTGATAAAATCTTCCAAAATTGTTAGACCAATGTGTAGACAACCACTTGCAAACTCTGGTAAAGCGACACACATTTTTCTTACTTCATTTAAACACTGGTCCACGACGTAAACGATCTATTTGTTTAAAAAAAGGAAAGTAAACATTTTCAGTAATATCACAGTTTCACATAAAATATCTAGGTTGTCACAAAACAAACACCAATATTAAGTAAGATATTTTACTAACACCATTATTCAAAAATTTACAGTAAACTATAGTGATAATTATTCATAAAGTATTCAGGAAATAAGGAATATTTGAGAGTAGATGATCACTATTTCATCGTAGTAGGTTGAAACCAATTATATTCACTAACAATCAAGAAATTAGTTAAAGCTGTGTGTTTTTTTTCTTGACGATTTATATCAACTGGGGAATTATCGAAAACCAGATAGGAGTTTCGGGGAAGCATGAGAATCCTTAACAGACAAGTGCCAAAGCTTCATCGAAAAGCAGGCTAAAGACACCAAAGTTTGTGGTATGAACATGTCACCATTAGTAGTTGATAGGTTCAGTAAGTTAGTCAGTAATAACCACTGGAAAACCTGATACACTCGAATCAGTTCAAGTTACCACAAGAAATCAGTACAAAAACATGAAACTGTGAAAAGAAAAACCAGAGTAATAGAAGTAGCAACAGTATCAGTGACGGTAAGAAATAAAAGGCATAGAAAATATTACTCAAGGGTCCCACATCATTGCGACCGACTTTGATCGATATCAGTCAACATCTCCAACAATTGGTCATGACAGCTGCGCATATCACAACCAGGTAGTCTGAACCTACTTAGACAGCTTAGCCTATAGGGTCAACCTCACACACCGAGATCTGAAAGTCCTAAACTTGATCCTATATAGTATCACCGGTGTTCCATCGCCTGAAGAGTTGCAAAATAGGACAAGACAACTGTCAAATGTTCTCAGTTTTGAATGGTTTACAGCTTTCATCATGATATCTAGTAGATTTTTAGTAAGAAACACATTACTTAAATACTGTGTATTGTCTAGCTAAAAAATAAACGGTAATTTATTGACTTTCCAGAAAGATGAATAGATAGTCAGATATATGTAACTTGCAAGATATATTTGTCCCGTCCTTTGCAATTGTTGTAAAATAATGTAATATAGACTTTGGTCAGGCTCACTCAGTACCTTCAGTAGGTCCTTCGATTAAGTGTTGGAAATAGTTACATGGTTGAGTTCATACTCACAAGTGAATAAGACACGCCTAACGCAACAGTGAACTTAAGCTTGTTGAAAGTCAGATAATTAGATAACTAAATGGAGTTTCCATGAAAGTCGATTTGAGTTTACTTAGACAACTTAAAATCATATTGTTCACAATTAATCGGAAAATATCATGTATCTAATCGTTTAATGAGTGCAATATAAAATTTTTGGCATCTGCTGGGATCACCGGGTAAGTAATAGTGAGGTTAGACACAGGGTATTAGGGAATGATGGTAAACCAGTTGATGAGGTTGTGAATCCTCATCCACTGAGATGGTTAGGCCACGTGTTACGTATGCCCGAACATCGATTACCACGACGTGCAATGCTAACTGGTGTTGAAGATGGTTGGAAGAAAGTTAGGGGCGGCCAAACCAAAACGTGGCATCAGTGCTTGAAGTCACTAACTTCTAGACTGAGTCATGTTGGTAGACGCAGACTACTTGGTTGGAGTCCGCGTGACTACTGTAACCAGTGGTTGAAGACTCTTGGTGACATGGCTGAGAATCGATCACAATGGCGTAGGTGTATACACTCCCTGTCTTCCCTTAAACTAAGAGATTAAAATCGCTTCATATCTTTCATTCTACGAATTAATTCTTTCTTTCTGTACTATATCCTTATATGCAATCTTTCTTTTATATATTACAATCTCTGAATTAACTACTTTTATGAATCCGGTGTTCATCTTGTTGTGTTAATGAGGTATGGCAACTTGGACCGATGGATATATGTGTCCGGTCGTTTATGTAATACATATGAATATGTTCGTGATCGAAAAAATACAGAGAAAACAATCTTGAATAGAATGAGAAAGTACTTACTAAAAGAACTGGTCTATTAAGATTCAGTTCACGTTCAGTTTGTTGAGATACAACTGATGTTAAAACGTCTGGCGCTGTGACAGTTAAAAAAATATATTAAATCGGAGTTTAAAACAAAAATGAGTTTTAAGAGATTCAATGATTTTTCAAAATTCAGACAAAATAAAACTAAACTCAGTATTGAATTCTTAGCTTTTCACTAACCTACCGTAGCTGCTTCTTTGACGCAATGGTCAAGGTTGGCTTTCTTGACGAATCAGTTGGGATACATAAGCTGGAACACTTGCTCTTTAAAGTTTAAGGATTTCAGTTGTATTGTTTAGAGGTTGATGACACTAAAAGCACTGAATTTAAGACCCGAGGGAGGAATCTCAATGAATTATATACTGAGGTATGTTGTGAAGTAAGGTTTACCTCATAAATCACCAAACACTCAAACGATGCTACCTTACCACAACAAAATGGGGTTAGAAAAGTCGATCCTCAAAAAACAGAAAGCCATGTTTCATGCCCCCCTGAATGCCCTGGTACGGCCGAGAGTGGGAAGAGTCCGCTCTCCCTCTCGAAATACTCTCACACGGCCACGCGTATACAGCCTCTGCCAGGGAAGTCCTACTCATTGCCTTCTCGTGGCGGGGGTGTTGTTTACGAAAATGAGAGGACGAAAAGCGAATGTCCGGCGCTTTAACCGGATTCCAAATCAATGGTGCACATGGGCTCCAGTATCCTGCGGGAACAAATGGCGTATTAACCAATCTTTGGTCACCGGCTACCATGGGATTGCATCTCCTTACGATGCTCCACTGCCTTGTGGGTTAGACCTTTGGGTCAAAGGCTCGGGGAGTGGCCCCCTAAGAAAACCACCTGCTTCGGTTTGGGCACCCGGGCAGTATCACAGCCCACACACAAACGATGAACTCTATGTCTATGGCAACTACTTTTCTCGCTCCGAAAAACAATCAATCGATTCAAATAATTATCATTACTATTATTGTCATTATTAATACTATTATTATTACTATTATTGTCATTATTGTTATTATTATCATTATTATTATTATTTTCCACATTATTCACCCTCTTTTATACTTATACAGCGGCTCGTCTTTGGTGGAAATCCGACTGTATCTAAACGTTCTCGAGTCACTGTCCGGTCGAAAACTGTATGTTACCACCGAATACGAGGACTGAAGCAGATTTTCTGAAACCACGTGCACCATTCAAACTGGCTGCCTTCAACGTTCGCACATTTATGCAGGTCGGACAACAGATAGGGCTGGCTATGTCTTTGGAAAGTCTTAATATCGACGTGTGTTGTCTATCCGAGACCCGTATTCAAGACTCTGGTGAAGTACTACAAATTCGATCTTCATCTGTCACTTCAAAAAGCTTGTTTTACGTGCGCTTATCCGGGGACCCTGTGGCATCTTCGTCTGGTCTTGCTGGCGTTGGTGTCGCACTAAGCGCTAGAGCTGAGGCAGCACTAGTCGATTGGATCCCCATTAACAGTCGGTTATGTGCTGTCAGATTAGAAAGTTCCATCAAAGTGAGAAGAAATCGGCATGAGAAACGATTTTTTTTCGTCATCTCCGCCTATGCCTCGACAGATTGCAGCCCGGATGCAATCAAGGATGAGTTTCACCACCAGTTATCTGTTCTTCTCCAGAAAGTGCGTTCGACAGATATTGTAGTACTAGCCGGAGACTTGAATGCTCAGGTCGGGCGTCTAGGCACAGAAGAGAGTCGTTTAGGTGGCCGATGGGGACTCGTTGGTCGCAGGTCAGATAACGGGGACCGTCTACTGCAACTTTGCACAGACCACAACCTGTTTCTGGCTAGCACTAACTTTCGGCACAGTCATCGCCGATGTGCCACCTGGCGTCCTCCCTCTGCATCCCAAGCCTGGACTCAGATTGATCACATCGCGATCAGCTACCGCTGGCGTGGTTGTGTACAAGACTGCCGCTCCTTTTGGAGTACCTATCTGGACTCTGACCATGCCTTGGTCTGCGCCAATCTTGCCTTACTTTTCAGTGGACAACGAAGTGACCGCCATCAACGGATTGATGTTAGCAAGCTGGTTGCAACTTCTGTTGCAAGTAAGTATAGAACCGAGCTAGCCTCTAGGCTAGCTACCACTCCACCGAAAAGTATAGATGAGCATTGGTTGCAATTGCATGACGCCATGAAAATGGCGGGAACAGTCAGTTGTAGGTTTGCGAAACGTCCCGCTTTTAAGCACTGGGTTTCTTCTGGTTCCTTACAACTCATTGAAGCCCGTCGGTCTACTCCGGGTGACCGTGAGTTTGACCATAAACGAAGGATGTTACGTGAAGAAATTGGGCAAAGCTTGCGTAAGTACCGAGAAGCCTGGTGGTCGGAGCGTGCTAATGAGCTGGAAGCAGCAGCTGCATCTGGTAACTGCCGGAAGCTCTTCCAACTCATCCGAGCCACTGGCAGCAAGAAGTCTGGTGTGAGTGAAACAATCTGCGAGGATGATGGGATGCCAATCACTAACATCCATCGACGTCTTGGACGATGGGCAGAATTTTTCGAAGGGCAGTTCAACTGGCCTGCTGCTCCGGCAACATCGGTCAGACTGTCCTGCCCTCCATGGCCGGTGACGACTGATCCACCAAACGAGGAGGAAGTCCGCAAGGAACTCCAACTCTTGAAGCGTTACAAATCACCTGGCCCAGATGACTTACCTCCGGCTCTTTTTAAAGATGGTGGTGACTTTTTGACTAAGGAATTGACGACGTTGTTTACAAAGGTTTGGGAACTAGAGAGTGTACCAACGTCAAGGAATGAGTCGATAGTTGTCCCTATCTTTAAAAAGGGTTCACGTCGTTCTTGTAACAACTATCGGGGGATAAGTTTACTTCCGATTGCGTCCAAGCTATTGGCTTCCGTCATTCTTCGTAGGTTGTTCAAAACCCGAGAAAGATTGACTCGCGAAGAGCAGGCTGGGTTTCGTTCTGGTCGAGGATGTATTGATCATATCTTCACCCTCCGCCAAATGTTAGAACACCGCCATACTTTTCAAAGTCCAACAGTCGTAGTGTTTCTTGACATCAGGGCTGCCTTCAATTCGTTGGACAGGACTGTTCTCTGGGATTGTCTATTGAAGAAGGGTGTGCCTGAGAAGTTTATTAACATCCTAAAAGCCCTGTATAAAAACACCTCAGGCAGAGTGAGGGCATACAACCACCTCTCTCCATTGTTCCATTCGAGCAGTGGGGTTAGGCAGGGTTGCCCAATCTCACCATTCCTCTTCAACTTTGCCATCGATGACATTCTAGAAACAGCTCTGATGGATGTAAGTAATGGCGGTGTGGATCTGTTGCCTGGAGAAAGACTTCTCGACCTTGAGTATGCGGATGATATTGTCTTACTGTGCGATAATGCCCAAGACATGCAATCCGCACTTAATCAGTTGGCAATCAGTGTCCGTAGGTATGGTATGTGCTTTGCACCTTCGAAGTGCAAAGTACTTCTACAAGACTGGCAGGATTCTAATCCTGTACTCACCCTGGATGGTGAGCAGATAGAAGTAGTCGAGAAGTTCGTGTATCTGAGTAGCTGCATAGTGCTGGTTGTGGCGTGAGTGATGAGATCAATGCACGAATAGTGAAAGCCAGAGCGGCTTATGCCAATCTGGGCCACCTTTGGCGCCTTCGTGATGTTAGTCTGGCTGTAAAAGGCCGGATCTACAACGCGTCGGTGAGAGCAGTTTTGCTCTATGCTTGTGAAACCTGGCCTCTCCGAGTTGAGGATGTTAGACGACTCTCTGTGTTCGATCATCGCTGTCTCCGAAGGATTGCTGACATTCAATGGCAACACCATGTCAGTAATGCAGAGGTTCGGCATCGTGTGTTCGGGCACAGAGATGATAATGCAATTGATGTCACCATCTTGAAACACTGACTTTGTTGGCTTGGACATGTTCTACGAATGTCGTCCCAGAGAATTCCACATCGTGCATTAATTGCCGACTCTGGGACTGGTTGGAAGAAGCGGATAGGTGGTCAGTGCATGATATGGTGTCGTGGTATGAAAGAAAGCTTCAAAGGACTGGCTTGTGTTGGTTCTTCACGACTCCCTGGCTGGGGTCCGAGAGATGGTGCGACAGAGTGGCTAGAGACGTTATCAGATATGGCTCAGAATAGAAGCCAGTGGCGATCCTGCTGTAACCTTCTTTTACTTTCTTCATAAAAAGTGGTTGTGTCTCCTTTACCTGAAAGATTTCTTCTGATTGTACCTTTTCGTTCCGCCGTTACTACCACACTACCTTACTCCAATCTCTTCGTCATTGTTCTCCTTTTCTTTTGCGTTCCTTAGTTTTTTTTCTCTCTTTCTACTTCTCTTTGAATTCTCATTGTTTTGTGTGGCGCATATATATTGGCGCTCTCTTGTACCAATATTTATGTGTTCAAATAAATAAAATAAATAAATGTTTCATCATAGATTTCTGGTGTTTATGATAAGGTCCTTAAAGTATAGAGTTATCATATCTGAAACTACTCACGAAAAGGTGATTCATATCAGATACCAACCAGTTATCCTTTGTGCAGTCACGATCTGAGGTTGGAAAAATCACCACTCACCTAGCTTTCCTTTTAAAGTCCATCAATGATAAATATCACTGAACAGAGGAATAATAATAACTTCTAACATGCCTCTGATAGAAGTTCAGCTCGAACTCTTTCACCATTACTTTTAGAAATAAATGAAACAAGACTGACTATTTACAATTAAATAATTAATTCTTTGAAATAACGTTTGTATAAAATCAAACGAACGTTTATATTTGACTGTAGATCATACAATATTAGTCTGCTCACTTTCCGAGTGAGTAATTTGCTAGGAAGATAATATCATGAAAGTCTATATGCAACCCCAACATACTACAGTGATTATATAAGCATTAATCACAACTTGGGATTAATCTCAAAATATTGATAGAATGGTTGATTTAACGTAAAGAAGATTAGTTTAAAAATTTCTTAGCGGTGACAACCAAAGGAGCATGTTGATACTTTTCCCTCAAATTAATGTAAAATAAAAAACCACGTAGAATTACATGTATATATGCTTGTCATTTATGAAAGAGTTCGAAGCATATTTCGTGAGGATTTAAGCGTTTGCTTGATGCTTACTGATAAAAATTAGCCAAAATCGTATGATTTGATGTTACGTGTTGTGGTGTCTTTCTAAAACGACTGTGTCATATTGACCTAACGATTGACAAAAACATTGTAAAACCAAGTCAAGTAATGTATTAGATGGTTAGAAGAAAACCTTGAACCTCCAATTTTGTGTTAGTTAGCAGAGGTCAGTGATCTTGAAGGAATTGATTTAAACCTGCATCACTTAGCTTCACATTTTGAGATGCCACCATTGAGTCAGTTGGGCGTTGACTCAGTTCCTGTCAGGATGGAGATATTTAGGATTCATTGATTGTTAAATAATAACCAATATTATGTTTGTCTAGTCCTTCATTCCTGATTCAGATCTATCGATTAAGTATTATATATAACAAGAATATAACAAGAAATCGAATCAACTTACACTGGCACAAGAACAATATGAAAGCAGTAAACTTACAATTAAGTGATTTCTGAAGTTTATTACGTAAAGAAGAAAGTTTTCCAGGTAGATAAATAGTTTCAATGAAAGTTTTGAGTAATGTACGTAATTGACATTGTTGACGGTAATCATTGCTTGTATTACTAAAGGTGAGATGATAAAAAAAGATAAGAAAAATATTTTTTAGAGATTACAATGTGCGACATGGAGTTAACCATCTAATCGCTTCATATTGAATAGGTTACAGAAGCATTCTGATTTTTTTTAACGCCTGATTATTAGTTCAGAAACAGTTACATCATTTCAAAAATGTATTATTCTTTTCTCACTCGTCATATTTTCTTCCGAGTAATCAAGTTAGTGTATAGAAAGATAATGTATCAGTATACAATCTCGGATACTGCGTATCACAATAGAACGTTTTGGAATTAACGTAAAAAAATGTGAACCGAAAGCAAATGAAGCAATGGAATACTAGAATGTTCAGAAGATAAAGAAATTGGTAAAGATGGAATACAACTATATAATTAAGATTGAATTTAATCTATGTGATCAGAAATCTTCAGCCAATGATTACATTTATTTTACATATTATAACTGAATAATCTATCACTAGTCTAAGCATCTCTCATCAACATTCAAAGAGACCATGAGTTATTATAATGATTTTGCTTTGGAAACCCTTAAACGGTTTCTAATGTACTCCTATTACAGTCAGTATACGGTAATTGGACATACACAATACATATTTGAACAAACTCACCCTACGATATTTCAACACCTCAGTAGTTAACTTATTATCCTTGCAGAACAATATACACCCAGTATTTATAATAGAAAATCGATTGCTCCATTAGTTGTCGTAGACTTGTAAGCTACGCTTATCTTCTAATATCAACAAAAAAATTTTGAAACTGCTAAAAAATATCGAATAAGCTTTCGGGCAGAAGACCTTCCTCTTTGACAATCAAGCAGATATTCCCTGCTCTACAGATGCTCATCCAGGTGCGGACTTGGTTTTCCGTTGCCTAATCCCCTTTAGACTCATTGCCGTATTTCTATCAATCAAAAAGATACATCTATGTAAAAAATAGACCACTAATTCGTGTAAAACTAATATAATGTAGAAGAACAATGATTCAAACTTACGAATGAGGAGAGGACACAGAATGTAGATCAGAAAATTCAGTATATTTGATCATTTCCCATTCGACAGCTTCAATGAATTCCATAACCATTTTGTATACACTTAATATATTATCACCAGATGGTCGACAAGCTAACGGGTAAATTGGAGCTGATTTCTCAGTGAGATTTTGTCCAGACTGAGTCTCAACACCTGGTAAACCTGACTGATTAGGAAAAACAAATTAAAATAGAAAATAGTCAAGTTAAAAAATTTGGATAAATAAATGTAGATTAACAACGATGAATTAAAAAGGTTTTAGTTGATTGAACTGTATAGTCGGTGTTCCATTTAGTTGATAAGCTGAAACTAGACAGCAACATGGAACCTGCCACATATATATGCATCGGTTCAAGTTACCGGACCATAAATGAATTCTAATAAATTCTAATTTACTGGTTTTGTGAAAGCTATGTTTATCTTTACTTCTTATAATAAAGCATCTTGAGAAACAACCATTTTAATGCATTAACAAGTTTATTGTGATGGGATTGATTTTCATGATAGACAAAGAGTTTATTATTTCGAGGATTAAAGGAAAGACTAGATACACATAATACTGGCCACTATTCAGTGATTAATTAATGAATATAACTCAGTCTAATATAGGACTTCAATTATGGCCCCAATAAATCTAAAACTGTGAAACTAGGTAACCTGGGTTGAACTAAACAGGAAGTACAATTTTCCTTAAAATTGTAAGTAGGCCTTGCTGATGAGTTCCAGCTAGCACGAAACCTAGTCAGCTACAACGTAGGACCAGGCACATATATGCATCGGTTCAAGTTGCCATACCTCATTAACACAACAAGATGGACACCGGATTCATAAAAGTAGTTAATTCAGAGATTGTAATATATAAAAGAAAGATTGCATATAAGGATATAGTACAGGAAGAATGAATTAATTCGTAGAATGAAAGATATGAAGCGATTTTAATCTCTTAGTTTAAGGGAAGACAGGGAGTGTATACACCGACGCCATTGTGATCGATTCTCAGCCATGTCACCAAGAGTCTTCAACCACTGGTTACAGTAGTCACGCGGACTCCAACCAAGTAGTCTGCGTCTACCAACATGACTCAGTCTAGAAGTTAGTGACTTCAAGCACTGATGCCACGTTTTGGTTTGGCCGCCCCTAACTTTCTTCCAACCATCTTCAACACCAGTTAACATTGTACGTTGCAGTAATCGGTGTTCGGGCATACGTAACACGTGGCCTAACCATCTCAGTGGATGAAGATTCACAACCTCATCAACTGGTTTACCATCACTCCGTAATACCCTTGATCTAGCCTCACTCTTAATGGCCATGTTTCTCTGCCGTAAATGAAAACAGAACGGATTGCCGCGCAGTATACACGTTCTTTTATTGATAAACAGATATCTCGCCTTCGCCATAGGTGACGTAAGTTGGCCAAAGTCATACGAACTCTTCGAATCCGCACTGAGATTTCGTCCGATACCAACCCATTAGGGCTGATCAAACTTCCAAGATAAGTGAAGTTGTCTATGCGTTCGACTACTTCACTCTCTATCCTTAGTTCAGGTGTTGACGCAGACCAGTCCTGAAGCAACAACTTGCATTTAGAGGGAGAGAAGCGTACTCCAAACATTCTGGCATTGTTGCTTAGTGCTACCAAAAGATTCTGCATTTTATCAGCACGAAACCTAGGTCCAAGGTATCTTACAAACTGTTCTTAATCACCTAACACGAAATCGAATCCTAGAGTTTACAAAAACTAACATTCATATCAAATAGAATTGACACTAATTTTACTATTTATTACCAATCGATGAACCTATACAAGAAGATTAAATATAGATCACTTAAACTAATTTATACACTTGTTTTTCTTCTTAATGTTGAGAATAATAAACACTGTATCCTTGAATCAGTATAATACATACAGAACAATAAGATGCTCCAATGTAAAGTGCTTATTATCACATGATATGTTTACACTATCTACAAATGAATGAATCTTGATAACCTTTTATCATTTATTCTCAGTATTGATTATTGCTGAGAAAATTTTATTTAATACATTCCATATAATTAACGTTTGAGTTATACTATTGTCTAATAAGAATGGACCAACATTTAAATAACATGGAATTATGAAGATAAAATGCTAGTTACATAATTACAGATTTCAAGGAATTATTAATCAGAAGGGGTTTTGTGGAGATTTTAGTAATTTCAATAGTTGAAATCATAAATCAGTTGAAACTAGACCACGATAGAAAAACGGCCGTCCAGTGCTTCTAGGTTTTCTATGGTAGTCTAGCTTTAACTGAGTCATGATCTGAACTATTGAAATTATTAATCAATTGTTATGAATTAACAACTGATTTAGTGTTTATAGCGAAAACAAACTTTTACAATGGTTCGTATAGTGGATAGCAATGTAAACTAGACAGTATATTTCGTCTGATTTCTGATTTATAAAGTGGATACATCTGGACTACAGCATTGACATTTACAATTAAAGTTGAACTCAAAAACAAGTGATTCAAATTTGACAGAGTTGTTCACTAAGTTACTGATATGTAATTAATTGCTAAAAAAGCATGTTAGGTTTTTTGAACTTTTTTCTAACAGACACTAATATTATTTAACGTACCACACGTTCGAATCACTCTTATGAACCGTTTTAGTTAAACTATTATTACAGTAATCCAATACACTTTGTAGACTTACCATTGCACGGCTTTCTGATAAATATGTAGATATTCCAAGATAATGTGATGAATTAGAAAAGCTAAATAATGGCACATTACTTTGACCTTGATTCGTAGCAGCAGTTGTATTAGTGGTGAAGTTTCCACTTCCAATATTACCAATATGGTTTGACATAACGTTTCCTGAGATTGTGCCAATAACAGACTGAGAATCTCGTGTATTAGTAATATTTCCAGGAGTAGTAATGGTAGAATTAGCATTAATAGTATTGGCAGTAGTAATTGTAGTAGTGGTAGTAGAAGAAGCAGCAGTACTATTACTATTACTTGAACTTGTAGTTATTGATGCAAAATTAAATGCTCCAATTCGTTTACGACCCATTAATGCATTTAAATCCACTTTTGATAGATTTAATGAAGCACTGGAATTATCACTTCCTGGTGTAATATCCCCTCCGCTAACAAAACTGTTTCTACCAGTTCGTGCTTGTAATTTAAGTAAACCATTTTTATTTGATGAAAGTGATAATTCATTTAATTCACTTGGTGAAATATTATTTAAATGTGTTAATAAAATACAATAGACCTATAACAGAAAATAGAATAATGAAAAAAGCAAGATTATTGTGTAAGTACGTACGTACGAAGTTCTACGTTGTTATTGACTGATTGTGTAATTTATGGAAAATGATGTGAACAACTGTATCTTGAATACAAAATAGTTTATTGATGAAGTCAAAGTTTTTCCAAACTAAGAAATCCGGAATATAAGAAACGTTTTCAGTTGAAGTGAGTTTTAAAATGATAAAATTATCTGTCTACTCATTATTGACAATACAATCTTATTAATTAAGTTGTAATTTGGCCATTTTTGCTCAACTGACTTAATATTGTATGAACTCCCACAAATAATGTATTTTACTGTGACAGTGGATGATGCGGATTTAAATTAAACAAGAAGAAACAATTAATACAAGATGGTGGATACAAGCTATTGTGATGAATGCCAACCTGGAGCAAACGCAAGTTCAAGGTTCTATGGCGATTGCCTCTGATCGCTCAACAAAACTATCTCATAATGTGGTATTATCTGTACAAAATGTTGTAACAACACGATAGCCATAATCTATGTTGGTAACTGAGAAATTACTTAGATTTAAGATAATTATTCGAATTAACCCGATATTCCATTTCATATATTTTTCTATTGGTTGATTGTACTTGTTTAAATCGTGGACACTGAAAATTTGAGAAAACTATGGGTAAATAATGCATTGAAACGATCCCAGTTATTTATTTTCTACACTATCTAAATAGTGTATTCATTGTACAAATCGCATGTATAAGCTTCCATTTATTACTGCTTTATTTAACCTCTTATATCATACTGTTAGGACCCGAGAAACATAATGAATGGTAACTTTGGGATCCTTTTATGGACCAATACTAAACGTATATTTTTATCGTATGATTGTTAAGTAACTAAACTATTCATATTCATGTTCCTCTTATAAGCTTTCTTTTGACCCATAAACTATTATTATACGTTTTACCATTCTTGAGTTATACCCAGTATATTAATTACTACCACGCTCATTCACAGCCATATCTGGCTAATTCTTTTACAAATGTTGTTTCATATTTTATTAGTACTTTGTGGTCTGTTTGATTGCTATATAAACTCAGTATGTTTGAAATATAATGATTCATATCGCAGAGGCTCGGATTGGTGTTCTGGACTTAACTGGCTGGGCTAGGCGGGTAGCAGGGCTAATCAGAACTCTAGGCTGCTCATACGGGTTTGCGTGTCATTGATCCGATAGATAAGTCACTGCTCTCTAATCGGCGGTCACAAGTTATAACACATACTTAACAAAAAATCAGATCCAGAAGAAAATGGTTGGGCTATTTACTTACTTCATATTGCACACAAGACCAGATATAATGAGTAGTTAAACCTTGTAATTCTGTTGAAAACCTGACATGTTTCTTGACAAGAGAAAGAATGGCATAAAAATAAGTATTTAAGGACGCTAAGCGAAAATGGTCAACAAAGATTGTTTATATGATCAACACTGTATTGAAACTAATTAATATAAACAAGAAAACACTAAAATATTCATATCTTGAAATAGAGTTGTTTGAATATAATGGAATCAACACAGGTGAGGACTGATGAAATGTTGCACATAGGATCCTAGATAAGAAATTACAAGTCAACTGATGAGGCTGTAAATCATTATCAACTGAGATTATTAAAATTTGTAATGAATGCTTAGTTGTGACATACTTAGAGATAATAACAGTTTATTAAACCGTTATCTGTAGAACTGAGTTATTTAGTTGCAAAACCCCAGCTGTATTCACCATAGATAATTTTCTTGAATAAAGAACCTCATTTTCCGATTGCAACTGTGAAAAAAGTGAGATGCAACAAAACTTACACAACCTATCAACAAGATACAATAGTTAACCAGGTGTGAAAGTGATATGTCCATCAAGCATAAGCCATGATTGGCTATTGAGTATAAACAGACATAATAGATTATTTTATCTTGTAAACTACAGCTTTGCTTCTTCCCTGTTTTCACTCCATATTTATGCCGTTATCCATTGCTGTTATTGGTAACTGTCGTTTGATCGCTGGTTGGAACTCAAGAACGTGTCTCACGTGAACGAGTACCTACTATCTAGCGTATCATCGATGAAATCGCAACTTTAACATCAATCAATAATTCGTAAGATGAAACTTAAAATAAATCAAATGAATGGTAATCAACAAAAAAGAAAAAAAACGAGAAAAAAAGTATCACCTGTTTAGCTCCATTCAAAGTACGTAAAACAAGAAGGCATGCTCTAGCTTGCATAAATAAAGCATCAAATACTAATTCCAATAATTTGATCAAATATCTAGGTGAATTAATTTCTGACAATGGGACAGTATCATTTTGAGCAATTGCTCTGTGTGGAAAAAGGTTTTTGTAAAAAAGAAAAACAAGCTTAATACATTCATAAATATATATGTGAAAAAGAAAACAAAGCCAAACTGAAATTCTAACATATAATGATTGAGATTATGACATTTTACATCAGTGCAATCGGCAGCACCTAACACAAACACGTTTAGAGTAGTGTAAATAATGGTAAGTTAATAAGTTGAAAGGATGACAACAACACGAGTCCCATACTAGGACGAAACAACTGTTCAGTGCTTCCAGGTTTTAAATATATGGCCTAACATTGACCGGTTCATGATCTCAATCAAAACTCAACATATCTCCAAAACCCTATACTGGTAACAGGATATGAATCAAATATCGAATAATAAAGTATGAAATACAAAGATCGATTTACTTTGAAAATCACGAATTTCCTAAAGTATTTAGCCAATGATTAAAGTTTGTTTTAATTGACTTGAACAAGGAAATCATCAGTTACTTACATGATACAGATAAATAGTAAAAGACTTCATAAATAAATATCATTCTGGGTATTATGAAATTCCTTCAATATAATCACTATTTGAATTTCAATACAATGCATGAATTCATCTGCGATAAGTCAAGCAACTGTGAAATCGAGAGATCCTTGAAGATTCAGACATAAACAGCGCAAGACAATTAAATCATTCACTTATCCAAGTCAATTTAAACGAATAACCCTATGGAAAAACTTTAATTATCTATTTAAACACATAAAAATTGGTACAAGGAGGCACCAAGTAGATATGCACCACATAAATCGTTCGGTTTATGTGAGGGCTGGGATACTGCTTGGGTGCCCAAACTGAAGCAGGTGGTTTTCCTAGGGGACCACACCCGGGGCCTTCAACCTAAATGTCTAATCCACAAGGTAGTGGAGTAACGTCAGGAGATGTACTCCTATGGTAGCCGGTAACGAACAATAGGTTCATATGCCAATTGTTCCCTCAAGATCCTGGAGCTCATAAGCACTATTCAGTCAGTCAGTAACAACGTAGAACTTCGTACGTACGTACATCACTTCGAGTTGCCACACCACATTAGCACAGAGATACAGTGGTCGATTCAAATCCGGTAGTGGTAGAGGTAATAAGAGTATAAGCAGTAATCGGGAAGATTAGGGTTTGGAGATATTATTTAAAGAGTATAATCCAGTGAAAGAAATTTGGAAAGAGGAAAAAGAAAGGGACATGAAGAATTCAGAAGATTAGAATTTGGGAGAACACAGAGAGTGGATGCACCTGCGCCATTGCAAACGATTTTGAGCCATGTCATTCAGGGTCTCTAACCATCGGTTGCTGTCATCTCGCGGTCCCCAACCAGGTAGTCTACACCTACCAACATGACTCAGTTCACTTGTCAGTGACTTCATGGACTTGTGCCATGTTTTGGTTTGGCCGCCCCTAGCTTTCTTCCAACCTACTCCTATACCACTGAACATAGCACGTCAAGGCAGTCGGTCGTTGGGCATACGTAACACGTGTCCCAGCCATCTCAACTGATGAAGTTTCACTACTTCATCAATTGATTTGCCATCCTTACCTAGTACCCGTTTCCTAACAACTGTGTTACTTACTCGATGGTCCCATGATATATGAGCAATGTTTCGAAGACACCTATGATCAAATAATAGTAACCTACGGATATCCTCTACTCTTACCGGCCATGTTTCACTGCCATAAAGTAGGACGGAACGAACTGCTGCGCAGTAAACACGTCCTTTGATTGATAGACGGATATCTCGCCTACGCCATAAATGACGCAAGTTGGCAAAAGCTAGTCGAGCCTTCTGTATCCGTGCTGAGATTTCGTCACACACTAAACCACAAGGGCTGATGAGACTTCCAAGATAAGTGAAGCGGTCGACACACTCAACTACTTCACTCCCTATCACTAGTTCGGGTGTCGATGTAACCCAATCCTGAAGCAACATTTTGCATTTCGAGGGAGAGAATCGCATCCCGAACATGCTTGCATTGTTGCTTAGAGTGGTCAGAAGACTCTGCATTTTGTCAGCGTCTTCACCAAATAAAACTATGTCATCTGCATATTCTAAGTCAACAAGTGAACCTCCTGGTAGAAGTTCAACCCCTGTATATTTAGATGAGGAGAGTGTTATCTCTAAAAGTACGTCAATGACAAAGTTGAACAAGAATGGGGAGAGTGGACAGCCCTGACGAACACCACTTGAGGTGATCAATTCTGATGACAGTTCGCCATAAGCTCTCACTCTACCAGTTGTGTTCGAGTAGAGAGCCTTTATAAGGTTAATGTACTTCTTTGGTACTCCTTTCAGTGACAAACACTGCCATAGAACCTCACGATCAATAGAGTCGAATGCCGCCTTAAGGTCGAGAAATAATACCATTGTGGGGCGTCTGAATGTGTGTCTGTGTTCTAGAACCTGACGTAGTGTGAATATCTGATCTATACAACCACGTCCAGGTCGAAAACCAGCCTGGTTTTCTCTAGTCTGCTCTTCACGAGCCTTAGTTAGGCGTCGAAGTATTATTGAGGCTAATATTTTAGACACTATATTAGTCAAACTGATTCCTCTGTGATTGTCACAAGAGGACTTTTGTCCTTTCTTAAAAACTGGCACAATCAGTGATTGAGACCAGTCAGATGGGATTACGTCCAGTTCCCAAATTCTACCTAAGACCTCGGTTAATCTCAATGCTAATACTGGACCACCATCCTTAAAAATCTCAGGAGTAAACCTGTCAGGGCCTGCTGCTCTCCCTCGCTTCAGATTTCCTATGGCTTTTTCAACTTCGTAAAGGGACGGAGGACTTACATTAACTTGCCATTCAGGTTGACTGGAGATCGTGGGAAACCGAAGTGTGGCTGAAGGCCAGTTGAACTGATCCCTAAAGTGTTCTGCCCATCGATCCAATCTCCTGAATTGAGAATGAATAATATGTCCATCTTTCTCTGAGATTGTTTCGCTAACGGTCGGGTTCCTAATTCCGGTTTCCTTAACGAGTCTAAACAATTGTCTGCTATTACCTATTGCCGCTGCCTTTTCCATCTCTCTTGCTTTCGCTACCCACCACTGTTCGCGATCATTGCGTAGACTTCTTGTCAGCTTGCGCTTAAGCTGACTCCGCTCTTCATTATGTTCAGAGCCAGGTGGAATGTGTTTCCGAGCATTTATCAGTGAGATAGATGCTGCTGAGATCCAGTGTTGCTCCCTAACCTTCTGGTTTACCTTACTAGCAGATATCGCTGCTGTTTCCACAGCTTTTCGGATATCATTCCATGCTACATCGGGGTGGGCATCACATACATGGCTGCCTAACTGTTTGCCTAGTTGTTCCTGAAATATACTCTTAGCTTGACTATCATTAAGTAGGGCCCTAAGAGGTTTCCTTGCAGCATCTTTCCTACGTCCAGTAAGACGCAAGCAAATACGCGCTCGCACTAGAGCATGATCTGAATCTAGGCATGTGCTCCAGAATGAGCGACAGTCTTCTATCGAGCCCCTCCATCGGTGGCTGATAGCGATGTGATCTATTTGGGTCCAACGTTGGGACGAATTAGGGGGTCGCCATGTTAAAAGATGTTTTTCCTTATGCTTAAAGTTAGTATTTGCAAGGAACAGGCGGTTATCTGAGCATAGCTGCAACAGACGGTCGCCATTATCTGTTCTTGGAGCCACGACACCATAGGATCCACCTAGGTGTCTTTCCTTATCGCTTAGTTTACCTACTTGAGCATTAAAGTCACCGGCCACTATTACTACATCCGAGCGCTTAGCTTTTCGGAGAAGGTCCGAAAGCTTTCTGTAAAACTCATCTTTTACATCATCTGAGCTGCAGTCAGTGGGAGAATAGGCAGAGACGAAGAAGAGGCAACGACGAGTGTCCCTATCTTTCCGGATTCTTACTGTTCCGTTCAGTCATAAGCACTATTGGTTTGGAATCAGGGTTTTCCAACTCCCCTGGGTATACCCTTCACATCCACTAACCCTGTTAAAGCGCCGGACATTCACTTTTCGTCTTGTCAATTCGGTAAATAACACCTCTCGTCACGAGAAGGCAGTGAGTAGGACTTCCCTGGCAGTGGTTGTATGTACGTGGCCATTTGAGAGCATTTCGAGAGGGAGGGCTGACTTCCCCACTCTCGAGCGAACCAGGGTATTTGGGGGCTGTAATGATGAGCAAGTTATTAAAGCACACAGCATCGCACTTGATATTCATTAAATCAATTTCAAGTGAGAAGAAATATATAGTTCCCCATAAGTTTTAGGAAATTTATGCACCAACTGAAAATTTTGAAAAAAAGGACCATTTAATACAGGTGCAGTAAATGTACGATATTTACACTATTGAGTCGCAAACAAAGAAGAACCATTAGTTTAATGATTTTAGTTTCCGTAGACTATGTAAGTATCTACAGGTGAAACCTGTTAAAGTCAGAGGGGAAGTAGCAGTTTGTTTAAGGTCATAGATATCCCAAGCTGATTGATTAGTGTCAATCATTACGAAACCTAGGTTCAAGACTTCCTATTGATTGACTTTAATTAACATTTTTTTAAAACATGAAGGACAGGATCTTAATCGACAGATACATTGATAAGTCTAATATGTCAACATATACAAAAGGTCTACAGAAAAAAATCAGCACGAATACAAGAACACAAAGACAAAGCTCACGAAGACAACCTATCACAAACGAATCCATCAGAACGAATCGATATAAAACACTTTTGGAATAACTGAAAACCTTACTTAAGCATGACGCAGACGATGATGATGTCTAGAATAACAATCAAAGCTCCGTAGTTAAACTATATAACCTAGAGATTATAATACTACAAAAACAAAACGGTGTCAAATCATTTAGATGAACGAACATACAGTAATTTGACCGATAGAATCAGACCAACGATAAAGCTTATACTACTATGGTATTGTTTATTACACCATGACTGATAATCATTGTTCAGTGATATTAGTTCCTAGTGAAAACTATTCTACAAAGAAGCACACAGGATGAATTACATTACCAACGTGACCATAAATAATCTTTTGACGAGACATCAAACAAGTTTCACATGGAATAACATAAGAGATTAAAGTCTAAGTTAACTATAACAAGTGCAGTATTTTTTTTTAACAAAACATCATTAACATATTTTTTCTTAGTTTCATTTTCCTACCTGTTTTCAATTGTTTTACTTAATTTCAAAACAATTGAACGATGAATTTCACCAATTAAGCCTTGTCCTAGAATCAATGGTGCCGTAAACACATGACCAGTTCCAGCTATTTGTGAAATATACGATTGAGGACGCCAATCACCTAGATACTTATTGAAAAAAATTTAGAACGGAGAGAGGATATATTGAAATGTTTGTTATAAAATGATGAAACAATAAGTGAAATTACCAAACTTTGAAAGTATTTATACATTACTAATGTATACTTTCCAAGCACTTAGTTTATAGGATCTTTATATTCCATTAATTATTTCATTTAGTTTACTAACTGATATCATATTTTGCTGTCTTCAAGTAACAGTAAGCCTAGTTTTTATATTTATACTGTATATTTCTTAGTAAAGTACAATTGGTGATATCAGAGTGGTGGCATTTGTATGAAATTTAGACACTGAACTTCAGTGCTGACAAGGTGAGCCAATCAGTCATCAAGTGAGGTCATTGTTATATCCTAGTGAAGATTGAATTACGGGTAACTTATATATATTCCTCTTATTATAAACTTCATTTCGACCTATTGGATTAGCAAAGTATTATGATTGAATAAGTCGTATTTCGATTGGCGAATAAATCACGCGCCAACTAGACGGACTTTAAGACACAACAGTCATTATGTGCCAATTAAAAATCTCCTGAATGACAAAGGAATTTTATTGGTCAAGGAATGAATTCATTTTCAAAGGAATAGACATTTATTTGATTAAGTTTCACCCAATAGACTCCCTCCCCTGCTCTTAGTTTTGTCGCTTAGTTACCCGTTTGTGGGAGGGGGTTGAACAGCACTTTATGAGAAATGCGATTCATTGTATTCACAGATTCACTGTTGTTACGCATTTAACTGAATAATAATCATTGTAACTAATCTATATATAATGGCACTAAAGTGTCTTGTAAACTTACTCTTGTTTACTTTTACCCAACGAATCTTTCCTAATAAGATTTCTCTTTTAGAGTAGTTAAAACTAAACGAGAAGAGAGTTGTTGTGTATAGTATCAAGGTTTGTGCTAGAGTTACAGCTGTTTATCCTGCTCCATAACAGGATGGATCGGTCGTCTTTCCATATGTTCTGGTTGGGGCTTGAAGACAGTTCAACGTGGGTCAGGCTAATAATCGTTAGTATAACATGTCACTGAGTTAAGGCGTCGGTATTATTAGTTCAAGCAAAGTAGGGAATGTCATAAGCCTTATTAAATGATGTCAACTATTGTATATGATAATAGGAGATGGAAACAGTGATTCACAGTTTAATCGACTACGATCTATTTGATATCGGTACGTACAATTTTGAGTTATATCTGCACTAGCTACGTGTGAGATATCTAAACAAGTTAGATACTTGTACAAAACGTTTTGTACCACTTTCAATTGTAGTGACGTACCTTTGAATATCTACATGGTAATCTCTGTTCTCAATGGTAAGAAGATACAAATTACGGAGGTTCTCGTTAATATTTCATTCAGGTTAGAATTTTAAATCCTTTATTTTTGAACTACATTTTAAGGAAAGCCTTATTATTTACTCGGACATGGTCAAACTGATTTTTCTCGGTTATCAAATGGTAATAAAGTGAGCTGTACGTTGAGTGAGTGAATGGGAATCGAAATAGAAGACGAGATAGGAATAGAACTAATAAGTTTGTTGTCAACAATACTGATATAACTATATTTCTAAAACATACACCAAGAGATTCACTTGTTGACTTAAAATACAAAGATGATATAGTTCTGTATGGTGAAGACGTTGACAAAGTACAGAGTCTTCTGAACACCTTACGAAAAATGCAGGGATGTGGTTCTCACCCGGCAAATGTAATATGTTACTTCAGGATTGGCTTGCGTCACCTGAATTAGTGGTAGAGAGTTAAGTAGTTGAACGCATCAACTGCTTTAATTACTTTGGGAGTCTCATCAATACCGATGGTCTGGTGTTTGACGAATTCTCGTCAGGGATTTAAAGGTTAGATTGCTTTGTTCCTACTTGCGTCACTTGTGGCATAGGCGAGATATCCGTCTTTCAACCAAAAGGGAGAGTTCACTGAACAGCAGTTTGCTTCGTTCTACTTTATGGTTGCAAAACATGACCATCAGTAACAGAGGATACTCGTAGGTTACTAGTATTCGATCATAGGTGTCTTCGAAACATTGCTCGTGTATTTTGGGACCAAGGAGTAAGCAATGTCTAGGTTAGGAATAGAGCACTAGGTAAAGATGGCAAAAACGATTGATGAGGTAGTAAATCTTCATCAACTGAGGTGGTTGAGACATGTGTTACGTATGCCTAACCATCGCCTACCTCGACAAAGGGTTGTCTGGTGTAGAAGTAGACTGGAAGAAAGCTAGGGGCGGCCAAACCAAAATATGGCATCAATCCATGAAATCAATGACAATTGGACTTGGCCATGATAATAGGTGTAGACCACTTGGTTGGAGCCCGCGTGATTATCGCAACAAATTGTTAGACTTTGGATGACATGGCTCGAAATCGCTTGTAATGGCGCAAGTTGCATCAGTTCTTTGTCTTCCCCCAAATCCTGACGTTCTAAATTCCTGATATCTTATTTGTTTTCATTTCGCCAACCCATGATTTCTTTTAGGGTCATACATTCGATGTCTAATCTTTCTTATTACTAATGATACTGTTACTACCTCAACTATTCTAAAATTTGGCCTGACAACTTAATTTCTCTGTGCTAATGGGGTATAATAGCTTGAACCGATGTGCATACGTACAGGTTCTTCGTTGTGACTGACTATCGTTAAAACAGCTAAACGTATTAGCAAAGCAGTACAAACTTTTCTCATGCTCTTCTTGTCACTCAGTAAGCACTAATGTCAGATGTTCACAATAACTGACCACTGAGCAGTGACACTGTTATATTTGTCTAGTTCATGATACTATCAGGCCGAACAGCCCAGTAGTAACGTCTCAGATCACACCACTGGATGGGATGGATTTGAATACTACAAATAGTATCAGTTCTTTCAGATATCCATCACTGATGAAGGTCAAATAGTACAAAACCTAGAACCAGGGTATCCAGTTGATCGTCTTCGCACACATACACTTACGCTTTTTACCCCTCATGGAGGAACATAGGCCGTCCACCATTATTCTCCACCCAACTCTGTCCTGGTCAATCCTTTTCATGTCAGCTTCCAATTCGCGGTGCAGTGTGTTCTTTGGCCTTCCTCTTTTCCGTTTCACTTCAAAATTCCAAGTTGGTGCTTGCTTCGTGATATAGTTTGATTATTTCCATACTATATGTCCTATCCTCTTCCACAGTAAGCTGTTACTGATGGTATCCGGTCAAAGAATGTTGAATGTCATGTGTAGATGATTGTTTATAAATACTTGCACTATTTTGATGATGGTTGTAGTAGTTCTGGGAGTTCCAGCTCCATACAGTGGAACTGTCTTGACGTTCTTATTGAAGACTCGAACTTTGATGTTGGTTGACAGTTGTTTTGAGTTCCATATGTTCTTCAACTGTAGGAATGAGGTCCTTGTTTTGCCAATCACTGCCTTTACATCTGCATCCGATCCTCCTCGTTCAGAGCTTCTTTCTCAAGGGTGATTGTTTTGGTGTTCCCTATGTTGCATTTAAGTATCCTGCTTTTCCCCTTGTGTACGTTGAGGTCTACTAATTCAGAGGTTGCTGTTACACTGGTTATCTTCATCTACATTTGTTGGACACATACACACAATTAACATCAAATATTTACTGCGAAAATTATTAAAAAGCTATTCAGTCTTTATAGATTACATGAACGTTGAGCAAAATTAGTTTTAATATGATAGTCTCGTCACAATCTCGAAAGTTGATATGGTCAGAACAATTATTCATCGTAAACATGAGGAACAAAACTCTTAGTAATCTTCCAACAAAGTGTATATAACTTTTATCAAAAGGGGATTTCATTTAGAAAAATAAAAACAATATAAAACAGCCATCATCTGACAAATTACTTGTAATCTTTTCGAAAAAAATCACTGACCAAAAAGTTAATAATAATTTTAATGATATCAATTATAAAATGAAGTTAAGGTAAAAGTACAACATACTGAAAAATTTGAGAGACCCAATGAAGAAACACTGCCTAGTTACGAAACAATTATCAGCAAAAAGCCTTACTATAACAGTGGAATAATAGCTTCGATCTTAATAATCAATCTTCATATGTTGAATTATTCTTTGTAGTGAAGAAGAAAGGTTAAGTTTTGCATATTAGGAATCGAGCTAGTGCTATGATTCAAGGTTATCGCCCTATAGAGTTTTTATCACCCATTGAGACCAGCGATAATGCAAAAAGGTTAGGATTAGGTATTAAGAGTGAAGCTGGAGTATTGAGATGGGTTTACAAATTATTGTTAAAGTTTTCATCATGAACTGACATCAACTATGATGAAATGCATTGTGACTCTTCTGTTTATAAACTTGAGAAACTTAAGGTTCTGATACAGAGTGAGGGTAAGAAAGGGAAAATAATATCTAGCTTCACTAAACACTCTTGATCACGAAATAAATAACATTAGGTAATTTGACACACATATCGTGTAACTTAGCTTAAGCACCATCTGAAATCCATTTTATTATTGTATAATAGATATTTTTATTGATTTCAAACGTTTTAGGGACTAAATATTTCCAATTTTCACTTGGTTAATAATAACACATGTTATCTATCACTGTACTTTAAACTTTGCGCAAAATAATTGAGGTGTCGTCTCATTTCCAATTAGTCAACTCAAGACCGTCAGTATATTATACTTTTACCAAGATTAGCATAAAAATAATACAATACAATTTGCCTAACCTGTGGTAATTTTTGCAAGCGTATAAGACAATGTGTTACAGCTACAATTTCACGTATCCAATCAGAATGAGATAAGGCACTATTATGTTGCTGATGTTGTTGAGAATCAACTGTGTCATCATCATGATGTGAAGCTGTTACTGTAGACCGTGCAATCACTGTAGCCACTGTTCTAGGTTCTTTATATAGATTCGCATCAACTACCGGTTCACTGACTGATGCATTATACCAATCAGATAATGGTAAACTAACAAAATGTGTAACAGCAGCTTTATTCAGTGAATTGATATTTTGTAAACTATGAATATATAAATATATGTATGAAATTTAACAAAGAAAATAGAAAAATAAAGATTAGTTTCATGAATAAAATGGTCGAGGTTATTTACAAATTTATTAATATTCAATTAATATGTTATCGGCGACCTATGCTCCATTAGGAGTAACAGGTATAAGTAAGTAGTATGTTGTATATAGTCCTTATAGTCATTATTTGGTACACTTGGTGAAAAAAGTATTGGGGATGAGTTTTAATAGTATTGGGGATTTTATTTCAAGCGTTAAACTTCGCTGTAATTGTTTTTCATCAGGTGTGATGGACTGGGTTATGTTGATACGCTTATAGCAGAGTTGAGAATCAATCCAGACACTAAAGACGAAATCTTTGGCGAAAATTACTACCCAATACGCGTAACTAACAAGCCGAATAAATAGGAAAATAAAGGAAACTCCTGGGTCCGATGCAGTTGGTTAGCACTGAAAACAACGTGAATAACTTCAGTCGAATGATACAATGCTTTAGCTTATTACGACTTCAAGTATTATGACCGCTGTAATGTGAGAACACCATGTATTCAATATTTTTTATTGCTTGTTTTGATTTGAATAATATATATTGTAATGTTCGATTATGTAATTATCGTTTGTTGAAACATGCAAGCCTTTTCAAAAGTTGCATCTTCTCTCCCTCCCCCTCTCTCTATTATTTGAGTACGGTTGGCTTCGATGAAGTTTTATTTTGCATTGATCGTTCGACCCAGCTAGTTGCATTAAGTCTGTTTTCTTATAAGACGTATCTCGTATTCGATGGATCCAGTTAGAGAACAACAATCATACAATATATAACAACTACATATAGTATAGATTCATTTAACTTCTACAAGGTTACAAGGCGAAACAGGAAGAAAATGTTTCAGTTTAGTTGTGATACTGAGGCTGTTGGGCGATAGAATGAGGATGGACTCCCCGAAATTTTCGGGTCATTGAGTTCTTTGTAAATTTTAGAAAATTACAGTAGAATTTCTTGTTTTCGATTTGCTTTGACTAACTTATCCATGTTAACCATATATACAGGAGCAATTTTATAAGAACTTTGCAATATATCTCTAAGTTGATCAATACAAAATTTAGGCGAATGATCAAAGTGATGTGTATATTTTCCTTCCCGTTTATCTTTCATAAAAACTAAAGGAAATACATATTGATTGGAAAACCACGAGCTAATATAAATATAAGACAAAAATCTGTGGTAATATTGTATATTTTATGCTGAGAGTTAAATACCATAATCAAATATTTAGTGCTAAAGTGATTAATATTTTTATGGTAGAATAAAAGACTTTCTTGTTGTATATCTGACAATCAAGACATTCGGATATCCTACAGGTGTCCAAAAGTTGGAAACTTTATATAAGATGATTAAGAATGGGCTGTGATGGTGATGATGTATTTGTCCTGTTTTCTCTGACATGTCGAGTTTAAGAATTATTTAACGCTTTTTATCCAGTGAATTCATCTTTTCTTCTCGGATCATATTATCTATGTTTAATGTTTTCTACCACTAGTGATACTATCACTACTTCTACTATGACATTTTTCCTCGAATACCCTTCTCGTTGTGTTAAGAGGGTGCGACAACTTGAACCGATACACAAATATGCCAGGTTCTACGCTGCCTGTGATTGACTGACCTACATGTGACAGCCTAGAAAATAATAACGAGGCGAACACTGCTCACAGTAGTTAATTGAAGAACCATAGGAAACAAATCAGCAGAGAATAACTTTCTCATTCAAGTCTGAGAATCTCTGTTCTAGCACACGAATACAACCTTACACAAGATTAAACCTAGTTGATGTTAATAAGTCATGAGAAAAACAAATTAAAATTCGAAAGAATCGTCACAGTACGCCTAAGTATAATATTTCTCCAAAATCAACCTTATACAGCATAAATTAAGCTACCTTTATAAACTATAACTTATTAGCGCGAAATACTTGATAGTTTATTGTCAGCGGTCAAAAACACTTTAAAATGCACTGATTCGACCAATAGATTGGTTAGTATACACAATGAATGTATCGCAAAAACCGAAATAAAGAAAAAAACTATTCTCCGTTAATATTAGTTTTGTTTGGTCAACCGAGAATAGATAGAGAGCAATGCTTTCAGATAAGTCAATGAATAGAGTTAGTTGGACATATGAAAGAGCATGAATTCTTGTTATTTGATGTAGAAGCCTCCTAATGATGAGTACTAACAAACCTAAAACAAAGCTATAATTTTTTTCGAGTGATTCTTTTAGAATTGTACATTGAGATTTGGTATGACTTTACCTGATGAATAAACCATAAAACTTTGATCCATAGATGTTATAAGACCCCAAAACCATAGTATATCACTTTGGTTATTAAACAGAAAGCTATGCCAGTAATATCAACTTCAACTGCAAACATTATTATTATATTAGCTAGTAGCCGTGTACAGATTTATGTACTCGTCTTTGAGTCATAAGTCTATTTCGATACAGAAAAGCGACAATATCCAGTTCCTCAAAACAACCTAGGTAGGGTGGGCTTAGAGTCTGTGACTCAATGAACAGAATTCGAAAGCCTTAACTCTTACGCTAAGGCTACGACTAATGATAAGTTCATGGAAATGGTTTCGTATTAACGTGCTCTTGAAACTTTTAAATGGTTATGGCTACTAGCTAGTGGGCGAATCTCTGTTACTGGAGTAAATTTTGGATTATTTCAGCTATTTACTGATTATTGATTTTGTTTAACTCCAGAATTTTAACCGTTACGACTAGTGTGCCTTAAATACCTAACGTTAAAAAGTTCTTATTTTAATCTGATACCTTAATTTGACCACTTTGAGGTTTATTTTGAACTACTATCTACATTTCAAATAACATCACTCAAGAAAGACACTCTCGAAATTTATCTAATGTGATCAGAAAGGTGCACTCGATGCAGATAATAGAAACTCATTAAATCATTTACCTTGTTCTCCTAACCAACATAAACGGCAGTCACTTAGTGATAACATCGTGTGTCATCCAAGATGCTTTTAACTGAAGCCAACTAAGCTTCAAAAAATTGAACTGCGGAGTTACTTAGATATATTGACATGATTCGCTATTACAACAGCATCTAGTACCACATCACGCCTAAAAGGGTTATCCTGGCTTTTGGACAGACAAATTAATTTCTCTTGAGTCTTTATCCAAGTCTTGTTGTTTATTCGTTTTTCTGCTTCATTTCTCTTACTGTCTGTTTGTGGTAAGAAGTGCATAAAATATGTGTATCCGAAATCCAGTCTCTTATTTGACTTGTTTTATTCCGCTACTCACTACCGATAATTAAGTCGATAAACATACGAGAGCGAGTTGGACATCCACTTCGTTTTCATCATCATACCGTCAAATTGGAGTCAGATTGCGGGCAAATATGATATAACAACAAATGACTTTAGCACTCTGTTAATATCATTAAAAGGGATTGGCTTAACTTCAACAGTCGCTGAATCATATCTCGATCGCATTTAAGTTCTCAGACCAGTCATACTATATTCTATAAAGTATAATGGTTCCGGTTTATTTCCGTTCTTCAACTCAGTAGGGAGCTCGGTAACCAAGAAAAAATTGGTGTGGTGGAATTTTGGCTACACTTTTCGGTACGATGACTAGTGATATTACCTGACTCCAAATACTATATCAGGTGATCTGCATTTGGAGCTTGTGACTCAACGATTGAAATCAACAGTTTTTAGATACAAACCTATCTCTTCATTTACTGTGAGCACAGGAATCGATAAACAATTGAATTGAATGTAGTAACAATTCAAAAGAACATGATTCACTTACTCAGAATGAGAGCGAACTGATTTATCTCGTGAAGGATTTCTGATGTGCATGTCCAAAGCCAAAATAAAGGGTTTATCATAAAGCAAACGGTTTAGTTCTTTTCTCAGTTCATCAATAAGAAACTGAAGCCAAATATAAATAAAAAAATGATCATAAGTGCACCATTTAATTCATAATTTTATCAGAATCAATAGCCAATTTTTCATACTCCTCAGTTCTTTTTCTTCTTTTGGAATCTGACTATTCGAAGTCAATGTCCGTTAGTACTGGTAACATGTTAGTTTTAACTGATTTAGGTTCATAAAACCCATCAATCACTTCGACTTTCTGGATGAAATCTTTACTACACTACTTAGGTTTGTGAAGTATTGACATAATGGTTGAAGTTCCCAACTTTTAACCATTAGCTCTTCCCTACCTACTTCCATCTGGGCCGACAAGCAATGTAACCACTCTTCAGTGTAGCACAAAGCCGAGTACATAAACTGTGTACTAAGTGAGTTACCATTAAGCGTTCCTGTACAACCCGTGAATATTGTGTCACAGATACACTATTTTTATTTTTTATTTGAACACATAAATATTGGTACAAGAGAGCACTAAATATATATGCGCCATACAAAACAATGAGAATTTGAAGAGGAAAAAATAACGAACATATTAGTGTAAGGTAGTGTAATGATAATAATAGTAATAATGGAGGAAACGGAAAGATACAATCGGAAGAAATCTTTCAGTTAAGGAAGAAACAACCATTTTTTATAAAGTAAAAGAAGATTAGGGAAGGGCCCACCCCACTCTCGACCATACCAGGGCATTTGAGGGCCACAGATACACTGCCGAATATCCATGGTCCTACTGTACTCACTGCCAGTCAATTAGACACAATCAACGTAGGATCTGAGATAAATGCGCACTGATTCATGCTGATACATTACACTACTACAGAGTGATGAGGCTAACCAGATAGGTAAAAAAGTCGGAATGGTAGTATTATCAATAAGAGAAGACTAAACGTAGAAAATATAGTTTGCAAAGAATGCATAAAATACTGCACTCTCTAAATTTTACTGAAGGTGCCTCAGTAAAATAGCAAACAAGTGTGATCTATTATACAGTATATTTAGTTATTAATAGCTATCTGGATATTGAGGTGACCGTATGAATAGCGAGATTAGCGAAACTGATCATTAAAACAGATGTATTGCAAATAGTCTAAACAACATATCACCGACAACCACCCTTATAAAAGAAATTTTTTGGGAAACTCCAGCTTACTACACCTGTTGTGGACGAACATTTACGTGGGGATAGCCAATTTACTGCTTAGCACAAAATTACGGAATTCCTTCGTAAAATGTGTAAACCATGGATTAAATAATACATTTTTAAGTCCTCCATCAATTGTCTCAAACTTCATCGCCCCTTCATTGCCATTATAGTTACTTTCTGTCCCCGTTCTCTTCGATCCGGTCGTCTCAACCTTCTGCTATCAGGCATTCCACTTTTGATTTATGTTACATACTACTAATGTCTGTTGACATACACCACACATCTTGCACATCAAGAAATCGATTCTTAGACATCGTAGTTTTATGATAATCAAGGACCATTGATCTAGTAACTTTTTAGCTAGTCCTTAAACCCAACGAAGAATAAATTTGAATATATGGTGAAATGACTCCAAAGAAGCAAATAAAAATGACCATAAATTTGTGTAAATCCAACAGTTTAAATTGTACATTGTACAAACTTAAAGCCAACATTACCTTGTTTTTATGTGCCAGGTCAGTTTTCAGTGTTTGAACTGCGGGTATTGAGGCAATTTCCGACTCAAGCATATAATTCGAGTTGATCATTAAGGAAGTGGCTTCAGACCACGCACGAGCGGTTACTAAATACCCCAATGCATCCGGGGTAGAACGTAGACGATCTAACTGATCTACCAACTCTAAGCATCGTCTCTGCTCAACGAGTTCCAGCCACAGTCTCCTTAGTTCTTCCCTGTTGCAATATAGCAAACTTTTACACTCGATAAGATCCCTTTGTATTTTAGCGACAGACGTCTTGTTATCTAAAAATATTTTATAGTAAAACTATTAAAACTACCCCTAACACGCTGTGAAACAATTCCATAAGTGTTCAAAATCTTGTTCACATCACCAAACTTTTCTAGAAATTTAAATTAATTTTTTATGTAGACAAAACACAAACCAGTGAGACATATGTTGAGCACCGCTCCTGTTTCTGTGAAGTCTTTTTCGAGTTGACGTCTTTTCTTTTCTCGGATGTCCATGGAGCTACTGGGAAGTAATTTGTTAGATAAGAATTGAAATATCTTACTTTTCCATGAGACTCCGAATAAAGGCCATTAAGTATGATGACTGAGTCTGAAACAGTACACAATGTTTATAATTTATTACTTACCATATTTGGTTAGATGGAACTTCTATAAAGTTAATAACGGATTTGAGCAGGCTTCTGGGGATTGATTTACAAATTTATGCACAATGAGTTATATGTAAGTGATACATATACGAAGTCACCTGATCTGAAAAATTAAAAAAGACAGAGCTATGAACCGACATTTCGTTTTCTGATAGTCAGTAGGCACATCAAACAACCAGAAGAACCACGCCGATATGAAGCCACACGATAATAACCACTTGCCGAAATGGGAATATTTTAAGTAAGCGCCGATAATATGATGTTTGAAAATATAAACTCACTAACCACTGGCAAAGTCTTCATTTAATAGTGAGAATGGCTAACAATATTAGTCTTGATTGTCAACTCCAGCAAGATAAGAACAACTAGGTTCAGAGATACTGCTCTAAAAAGTGTACAAATTCTAGTGCGTTGGTGTGCATTTGTGGAAGTTTTACTGATGAAACAAATTATGAGGAAGACTGAGAACAAGAATATTTTGAGAAGAAATGTCACATAGAAATAAATTCATTATCCAAAACTCATTAAAAGTACCTTATAATAAAGCTTACACTTGCTTTTCAGATACTTGCCCCTAAATGCCCTGGTACGGTCGAGGGTGGGGCGAGTTCACTCTCCCTCTCCAAATGCTCTCACACATATAAAGCCACTCCCACAGAAGTTCTACTCAATGCCTTCGCGCAGTGAGGAGTGTTGTCTACCAAGTTGACTCCGGTTAAATTTTACATTCGATTCAGTAGTTTTATTTGTCATAGACTGACCTTAGTCAGTGGACACAAAGGGTCCATCTAGGGGAGTTGGTAAACTCTGATTCCAAACCAGAGGTGCACATGGACTTCAGAGTCCTGAAGGAACAAATAGAGTATGAACCTACTGTTGGTCACTGGTTACCATGGGAAATCATCTAACGTTGCCTCTACTTTGTACATTAGACCTTTATATCAAAGGCCCCAGGCACCCGAGCAGTATCACAGCCCTCATACAAATCAAAGATAACGAATACTGGCCTGATTGTTATTGCATAGTGCATATGTATTTGGTGCTCCCCTATACCAATATTTGTGTTCAAATAAATAATAATTGTAAACAAAGAATTTCAGCATAAGCAATCTGGTTACTATGATGTATCCAGACCCATCACAAATTTGTCAAAAGCAATCATGTAGTTTACCATTCATATTAACAGCCTGTGACAGTTTATGATCGTGTCCAGCATATCCAAAATGTGGGGAGAGAAAACGCCAGCCGTGAGTGTACTATGTCAACGGAATGGCCGGATGGTACTAGCTCTTCAACCAAAGAGTCATGAATTAAGTCTAACGGTGGATTTAGTTCCGTGACGCCTATCTTTTATACCATTGGCAAGCTCAAGTGAACCTGGAAAATGACCTCAATAGATAACAAAAACGGTTTAGAAACTTCTTGAACGCAGAGACACTTTGGAACATATTCATTTGTACCGGTTCTAAATGGTTAAAACCTATTTTCTACAATACTAGGAACGCATCAAAAGTCTTGGAAGATAAAGATGGCTTATCCTATAAGAAACAACTGGTCAGTGATCCCCAAGGCAGCTCCAGAAATATTGTCAAAATATTTCAGAACGAATTTTTCCACCGATGATAGTGAAAGGCCAGTAGTTAGGTCGAACGATGACATATTGTTGGTAAATTGTGTTCGCATTTGTTAATTTTCATTTTTGTGTCACTTTGAAGTGTATCAGTAGATGAAATTTGTGTTTATAAACTAACATATATTCAATTTGCGTTTGTTGTGAAGATCTAGCCATACTAATTCCAAATATCGAGATGTCTACCAGATGTTGTTGACACTGAAAGGCATTACTTCAATACTGACTTATTGTTCGGAAAATTGACAGACAGAGTGGAACTAACAAGGAGGTACACAGATGTTGATATTCATAGCCAAGTGGAAGAATTTACAATAGACGAAATAAACTAGTCAGGGGACTTATCATTAAGGAACAAAGGTCTAGTGTACAAACATGGGTATAAACGACTTTTACATAATGACCAAAGTATCAGCCATTATCAGCAATTCTGATTATTATTTAAATGACCTCTTTTGGTTTTAGACGTATGCGAATCTCAAAAGATAATCAAGAATCACCAGGCACAAACAGAGTTTGCGTGCTTTCCTATTGCTCCGAAGTAATTCCTAATTAATTGAATGTAATAGACATACATGCTTGTGCTTATATATAAGCAATAAACTGTAGGTAGCATTTATCTGAAGCTCTAATAAACATACGATCCCAAGGCCTTTGACCTACAAATCAAATACTACTCCAACTACGAGGTGCAGGCGACCTTGACGTTTAGTGCAGATTACGAAAGCGACAACGTTTATCCGTAAAATATTTCTAGTGTCTTCCACTTCAGTATAATTTGAATATCTGAAAGTGAATCTGTAGCGACATCAGTTACTTAAATCTTATTGTTGTTTAAATAGACAACTGGTTGTTTCTACGTATCGCATACCTCAAAATTTCATTGACAATCAACCAATTATCGGTAGTCTGCTTCCATATTGTAAAATTGCTTTTCGTATGGTTACTTTTTTGAAGTTTTAGGATATGCTTTAATCGTTTAATCGGTACATCTATTATGTCAAGATGAAGGAAGGTAAAGCAGTGAAACGTCATCGAAGCACATATAACTCCTCGTATTATGTTTTAAAAAAGTAATTAAAATGGTTTTGAATCCAGCCATTCTAGTTCATGGATCAAAAGCTGATTCTTACTTGGTCGGTTAAGATTTGTACATTTATTATATCCAAATCAATTATTTGAGCACAAAAATCCTAAATCCTGTTCTTACTCGACCATTATTTCCTATGTAACATTTGTTTAGAGAGGATTCTGTACCTACTACAGATTATTAGATCAAAAACAAGCATATCCACGGTTCGTAATTTTGACATTAATTAGCGACGAATCAGAATATCGTGAGTATGAGTATGTCAGCAGTACAGGACAGTTTTCTTCGTTTTTTGTGTTTTCTTCTATTGTCTTCTATTGTAGCTGCAGTGTTTAGTTACTCAGTATGTCGAAATTCCGTAGTTTATGTTAGATTCTAAATGGTAGCGCTAGTTTTTTTCGAATAATTTGAGTTTTCTCAGTTTTTCGCTACTACTGCTACTCAGGTTTTTTCATTCCTTTCGTCATGATAATGTTTTTTATGCGACGAAACATTATTCTGCTACGCTTTGAGTATTTCCACATCGGACACCAGAGTAACTTTTCATCTGAAATCAACGTCGCACCGGCCTGGGATATTTCAGATTTCTAAATATCCATTCCGCAATATTTCCTATGATGTTATCGAGAACTATGAAGAAAAACGATGTCCGGTTTGTTACTATCTATGATATTTTGGTCAAGCAAATGCTGAGTGTCCAGTTGTTGTGGGCCCAGTGATATATTCAAAGAAATAATGAGAAACAGTCACCTGACAACAGCCAACTGACTTAAGGATGATATACTTCTTTTTCAGAAGCTTCTTTCACGAAAATATACTATAATAGATTATTAAATGATTTGGATGCACTATTTGTTGAGTGGAAGCGACATGAAAAGTCGGAAATCCACTGTCGGAATGTAGGGATTTGTTGCTCAGGTGGATGAATTTTATGGAGCACATTGTATATTCTTTAAGAATCTGAGTGGCGAATGTGTGTAAAAGGTTATATCAGCGTACTGTAAACTGCTTTATAAATATAGGGTGTCCTCAGGTACCTAGTATTCTATCATAGGTGTCTCCGAAGCATAACCCGCATATTATGGGTTTGAAAATAAATGCAAAGTACTGCATAAAGATCATAAATCAGTTGACAAAAGTGTCATTATCGAAGGAGAGAGTCGGGACATGCATTGCACATGTACGTCCACCGAATACCTGGATGTGCCGTGATGGTTTGTATACGGATGGGTTATAAATGTTGTTATAAAACTTAGTTTTACTTTGTCTAATGCTATAACAGTTGGGTTCCAGGTTTGCTCGTATGGGACGTCATTTTACCTTAACGATTATCTACACTGGATCCCTCCCAGTGTTTATTCTACAGGACGTCAACACAACTCAGACCAAGAACACGTGATTACTCTGACCACAACGTTAATATTTTCCCAAACCAAAAACCGACACAATCCACAACAATAAACAATCAATAATAAATGTGTCAAAATAATAAGGATAAGGGAACATATAACTTACCTGACACCTGTCAGACTATCTAAATGTCTGACTAAGCAGACAACCAATCATGATCATTCTCGCCCACACATCAGATGTCTAGGGGGACACTGACCTGTCTCATTTGGTAATGTATTTCCGGGTCTGAGGCATGAATCTGAGTAGGCTCTTCACTGAAAAGAAGACGAATATATAATATGCAAGTGTTTCAAGTGTTACTTAGTAAATACATCAGTAAGCTACATACTCGTGTAAAGATCGTATTTCATGACTATCTTACAAAATCTGACTTGACGAATGAAAATATAACCAGATTTGCAAATTCATTTATTCGACCCGTCATTTGTGAAAGAATATAAAACTACCATTAACACAAGGTTTCAAACTGATAATTCAAAGACGTAGCCTTGTTCTTTTTTCTAAAACTAAAGGTCAAAACAAGAAACTTGTTATAAGTAAAAATGGTCGTGAAACTAAAGTAAACATTTAGCCTGCTTTTAAAAACTCTGGTGAATGTGCTGTTACTATGACCTCTCTTAAGTATTTTCATAATCACATGATACGACTCTCTTGGAAAAGTTTAAGGATGTACGATAAAGAAGTGAATAATTAAATAACGAATGTGTGAGGAGTGGTTTGGCAAAATGGGTCAGTTATGCTATGCTGTAGAATATCGAGAAGCTACCATTTCACAGTACTCACTATGCTGAATAGTTTAAGTTCAAATGGTTCAAATGGTTGTAGACGAAATAGAAGAAGCTTTCGCTTAGCGGGCTTCCGTATCTAGTAGCAGTGAACCACCAAGACCTCCAGGCAGGAACCTAGGTACATTACCGATAATAGGGGAAAAAGAACTGGTGAATCATAATATGTTATCCTTAGTCCTTAAGAATAGGTCAAGTTTCCTCATAAAGAACCCTTGGGAAGTCGCTTGGACTAGTTCAGTCGGCAGCGAATTCCAGCATTTGACAACTCTTAAAGAGTAGAAGTTGTGTCTACAATCCGTTATGCTATGATGTATCTCCGATTTCTCGGTGTTACCCCTTCTGTTCGTGTTGGAGCTAAAATTAGGCAGGTGTTTAAGGGGATGTCGAGAAGTGTTAAGGATACTGTAAGCCATTAAAAGGTCACTTCTAAGACGCCTATATTCCAAAGGGTCAAACTTACCAAGAATGCGCTTCAATGTTATTAGTGCAAAGTTTATTCGAAAGGCATTTCTGTTACAATTAGCGTAGGACATTAAATCGTAGGATACCAGGACTCTAACTATTTTTCGACTCGGGATACTACTAGAGAGGAGTTTTTTAAGTTGTAACTGTAGTCTGCAACATGTCGCAGATTGACTAATTTACACTTTGAAGTGTTAAAGGTAAGCCTGTTATCGTCTGCCCAACTTTGAAGTCGAGTTAGATTCTCCTGAAGTGCCTGTATACCGTCTTGGTTGCGTATCTCTCCCCTCAAAGTTTCGAGTCATCAGCAAAAAGTAGTATGTCTGACGACACCTGTTGTGGAAGATCATTTATATAAATCAAGAAGAGAAGAGGTCCTAGTACTGAGCCCTGGGGGACCCTCACTAGGACATTCCATAGCCTGAGATAAAGTGAAGTTAACCATGGCCTTAAATTGTCGATTTTTCAGATACTAAATGGGTCAATCAGTTAGAGGTGGTCTGATAGCCAACCATTTGAGCTTATTGATAAGATATATGGTTGACCCAATCAAAAGCTTTTGAGAAACCAAGGTAAATGATATCAATCGATGTATGTGATTTCTTCAGAGGGTGATCATAGCAATTCGTATAATAGACACCAAAAAGGGTTTACTAAAATGGCTAGCACAAAGTACTCAGCGCATTCACATAATCCGAAAATCGCGGTGAGATCCAACTGACCTATCGAATCTGGGTGGATGTACTAATATCACCAGACACTAGTGAAATATTCATATTCAGATTTGTGTAGTAAGGACGGAAGGCCTACAGCCTATGTTATTCCTTTTCTAGTATGCTTCTGTGAGTGTCCAGTCTTCTCTTGAAAGTCAATTGAAGGTGCGGACACCACTGCTTCAGGCAGCAAGTTCCAAGTATTGATGACGCGGTGTGAAATCCTGTATGCCACGGGTATTTCGCTTGTTCTTGGCTTTTCTACTCGCCTGCTTTGTCCTCTGAGGTGCTCCGATCTAGCAGGAAGAAAGAGAGAGAATAAGTTAGGTCCGAAATCATTTCTCGGTATTCTGTACATCAAAATGAGATCTCCCCTTAGTCTGCGATAGGACGGAGTAAAAAGGTCCAGTTTTTCAAGCCGCTCTTTGTACGATAAACCCCGGAGTTCCGGAATTTCACTGACAGCTGCCCTCTGTACTTTTTCTAGTATGTCCGAGTCACCTTTTAAACAAGGGCTTGCAGCCTGAACGCCGTTCTCTAGCTTAGTCCTCACTAAGGATGTGTATACTGTGGTGAACATGGTAATATCTAACTTAGTGAGTGTCCTTTTTAAAGCCCAGAGGGTTCGAAACCCCTTAACTGCGACCTCCCGGCAATGGGCCGTTGTCTTAAGATCACTACTCACTGTCACCCCTAGATCCTTATGAGACCGGACTACGGGTAATGACACATCCCCTATGTTGTACGTATTAAACTTTGAATCCCCCAAGTGCATGTAGACACACTTTTCCGAGTTGATAGGCATCAGCCACTCTTTAGACCAGTTTATCATATTATTTAAGTCTGCCTGAAGAGTAAATGCGTCTTTGTTTCCAGTTACTACTCGCCAAATTTTTACATCATCAGCGTATAGTAACGTTGGAGACTGTACTATACTTATAAGATCATTAACGTACATTATAAAAAGTAAAGGACCTAGGACGGAACCTTGGGGTACTCCACTGAGTACTGGTCTCCAGATGGAGCACTTGGAATTTATTCTTACTTTTTGCCTACGACCTACTAGGAAATCTTTAATCCATTTTAAAAGAGGTCCGGAAAAACCAAGGTTTTCCAACTTCAATAACAGTCTATTAGTTGGCACCTTGTCAAAAGCCTTACTCTATGCAGACCACATCCACTGAGTTTCCGTTGTCTAGCGCATCAATCCAGAGCTCCCTGGCTATAAGGAGGTTCGTTGTACAGGATAGACCCTTTCTAAAACCATGTTGTGCCATGTTCAGCAAGTTATTGGTTTCCATAATTGCCGTTATGGTCTGTTTGATTATTCTTTCCAGTATTTTAATTACAACACTGGTGAGGCTTACGGGTCTGTAATTCGATGACACTTGTCGCGGACCTGCTTTATGTATGGGAGTGAGGTTTGCGTCCTTCCAGTCCATAGGTAACACACCTTTGTCAAGTGACATATGGAATATCACAGTCAGTGGGGCTGCGATATATTGGACAATATGTCTCAAGATTTTGGGGTGTAGTTCATCTGGTCCTGTTGACTTCTCCATGTTTAGGGTGCTAAGAGCTTCAAGCACATCGTTTTGGTCGAAGCCGACGGTGAGCAGGTGGTTTGTTGACTCTGTATTTGGGTCTGGTTCTTTCTCTAGGGAAAGTTCCCGAGTGAAAACTGCCTCAAAATATTCAGCCATAGCCTCTGCTTTTTCTTGATCTTCCTCTATCATTTCAGATCCCATTCCTACTTTAATTAAGTTGGGAATCCAATGATGCATCCTTGTTCTGTAGTCTATGTACGAGAATATTCTCTTGGGCTGCTTGAGTGCAGATTGTGCCAGCTGCATTTTATATTTTCTTTGAGCTTCCTGAATTTTTGTTATATACTCAGCCATGAATTTGAATAAGATGACTGCATGGTCACTTCTCCCAAGTGGTGGTAATTAAGATAATGAATTGATTAACTTGTTTTAGCTCATCGTCCTTATACTATTAAAAGGGTAAGATAAAGGGATTGGTTGACCTGTAATCTGTCATCACAACGATATCGTGTATTGGACTAAGAATCCTGGTCTCTGTCCTTGGACGGAAGCGCTTAGAAGGGTCTGTGACGATGTAATGCGTTCGGTACCTCGCTTCGCCAACACCTGGTTTCGAATATCAAATTGACTTGATCTTACGCTTGTGCCATTGCTGAATTTTCTCGTTTGCTTTTATTATTAGACGTAAGTGTGTTATATGCGTTTATGGAGTCACCTGATCACTTCTCGTCTCTTTTCCAGTTACACTGTTCCCAAACTCCAACTTACAGACAACGGGGCCTCTGGTAATGGGTTTCACATGGTGACATGGCGTCAAGTGACGAAAGACTATCGAAGGTCTCATTTACTCACCGGATCATCGCTTCTTCAGTTGGTGGTATAATGACAGCGTTTGTTATGACGCCTCTGGATGTTGTGAAAGTCCGAATGCAGGTAACAATAAGCACAGTCCTTAATTTTTGATAGTCTTCCAGGGCATACTCCGAAACCAAGTGTCTTATTTATTGTAATGGACTAGCTGAACGCCTCTCCGCCTGCCCGTTGAGCCGAAACACCTGTTCTTTGTCTTGGTCAGAGCGTGCTATGAAGTGTGCAGGGAGGTGGAACTTATTTACCTCGAACGAATCACATTGTTGCTCCACATGCATTCCTCACTATAATAACCAATCTTTTGTTTCATTTTCCTGCCGCTCCCCTAGCGTTTCAGTAAGTTTTGATGCATTACCTTGCCTTTTTCAATTTTAAGTCCTTATTTCATATTAGGAGTCGTGTAAAAACATCTTTTATTGTGATCAAGATGAGATTATGACCTGGATAGTGATTGTAGATAACGTATTGGCTTCAAAATTTGTCTCCGTTGGCGGTGATGAATGAAACATATTCTGTTAACTTCGTACCTATTCTGTCGCCTAACCTCTCCAGTGCTAACAGAAATTAAGACTTGGCACTTAAGTGTTTTGGAAGTTTATATTTTAAAAATTCGTTTATTCAGGTAGACCATAGGAATCAAAAATATAACAAAGTCATTAGTCTACCAAAACATGAGACGTTTATATAAAATAAACAACATGAAAGTACAGTTAGGTTGGGAGACAGGCGCAACAGGTTACTAAACACCTGGTCAAATTAGAATGACATGTAATGGGTATACAAAAATAGGTTGCATAATAGTGTGATTACGATTGCCACAAAATTTACACTGATGTTTCGACATTTTTCGATAAATGATACGGTTTCATTAATCTTCCTGATTAAACATTGAGCAGAAGCAGCTGTTTAACGTCATATCTTCACTGTTTATCTCATGCACACAGCATTTATTCTACTGCAAATGTAAATTTGATCGATAGAGGAAAATCCCTATTATTGATATACAATAATAAGGTTGCGACTGGCTTTTCTGACGAGTGACCGAACAACCTCTGTCATGGATTAAACAGCACTAGTGTATGTGTACTGGGTTTCGCAGTAAAATGTATTCGGAGTAACTTATTGGTTGTTTAGAAATATGTTGTTATTTTAAGTGGTCAATTGTAGTACTAGTTACCTTTCAGGAATCAAATGGTATGAATGCGTGCAATTTGCAGTTATTTATCGTGCTTGTTTAATGTATTGTTGAACGAACGTGTGACTGTCCTTGCAACATAATCTCGCAAAATCGTCCCATAGTTCTCATAGTTGTTAGCCTCACATGAGTAAAAATGAAAGAAAATGTCCTCGTAAACCAGAAGAATAGGTAAAACTGTGAGACTAAGCAGTTTCGTGCTAGTTCGATCATTCTATTTAGGCTGTGTATATGGCGGGGGACTATAATGTTAGACCACGTTGAATTAGTTTTATCCAGGTACGTTAAGATTAATTAATCAGGATACAAAACCGCACCTTTCCATAAAAGCAGCTATTATTCTTGTCAAAAAATAGAGCAGACTCTATCTTATAAGAATCTTCTAAAGTTAAACTAAGTTCCACTGTAGTCGAGTGCCGAGTTATTATGAGATGCCTTCAAAAACGCTTTAACAGATTGCCGTGCGAAATGAATCCATTTTAAGTTTAATCACTGAAATTTTATAAACATAATTTCGTCGTTAACATCAGATTTCTCCAAAGTTTTCTAAGCCTCTGGTCTAGTTACTGCCACCATGTTTGTGATAGGATGTTAATTCATATTCAGTGTTAAATAAAAGCTCAAACTAAAGGAGTTATTTACTTTAGGGTTAGACGTTTTGGGGGATCTTTTTATGAAGTCTGGTTTATAGAAGAATGAGACAATACCAAGTGTTGCCCCCAAATGCCCTGGTACAGCCGAGAATGAAGAAAGTCCATTCTCCTTCTCCAAATGCTCTCACATGGCCACGCGTATACAATCACTCCCACGGAAGTTCTACTCACTGCCTTCTCGCGGCGAGGAGTGTTGTTCACCAAATTGACAGGACGAAAAGCGAATGTCCGGCTCCCTAACCAGGTTGGTGGATATGGAGGATCCATCTAGGGGAGTTGGAAAACCCTGATTCCAAACTAGTGGTGCACATGGGTTCTAGGATTTTGAGGGAACCAATGTCATGGCCACTAGCTACCATGGGACTGCATCTCCTGACGTTACTCTACTACCTTGTGGATCAAACCTTTAAGTCGAAGGCTCCAGGTGTGGCCCCCCAAGAAAACCACCTGCTTCGTTCTGAGCACCCGGGCAGTATCACAGCCCACACAGAAATCAAGTGATTTGTTTGGCGCATATGTTTTAGGTGCCTCTTTGTACCAATATTTATGTGTTCAAATAAAAATAACTCAACAACTAGACCGGAGTAGGTGAAAACTCCATACACTATTAATTCGCTCAGTATTTTGGGTACCGTCTTCATTCGGTTTTCAACGAGTCTCTCCGTTTTTTTTTCACTACCGGATGATCGTGAACTGCCAAACTAGTTACAGCTTCAAATTTATAAGCCTGATGTACACTTAAACCAAACATTTCCACTGTAAAAATAGTTATTCAGTCGGTCATCATCAAATTAGCATAGTCAGATAAAAATAGCAAGATGATTAGCAAAGGCATCGAAGTAATGCCATGGAGTCATTAATGTTCATTTGAAAACTATTTCATGGGATAACGATAATCCATAAGGGATTATTCACTTAACATGTGATCCAAAAAGTCAATGACTTCTTTATTTGATAACTCTCGTTTTTTCATTGTGGTCAATGGAGAGTTGTTTTTTATTGGTTAATTCAAACTTCAACCCTATGTAAAATGTTGGTTATTTTCTTTGTTATTAAATAATTATTTATTTCATCATGAAAATTTTCTCTAAAGGATACCGTCCTCAGAATTATTCGTAATGAAGGTATTTTATCTCTTTGGAGTGGACTCTCCCCAACACTGTAAGTTAGAATTGTGTTGACCAATATTATATAATTACAGTGTTATGACACTTCCTCAAACTGTTATCTACTTCACTGTCAATGATTGGCTGAAATATCATGTTGGATATACTTCTAAGACTGTCAACAAATCACCAGTAATGACAAGTGGATCTTTCCAAAACTTCATCTCCCCTAAAGATTTCCTCCCTCCATTAGTTGGAGGTGTGTCTCGAATTTTCGCGGTAATGGCTGTATCACCAATAGAATTGTTACGTACAAAAATCCAAGCTAGGAAAGTACTCTACCGAGATATAACATCGTTAGCTGTTACAACAGTGAAACAGGTATTGCTGTGTTTCGTTATACTATAAGATAAATTTGATAATTGGTAACATATTTCTTGGTTTATAGCAGTCTTTTGTAAATTTACTATCACAGACATGTAAACAACTGCACAGAAATAAGGTTAATCAACTCACTATCCACATACAAATTGGTGTATTCAGTTCAGTTAACTATTTATTGAGTTTTAAGACTCATGGGTTTAATTCGAAATTAATTATTATAACTCATTTAATAGGTACAAGTTCATATACTCACTTTTCAAATACAATATTTATGTGAGGGCTAGTAACACTAGTCGGCTCTGTAATCCTAAATAATTGGAGTGTGATTGAAATCCGAGACATTTTAGTTGAACTCCAAGAACTTCAACTACTAGACCTCGTACTTAGGATATGATACGACTTTTAAATACAGTTCCCGACCGTTGTTGTAGTGGTCGGGCTTGCTCATTGTGATGAAGCGATCGAGCTATACTGGCTGGAACAACCGTTCCTCAAGGTCCTACCATGTCAGACAGGTCGGTTGAAGAGCGGCATGGCTAAAAGCAACAGACTCAAGGTCCGGAGGCGAAGTTGTACTGCTGACTGTATAAAGGTGTGACGGCAGTAAGATGTTTCTTTCAGACAACCAGCACAGCAGTGATGCTGCCTTCCCACAAGCAGGGCTGGGGTTAGAAAAGGCCGACCCTAAAAATGCACACCTTGCCTTATCCCGCAGTTATCTGTCTCCGGCGGTAAGGTTTCAACAAGTACGGAGCTAACACAAAAATACTTATAAAAAGGTCTTGTGTGACCGACCTCAAGCAGTTTTCCCTTGGGCACTGCGGTCACGCTCTCAGGTCACTAAGACCACCTCTAATCCAATTTCCTTTTCAGGTACCTCCAGAGAAACCGGGAAGTGATAACCGCTCTCATACCTCTAACAGCACTCAAGACCACTGTATTCATAATCAATCTCCCCCTTGAATGCAGTTTATTATCTTTTCTCGTAGTAGCTATAAACGTTGCTTATAAGTAATTTAGTAGAATATAATCTCCATTCGTATACTGCTGGGATCCTGGTAGTTTATTTTAATTGTAGTTTCTTAGTTTCTCGTCATAGTGATACCTCTACTAGAGCGGTTCAGTTCCATGATAGATTGTCGGTTAAGATAGCTTATAGATTTTCCACTTTAAACAAGATTTTTATGTATTCAGATTTCGGTAGTCTTTTAAAGCCATTTCGTAAATGTAATTTTAAATCAACTATTTTGATATATTGTTTATTACTAAGGATGGTCTGAAAAGTTTGTGGTTAGGTGCTGGACCAACTCTGTTACGTGATGTTCCTTATTCTATGGTATTTTGGTTAACTTACGACTATATGAAATCTGGGTTTATAAATAAACAGATAAGAACGCATTTGTTGTCGAATAGTGAATTGCCTGCCACATTTGACAGAGTTCACTTTTCGCATGCATTTGGTTTTGGAGCAGCTGCTGGTTTTGTAAGTGATTTATTTAATATTTGTTTATTTCATGCAAACATTGGTTTATAATGTGGAGATTAAATTTATGGGCTAAAGAAAAACATCTGGACAAACATATTTCAAATCGTTTGTTTCATTCTCGATGCTATTTACAGTATAGTTGAATGTAGATGCACATCGTGTAGCAGAGAATTTCATAAGTTTTACTGATTTCAAATTCATTGAAAGAAATACTATATATATGCAAGTAACACCAGGTATTTCTCAGCTTTCCCAAATTAATGTGATTTATCACAAACCTAGGTTTCTACATTATCCCATAAAGTTCTCATGGATTTTTCTCTTAAACATCTAACATAGTTTACCACACTAAAATAATAGATTAATATTCTAATAAATTCAAAATAAAAAAAGGTTTTTAGTTTAACGTTAATGTTGCAAATCATATCACATCTTGGTATTTTGATCAAGTAACATCAAGATTTTTTCAAGTGTTTTAAGTATACTTCCAAATATTTAATATTGTAAAGTCTGTAATCTTTTATTAAAATTTTTTTTATCGTTAAATCAGTAAGATGTTAAGCATTTGTGATTTGACATCAGGAAAAAGCCTCAAAAACCAAACTGAAAGTTACGCCAATTATAGAACCCACCTACACCATTGTGTATTAAGCTTCTTAAGTGAAAGGATTCGGTTTTTTTCCATAGATTTAAATCTATGACAATGTAAATAAAAATTAGTACTATGAAAGAACTTGTTTTTATCGGACGTCCCATATGTAATGTTCCTACAAATGAGTAATTCGATTTCTCGTGTATAATATATATCATATCACCATTGTAAACTCTAAATCGTTGTATATCTCATCCAAACACTAATTGTTTTCTCCTGATATTCTTAAATTTCAGATTTCTGGCGTATTAACACATCCATTCGATGTGATTAAAACTCACAGACAAGTTGATTTCGGAAAGTATTCGGTTTCATTTAGTAAGTTCATCAAACAATGGGCCTGTATATTAGTTTTGTGCACAACAGTCGTTCGAATTTATCTGTAATTTATATCAACAACACTCCAATAGAATTCACAGAACTGACAAGTTAGCAAAACGTTACGAGCACTAAATTGTGTATGCTTAGCAAATCATTTGTGAAGGCAGTATAAAGAGTAACATGTCATTACTAGTCTATTGAGAAGAAAGTAGTGAAAATGCCCAATCTGGAATAATGCGAGTCGACCGAATCGAAATAACTGTGGCATCAATGATAGTGAGAAAAACTAAACATTGGAAATACGACTAGAGAAAACGGAGTAAGATGGTTTATATGAAAGAATACTGAAACACGAATTTTAGGGGAAGATAGGGATACAATCCATTTGTACTGTTATTTCTACTTCTATCTAAGTCATTTTATACAACGTCTACAATCACTAATCGCTGTTGTTGCGTGAACTCGAACCAACGTGGCCCAGTGCGACAGTCAATAACTTCTTGGATTAATCTCGTATTTTTATTTGGCTACTCCTAATATTTTTCGAACCTATTCTTACACCAACTAATATTGCAGTTCTAGATAGACAGTGTTTGGTCCAGACAACCTCAGTCAATGAACATTTACTATCTCACCAACCAATTTGCAATATTCTTGTAATACTTACGCCTGGTACCCCTCATGGATGAACATAGGACATCTACCAGCATCCTCCACCTTTTCATAATTTCCTGTTCAGATGGATGCTAGATTGTTCTCTCCCACAGTAGGCTGTTACTGATGGTATCCACTCACCAGACGTTGAGTATCTTTTGCGTAGACAATTGCTTATAAATACTTGTACTGTTTCGATGATAGTTGTGTTAGTCATGGAAGTTTCAGCTCCTTACAGTAAAACTGTCTTGACGTTCGTATTGAAGACTTTGACTTTGATGTTGGTTGAGTTTTGAGTTCCATACGATATTCAATTGTAAGAACGCGGTCCTTGTTTTACAAATCTTCACATTTACGTCTACATTTTCTAGAGTTTCTCCATCGATTGTGATTGGGTTAGTGTTCTCTGTGTTGTATTTCAGGATCTTGGTTTTTCCCTTGTGTATGTTGGGGCCTATTGCTGAAGAGGCTTCTGCCACAGTAGTTGTTTTCGTCTGGATTTGTTGGTGTGTATGGGAGAGAAGATCCAGATTTTCTGCAAAGTCCAAGTCGTCTAGTTACATGCAAGCTGTGCATTGTATTCCGTGCTCTCCCTCATATATCGAAGTCTTCGTATTCCAGTCAAATCGATAGAAAAGCACTCAGCTGCGTCACAAGGCAAGCCATCACTTGGAATCCTCAAAGCCAAATGAGAAGAGGATGACCAAAGAACACATTACGCGGAGAAATGGATGAACATCTGGACAGACCTGGGAAGGAAGGCCCAAGACAGGGTGTGTTGAAGAATACTGGTCGGCGGCCTATGCTCCACTGCAGGTAGCAGGCGTAAGTAAGTAGGGTCCGACGGGTTTCGCTGATTCCATGTACTTATATTATTTGTTGCTCTGGTTGTTAGAAGCGGAATCAGCCTATGAATCTCGGCTTTCAACATGTGGCATCATAATTCTCTCTTCAACTCCCAGGACAGAGTTTAAATTGTATTCTGGTTAGCGTTTTTTAGCAAGGTTGTTTTCTACAGGATGTGGTTACCGACCACACCCCCAACCCTCCCTTACGTGGTCTTGGGACAGGCAGTAGCCCTAGAAGAGCTACAAATGAAGTTATATCCGTAATACTAGTGATTTAATTTCACAATTTCTTACTCGGTTGTTCGACAGTACATGAGCAACGCTTCAAAGGTAAATACATGATCAGAAACCTGCGACCCACGCATTTCTTCTATCTTCGTTGCCATTAAGTAATATAAATCTGACTGCTGCACATTACACACCCTTTGGTTGGTAGACGGTTGTCTTCCTCACCCCCTAAGTGATGCAAAATTGAGTCAAACACCGAACCATCAGGGCTGAGACTTTGAGTATAAGTATAGTGCTCGACCAGCCGAAATATTTCATCCCCTGGGTGTAAATTAGTCCTAATGTAACTTAATTTTTAATGGATAAACGCATTCCAACCCTGTTTACACTGTTACTTAAGGTTTTCAGAAGGTCTTTCAGCATGTCAGTCATTATCAACAATGGCACCCCTCACTAAACTGAATTATGAAATCTCCACAGTCTATGTCAAGAACAAAATCTCTTATTAGATCAATTCCTGAAAAGTCGGACAACCGAAACGTTATCTCTAAATAGAATGCCTGTTTTGGAGTTAAATAAAATGGGGATAGTACGTAGCACCGACGAAAACCACTTGAGGTTGACAATTTGGAAGAAAATATTGTTCGAAAAAAGAAACTTCATATAGTTTACGTGCTTCAGTGATATACACTGTCAAAAACCTCGGTTCAAGCCATATCCTGCCTACGAGTTAACAAATACAATTACTGCCGGACGTCATTAACTATGTTCATGTTCTAGAATCTAATGAAGGGCGGATATTGATCGTTAGATTCATGTCCGGGTCGGAAAATAGTCTCATTTCGCCGTTCACGAGCTTTAGTTAAGCGTTGAATTATTACTTAGACTAACATTTTAAACACTCAGCCGAATCAATCCTTCCGTGGTCATCACAAGAGAATTTAACCCTTTCCTCTAAGCTTGGATGATCATCAATTGAGACCAGTCAGAATGTATCACGTTTAGTTTCCAAAATCTAGCTAACATTTCAGTCAATCTGAATGCCGAAACTTGACCATCATCCACAAAAATCTTCGAAGTTATTACATCGAATGCAACTGCTTCCTCCCATTCAGACTAACTATGGAACTTTCAGCTTCAATATTGGTAATAGTTGGGTTGGTCACATTGATTTTCCATTCAGATTTTTTTTAGTGGTAAGCAAATATAAGGATCTGGATTGTTTCTGACTGACGCATAAATTCAACTTTTGATTATCTGTTTTTTCTTCAGATGATGAAAGCCACATTACTTAACACATTTAGACAAATTCTAACTTCGTTTTGCCAACCAACTAAACTACGTTTTTCTATAATCCTTTAAACGTAGATCATCTTCACCCAACATCAACGTGGACATTATTGCATAATTTGTATATTAAAAATGGTCTTCCTGCCTTGTTTTCTGGTAAGTATTAATTGACAGGATCGCATTTATTTTCAGTACAAAATAAAAATATCAATTTTGCTCATCAATGCCATTGAATTGCGTTTTGAAGATATTATGCTTATGTGAATACAGTTTAGCAGACTAAGAATTTGGCACTAAAAATCTTAGTAACATTGAAGTTTAATGCTTGTTGATAAATAGTCAACAATCAGCGTGCCCTAACATGAAACATGCTTACATACGATCGATATCCTGCTAGCACAAAGGTAAATCCGACTGTGAAAATGATTAGGTACATCAGTCAGACGGTTATCATACCGAGTGACAATCCTGTCTTACATCATAGTATTGCCAAGTGAAAATTACTTATTTGATACAAGTCTTTAACTACATGATTTCATACGTCTGTACATACAAATACATCTGAATCCCTCATGCTTTTATTCCCAACTAATTTGTTGCACTAATTATGAAATTTCAGGTTTGCGATATTTTGTTAATAATACCATTGATCATGTACATAAACTACTTAGTTGCATCACACATTTCATACACTTTTTCATTGATTTTTTCACAGGTTTCACACCTAGAATAATTAAAACAACCAGCGCTTCTGCAATAATGATTGCCGTCTTTGAAAGTTTAAAAGAAAAAGTTGTAAATATCGGAACAAGTTAAATGAAGAAAAAAATTGAGGTCAACTTATTCTTGAAAAAATCCTTCACATTACTCAAGTTTACTGTTACGTGACACTACATTGATCATTTTATTTTGTATCGCGTTTTAGTTTTTAGTGACAACATTGAATAAAATGACTATAGTTCATGTAATTTGTTTCTAGAGAATTTTTATTTGCAACAGGAAGGCTTTTGAAAAGACAATAAATTGGGATAGCTGAGTATGAAACTAGTAATTTGTGCTTTTTCATTGAAATCAAGAACTGATTTGAGTTAAACAGCCATTAAAAATTTGAAAGCACTGGATGACTGTTTCGTTCTGGTATGGGACTCATCACAAGCGCGCATCCACAACACCACCACTGAAGATCGAATGCTTAACTTCTAGACAAATGAGATTTTCAAAGATATTGGGTTCGATCCTCGGTCGCAAAGTCGCGAAACCGCACCGCTCAATACCACACCAGGACGGAACGGCTGTCTCGTGCTTACATGCTCAACTTAAATCAGTGTGATTTCAATGAAATTCGGCCATTCCCACAACTCCATAATGACAATTTCTGCTTTACTTTGGAGTACATCGTCAACATATTTGTTTGTATTCCTATGAGCCACCAGTTCTCTCTAAAAAACCTGGCCTCTCCGAGTTGAGGACGTTAGACGACTCTCTGTGTTCGATCATCGCTGTCTCCGAAGGATTGCTGACATTCAGTGGCAACACCATGTCAGTAATGCAGAGGCTCGGCATCGTGTGTTCGGGCACAGAGGTGATAATTCAATTGGTGTTACCATCTTGAAACACCGACTTTGTTGGCTTGAACATGTTCTACGAATGTCGTCCCAGAGAATTCCACGTCGTGCATTATTTGCCGACTCTGGGACTGGTTGGAAGAAGCGGAGAGGTGGTCAGTGTATGACATTGTGTCGTGGTATGAAAGACAGCTTCAAAGGGCTGGCTTGTGTTGGTCCTTCACGACTCCTAGAGATGGTGCGACAGAGTGGCTAGAGACGTTATTAGATATGGCTCAGAATAGAAGCCAGTGGCGATCCTGCTGTAACCTTCTTTTACTTTCTTCATAAAAAGTGGTTGTGTCTCCCTTACCTGAAAGATTTCTTCCGATTGTACCTTTGCGTTCCCTGATTACTAGCACATTACCTTACACCAATCTCTTCGTTATTGTTCTCTCTTTTTTTGTTGTTGCGCTCCTTAGCTTTTTTTTTCTTCTTTGTATTCCTCTCGAATTTTCATTGTTTTGTGTGGCGCATATATATTGGCGCTCTCTTGTACCAATATTCATGTGTCCAAATAAATAATAATAATAAGTTATTTGAGTTAAATATCTGTTAACTTCAGTCAAAACACGAAAGCAAACCATCCTATCTACAAATCTAGATTTTCTTAGAGTGTGACTGGTCTAACACCACTTATGTTAATTTTCTAAGAATTCATTCCCGGAAAAATCAACTATCAGCTTGGGACGAAAACCACGTTTCAAAACATAACTTATGTCAACATTTAGTAATCCTTATTGTCGTGATTCACTAGTAATGCTTTTGCCTCATAAGAGTGAGTCATTTTGGAAGAATTCCGACCGTTCCGGTGACGAGGATCCTTATTGGTTTTTTCTATCATCCTAAACACTTCAAAAACCTGTGCCTTGATTTTAGAGTCATTTCTTACTGCAGTTGATAATGTTGCGTTGAGTGTTTCATATATGTTGTCTATCAGTAGGCTGGTTCATTTCTAATTCATTTCAGAGGTTCGCCAAATAACAAATAAAATAATAAGTCAGCATAATTTATTGATGCAACTTGCAAAAAACTTTAACTGACCGACTCATAGTCTCCTAAACTATTTACAAATTTAAAAGGGATAGATGTTCTTAAATTTAACCATATGTCAATTCGTAGTCGCCATGATTCCACTCATGATATGAAGTGTTTTGCCCTTCTTCCCAAAGACTTATTGAACCGCATATCATTGCTCCACCTAAACATATGTCATTATCATAAAATGCACACCATTGTCCCGGTGCGATACAACGCATTGGCGCTTCTAATTCAATTGATAAGCATGGTCCAACCTCTCTGTTATCTTCAATGGATGCATCGATTACACTGGCGAGTGTTGCATTGTCTGAGCTAGAAAGACATCGTTTCATGTCTTTCCTAAGGTAAGCTGACGCCAAAGATATGTCACTGAAAGGTTTTAAAATACAGTTAACTGGACGCCATTTGTTTTGCCATTGGAATTGAATATTCCTCGAGTTTATAGATGAAAATGGCTCAGAGTTTATCCAAACTGCAGGACCACACCAACACTTGCGCATAAACAAACTTGGGTGGGCTGGGTCACGTACCTAAAATACATGTAAATGCAAGCAAATAATTAATGATCCCGAAGGTTACAATCGCAGTAGTACTATAATTTTATGGTCAATAGTGTGCATATGGTATGAGAAGCTTAATTTGTAAATATATTTGGTAATGTTTCTAAGCTTAGGATTTATTTCAGGTTGTAGATCACTGATTTCGTTTGGATTAAAACGTCGATATGTTCGTGCACTAGGCTAATATTTCACAACTCCAACTTAAATGCAATGAATGAAATTACTTCACTGTCTAGCTAACTAGAGTGAGAAGCGCAGTCTGTGTATAGATGTTTTGTTGATCAAGACCCCAGAACAATAAAACTAATGAAATATATATCGATTAAAATTACTTTACAGAATTTTGTGAAATTTGGTAACTGTCTCTGAACACAAGTCGTAATGAAAAAAATGCATTAAGAGCTGAACTCAAACTCACCTTGAGTCAATATTTCGAGATGGTGCACCAACAACAAATGTTGCGTTATGGATGTGAATACACTCGATCTACTACCGCTCATAAATAAACCGCGCTCAATAACTCACTTTTTACCTTCAACGGACCGCTTACAACTCACCAGTTTATAGCTTTATTGGTGTTCTTACAGACTGATCTCTTGATCTTTTAGAAGTAAAGGTGAAGTTATTCTACTTAGAATTATTTATCTAGACTTAAAAGTTGTGAAGATTTGAACTCTTTCAACACATCATTTTAGAATACGCACGAAACTACTTGTTTTACCAATTAGTTTTAACATCAACTTTTGATGTATTTTACGTGTGTGATCAAAATAGCCTAACCATTTATCTCATTTAACTTTGTTTGACCCACCACACATTTTTCTGCTGAGTCCCTGTTCATAACGTTCATATTTCTAAACCGAACTTGATTAATTTCTGAGTGAACTTTATATAAATAATCTAAATAGTAAAAACTGAAAATACATTTGAATAAAGAAACCTAATTACCAAGTAGATAAAGTGTTACATGATAATTACCATCAGGAAATTATCTTCTAGCTTTTACTCCACAAATCCATTCTTTTTTTCAAACATATTGTTTTTGTCTATTCCTTTCTACTACCACTGATATTGTTACTACTTCCACCACTGGCATTTGCTTCGATGATTTCATCTCACTGTACTAATATGGTCTGGCAACATGAACCGACACAAGTGTGACAGATTTCATGACTGACTGATTAAAATAGGCTAAGAGACGCTGTGTTAAAACCTTATCGATATTTAATCCTACAGTCTGTATGTCATATCAATGAGGCGATCATCATACGAGGCATCACATTATCTCGTTTGATGTTCGGCAAAGCATTCTTACATTTACGGCCGTATCTGCAAGACTTTACTTTATTACATAGGACTATGTTATACAGGTGCTTGGAAACATACTACAGAATCCCCAGGTTTTTCAAAAAGTCAAAGCTATTACCTTTAGCAGCACATTATGTAATATATTGGCTTGATGAGACAAACACCAAAAGCCTCCTGAATGGTCGTGTTAACGTTTCAGACTGAGGAGCAGGGTTACGCAGGTTTCAAATCCCAGCGAGTTGCAGGTACGCCTTGTTAACGAGTACTAACTAATACGAACTAAAGGTATTCAATCTACTACCTACAAACACCTTAAACCTCAACATGGTACACCCAATGTCGAGTTACCTAGACTACTGACCACATTACAACCTGATCCACAGAATACAATAGGCACTACTGGATTAGGCAAACATGATATTACTCACTACTCAGAGATCGGTTAATCGTAAATACTAAGTGTATTAACAGCATTATGAAAATATCTTCTTGAACACAAAAAAGCTTCAATCAATGGTTGTGGTTTTTAGAATGATTCAAAATAACAGCTCAATTTTCCTGATATTGAAAAATAGGAATAACAAAGATATCAAGAGGAATTTTACTCACTACATAAATTATTTGATTGTGACAATCCATTTTACTAACATAATAAGGTCCATTAAAACGTTTAATAGGAATTCGTTGACCCAAAGTAAAATGATGTACACCTTGGGAGAAGAAGCGAAGACCAAGTAGAGTTAATAATCTCGATGTTATAGAGGAAAGTCATGATAAACAAGATAACATCATATTTGTTAAATATGAAAAAAATTCTACGTAAAACAATCTATTTTCCCCGAAATGAGTATATAATTGAGTAATGCTTGTGGTTGTTTTAAGGAGAAAATCTGAGAAGTCAGTTTTATTGTTTATCCTATGACAGCCTAACAAGCTTATTACTAATAATTGGACAAAATACGACTTTTCCAACTGTATAATAGCATTAAACAGTGTTGTGTGAAATTGAGAGCCAACCAGAAGGTTAATCAATGGGAAGCGAACTAAAAGACAAGTGCATTTTATTAAGAAATGGGTCAATTTCCAAAGGATTAGAGTGATATATATATATATATATATATATATATATATATATATTATTAATGTATAGTATATGGTACCGAAGTGCGCACGTGTGTGTATCGTTGTAAAACAGGGTGGCTATAGCAAATAATATAGGCAACACAGGGTCCAGAAACAAAGAGATGTTTTATTTTAACTTCCTACACGCCACTTCTTCACACAGACACAACAAGATGTGAAGAGAAACTTAGTGGAGATAATCATAACAATAGTAAGGGAGAGCAAAATATAGGGGCAAGAACTTTACGTTTACTACCGGTTATTATAATCATCAAGGAATAAAAGAAGATATAAATAAATGAATGCATCTCCACTACTTTAACTGATATGCAGCCAAGTAGGAACATTAGCTAACCACTGGTCACAAGAATTATTGTGTCGATTCAAAAGTAAGAAAGCCTGTATGCTGCAGCATGACTAAACACCCTAATCACAGCTTACCTGTATGCTCTTCCAAAACTTGATCAGTTTCAAGATCTTTATAAACGCCAGGCTTTGGTTCCAAATACTACATAATACGAGAAAATTTGAAGTAATGAAAAAGTAGTTAGTGTGGTAAGAAAAGCATACAACAGTATTATGTGGTGTGATACAACACATACATGGGTCAAATGTCTAGACGACTGAGTTACACAATTATATTTAAATAAGTTTAAAAATAAAGACAACAGTATTTAGTTAACATTGGAGACTATAATAAATAACATGATACTGATTACATATCTGTGGAGTAACTATTCACGATCATCACATTAACATTAATCACAACATAAAGACGGGCCAGTACCCAGATCCGAGCTAATATTTGAACCATGGCATTTGACCTTGTTATGGTACAAACTAATTAATCAATGCAATCCGGTAATCACACATAGGCTTATGTGTTCAGCTCTAAGTGAACAAGACTTGAGCCTGCAACCTATTATTACTGATCGGATGTTAATTGTTTTAATTGCTAAGCTACTCAATTTTATCTAAGGTAAATTTATAAAGTATTGTCAGAAAAAAGAGTGAGATGATTACTAAACAAAAATATTAAGTATTCAAGTTTGTGTAGTTGAAACATCGCCTAGATGACGATAGAAAGAGGAAAACTGACTGCACAATAAACAGAGGTAGGTGGGAGCGTTCGAAAATGCAACTGTTAGGTTGCATGCTTTGACAACCACGTCACTGATATACAGCTTAGTCCTCTTGATTCGATAGTCAGGGACTACGTACAAACCGAAGAATAGAACAAAGTATTTAGAATAATCCTCAGTAGAGAGAATGTCATAAATATTTTTTAAAACTTTTAAGACAACTAGTAATTAAAAGGAGTTCACATTTATTACATCTGAATAAAGCTGTTGTGATCAAAAGTTTGGAGCCGAATTTTTGTACTCATAAGGATATTATTTTTGATATTGGATAATTTGATTTTGCCTCAGTCTTCCACCACTAATATTTTAAACCATGCGCGTAAGTGTAAATTCCCTTCTTTTACCTATTAGAGATTCACCTATTTTACCCACTTATCACCTAACTTGTACTTGGTATTACATGGCTTATGATATAAAAGCAGATTGGATGTACCTGCGCCCGTGTTGACATTTGCACTGAAACTCCAATACGGGTACAAGTGCATCTGGTTGACGAGTCCTAAATGGAACGAAACGCGTGTCCTGGGTTCCACTACTAGCCATCAGTCGATTCTGCTTAAATACTTGTTATTTAATGGCAATATAGAATTAGTCCCTACAGAATGTACATACGCCAAAAGAGGTTGATCGATTGTAGTCCATAATTTCAACGGGAAGATTCACGCAACCGATACAATTGAATCTATAATATTAGTATTTTGCTACCCGAAACTCATCTTCATACAACTGTCGGTCTTCTGTTCTAAAATATTCATATACTTAGCCCACGAATAATCAACCTTGTAAACAATTCTTAGAATTATTTTGCATTTTCTACTTTTTACTAAGCTAACTAACTATGTTATCATACTTAACCTTATCTCAAACCGAGAAATGTGATATGAAATACTCACATTGGCTTGTTTCAACAATTAATACAAACGTATTTAGATAACATATTTTGGATAGTGACTATTATAGTATAATTTTCGACACCTATTTCACCTTTGTTGAACTCCCCACGGGATATAATCTCCGTACCTAAAAATCTATATTTATGTTGTAAGTAGCAAAATAGGAATTCGTGGAATAAATGAATTTATATTTTTCTACCACGGTTGTTGAAAATATGTATTAAGATTATACGGGTATGGTAAAACGATTCAAGATTAAGATATTTCATTCTGATTTAACGTGAAAAGAAATTTCAATTTATAAAATATGTGGAAAAATGAAACAAATAAATAGATGGCTTACATTATCAATAAACTCTGAGAATCGCCTTTTACCAATAAAACACATTCCCATACTCTAAGATAAATAAACAAATAGTAAGTGATGTTTAGAAAAATAAAACGATTGTATTTCATCCGTAAGAGACATGAATTAACACAGATTGGTAGATATTTGTATAAATACGTTTAATAATCATTTGGTTGAATGTCAGTTATCAACAACGTAAGAGCAGGCACACATATGCATCGGTCCAAGTTGCCATACCTTATTAGTACAATACGATGAACACTAAATTCATAGTAGTTACTTCAGCGAAAACTCATCATATATATATATATATATATATATATATATATATATATATATATATATATATATATATATATATATATATATATATATATATAATCTTTGTTCTCCTAATTCTGAGTCATTAATGTCAATTGTATTACATCGCAAAGTTACACTCTTATACGAATACGGTTGTAAGCAGCTTGTGAGAAACCACGAAACAAAATGAATCCATATTATTCTGCCTCAACTGTTGTTTTAGCATTCTTAAAATGCGTAAAGGGAACCAGTTATATGAATTTTATACACGAGCTTGTATCTTGAGACAGAAGTTGAAGTAATACAACCAGATGAAGGCTAATTGTTTATCTTTATGCACCAAATCACAGATTGATTTTATTTAGACTACCATGGACAGTTGTTTCTTCCTAGTATGAGACTTCAAAAGTGAGCATTTAAGACCCTGCCACCTAGGGTTGAACTCAGGACCTTCAATCTCGCGAACAAGCACTTAGCCTCTAGACCTCTGGTCGCTGCTGAGTTTCATACTAGGACGAAACAGCTGTCCAGAACTTCCCGATTATCAATGATAGTCTAAGAATAATTGGTGAGTTAATCTATTAAAATATAATAATCTGCGCAAAACCCCTATACTAATAGTTTACTATTAATTTGTTACTATAGACTATGTAATTGCTTAAACTGACAGTAATAACATTTGTTGGCATTTAAACTACTATTTTTTCTCAAGTTGCATGTTTGCTGGTGCTTGGATCGTTACAATAACTTATTGCTTATTGTATACTTTAAGTTGAGGTTGAGGAATGTTTAGTTTTGTGAACTTCATCTAACAATTGAAGTCTACCTGATGATGATAATATTGATGCAACTCGTTTATAAGAAGCCAGCCTTAAAACCCTAGAGCATTCAATTCCCACGACAAAATGTTTCGGTCTTACCCTATTATTTTTTTTAATAGCTTCACATACAATTGAGGTTTGTATGACTTTTATAACCATTTACTCAACTATCCTTAAATAGAACGAATTTCGTTGTGTGAAAAATAAATCAGGTAGTTGATTTGTTAACGGAAGCCTGATATCAGCATACAAGTAAAAAGCTGCGATTGTAGAAAACAAAAGGCTTCTGAGGTTAGATAAACCAGGGGGAATATTTATAGTTTTGACATTTACAAAAATTATATCAGTAATTTCTATTTGATAAAATAATTATAATAATCTAAAATCACAATCCATGGTTTTAATGACAAAAAATACTGGAAGAAACATCAGTCTCTTGAACTCTTTACATATACGTTTCTAATGGTGACTGATAGGTATGAAGGCTACTTATAGCAGTTCGAGTCGACCACTCTTAACGTTATACTAAATATAGTAGATTACGATTTCGTTTCTAATGACTATGGCTGACGAACATACGTTGAAAAACTGGTGAGCGATTTAGTCGATAAGTTTAATTTATTAACGTAACTCACTCACAAAATATAATCTAGTCTAGTCGGTCTCGGACTACGTTATTTTTTGTGACAGCCATTGATACGACCCGGCTGCCCAAGCAGAAGTAGGTAGGGGGAGCAGCTAAATAGTGTCACTAGGCCTCACATTTGAACTTTAACTTAAAGTCCAGTACATGAAATTATAGTTGACACATATATCCTTTGTATTTTACACATACGTTTTTTATGTTTAATTTCATCATTCTGTTTTACTACAGTGTTCTCAACTGGTTTTTTTGAAATGCTTGTTGTATTATTATCACTCAGATGTTCAGACCTGTTTTTATGTTCATAAAAAAGAGAAAGCATAACCAATTTAATTTTATAAGCCGGTTGATATTTCCAGGAAACTTATGCAATAAAGTATGGCTTAAATCCTGTGACTTTGAACTTGCTTACTAAATAAGAATAAAATGGTTATGAGAAAAACTACAACTTCACAGAATAAAAGGTAACATTTTGAATGTATGATATAATTCAAATGTTGAAATTAAAATTAAGAAAACTTTAGTGATAATTATTCAAGTAATAGGACTTTTATCAATCGAATGGAATAATTAGGCGTATATTCTCTTAAAGTTGATTAAGTCAGTCAGTCAGTCAGTAACAACGTAGAACTTCGTACGTACGTACATCAGTTCGAGTTGCCACACCACATTAGCACAGAGATACAGTGGTCGATTCAAATCCCGTAGTGATAGAGGTAATAAGAGTATAAGCAGTAATCGGGAAGATTAGGGTTTGGAGATGTTATTTAAAGAGTATAATACAGTGAAAGAAATTTGGAAAGAGGAAAAAAGGGACATGAAGAATTCAGAAGATTAGAGTTTGGGAGAACACAGAGAGTGGATGCACCTGCGCCATTGCAAACGATTTTGAGCCATGTCATTCAGGGTCTCTAACCATCGGTTGCTGTCATCTCGCGGTCCCCAACCAGGTAGTCTACACCTACCAACACGACTCAGTCCACTTGTCAGTGACTTCATGGATTTGTGCCATGTTTTGGTTTGGCCGCCCCTAGCTTTCTTCCAACCTACTCCTATACCACTGAACATAGCACGTCGAGGCAGTCGGTCGTAGGGCATACGTAACACGTGTCCCAGCCATCTCAACTGATGAAGTTTCACTACTTCATCAATTGATTTGCCATCCTTACCTAGTACCCGTTTCCTAACAACTGTGTTACTTACTCGATGGTCCTATGATATACGAGCAATGTTTCGAAGACACCTATGATCAAATAATAGTAACCTACGGATATCCTCTACTCTTACCGGCCATGTTTCACTGCCATAAAGTAGGACGGAACGAACTGCTGTGCAGTAAACACGTCCTTTGGTTGATAGACGGATATCTCGCCTACGCCATAAATGACGCAAGTTGGCAAAAGCTAGTCGAGCCTTCGGTATCCGTGCTGAGATTTCGTCACACACCAAACCACAAGGGCTGATGAGACTTCCAAGATAAGTGAAGCGGTCGACACACTCAACTACTTCACTCCCTATCACTAGTTCGGGTGTCGATGTAACCCAATCCTGAAGCAACATTTTGCATTTCGAGGGAGAGAATCGCATCCCGAACATGCTTGCATTGTTGCTTAGAGTGGTCAGAAGACTCTGCATTTTGTCAGCGTCTTCACCAAATAAAACTATGTCATCTGCATATTCTAAGTCAACAAGTGAACCTCCTGGTAGAAGTTCAACCCCTGGAAATTTAGATGAGGAGAGTGTTATCTCTAAAAGTACGTCAATAACAAAGTTGAACAAGAATGGGGAGAGTGGACAGCCCTGACGAACACCACTTGAGGTGATCAATTCTGATGACAGTTCGCCATAAGCTCTCACTCTACCAGTTGTGTTCGAGTAGAGAGCCTTTATAAGGTTAATGTACTTCTTTGGTACTCCTTTCAGTGACAAACACTGCCATAGAACCTCACGATCAACGGAGTCGAATGCCGCCTTAAGGTCGAGAAATACTACCATTGTGGGGCGTCTGAATGTGTGTCTGTGTTCTAGAACCTGACGTAGTGTGAATATCTGATCGATACAACCACGTCCAGGTCGAAAACCAGCCTGGTTTTCTCTAGTCTGCTCTTCACGAGCTTTAGTTAGGCGTCGAAGTATTATTGAGGCTAATATTTTAGACACTATATTAGTCAAACTGATTCCTCTGTGATTGTCACAAGAGGACTTTTGTCCTTTCTTATAGACTGGCACAATCAGTGATTGAGACCAGTCAGATGGGATTACGTCCAGTTCCCAAATTCTACCTAAGACCTCGGTTAATCTCATTGCTAATACTGGACCACCATCCTTAAAAATCTCAGGAGTAAACCTGTCAGGGCCTGCTGCTCTCCCTCGTTTCAGATTTCCTATGGCTTTTTCAACTTCGTAAAGGGACGGAGGACTTAGATTAACTTGCCATTCAGGTTGACTGGAGATCGTGGGAAACCGAAGTGTGGCTGAAGGCCAGTTGAACTGATCCCTAAAGTGTTCTGCCCATCGATCCAATCTCCTGGATTGAGAATGAATAATATGTCCATCTTTCTCTGAGATTGTTTCGCTAACGGTCGGGTTCCTAATTCCGGTTTCCTTAACGAGTCTAAACAATTGTCTGCTATTACCTATTGCCGCTGCCTTTTCCATCTCTCTTGCTTTCGCTACCCACCACTGTTCGCGATCATTGCGTAGACTTCTTGTCAGCTTGCGCTTAAGCTGACTCCGCTCTTCATTATGTTCAGAGCCAGGTGGAATGTGTTTCCGAGCATTTATCAGTGAGATAGATGCTGCTGAGATCCAGTGTTGCTCCCTAACCTTCTGGTTTACCTTACTAGCAGATATCGCTGCTGTTTCCACAGCTTTTCGGATATCATTCCATGCTACATCGGGGTGGGCATCACATACATGGCTGCCTAACTGTTTGCCTAGTTGTTCCTGAAATATACTCTTAGCTTGACTATCATTAAGTAGGGCCCTAAGAGGTTTCCTTGCAGCATCTTTCCTATGTCCAGTAAGACGCAAGCAAATACGCGCTCGCACTAGAGCATGATCCGAATCTAGGCATGTGCTCCAGAATGAGCGACAGTCTTCTATCGAGCCCCTCCATCGGTGGCTGATAGCGATGTGATCTATTTGGGTCCAACGTTGGGACGAATTAGGGGGTCGCCATGTTAAAAGATGTTTTTCCTTATGCTTAAAGTTAGTATTTGCAAGGAACAGGCGGTTATCTGAGCATAGCTGCAACAGACGGTCGCCATTATCTGTTCTTTGAGCCACGACACCATAGGATCCACCTAGGTGTCTTTCCTTATCGCTTAGTTTACCTACTTGAGCATTAAAGTCACCGGCCACTATTACTACATCCGAGCGCTTAGCTTTTCGGAGAAGGTCCGAAAGCTTTCTGTAAAACTCATCTTTTACATCATCTGAGCTGCAGTCAGTGGGAGAATAGGCAGAGACGACGAAGAGGCAACGACGAGTGTCCCTATCTTTCCGGATTCTTACTGTTCCGTTCAGTCGGACAGCGCACAAACGACTGTTTACTGGGATCCACTCTAAGAGAGCTAGTCCTGCCCTAGGACTCAATGCTATACCTACGCCGGCGAGGCCACGGGAAGCAGAATCAGGGCTTCCAGATACACGAAGCGTAAATCGAGTCGGTTCTTTATTTTGGCATGGTGAGGTCAAATGAATGACACTACTTGGATCCTGTATGCGCGTTTCGGAGACGCAGCACACATCGATGGCGCGAGATTCTAAAGTTTTAGCTAAGGAAGCCTGCTGTCCTATTTGGCAAAGTGTTCGTACGTTAAAAGCTCCTACGTGTAGTTTAGAGCGTGGTTTCAGGAGACCAGGAATGGCGTTCCACGTACTCGAATCGTTTGCCCTAGCGGTGCGAGGTGATAAAGAGACGTGAGGAGGGTTAGTCGGGAGGATAAGAGAGGTATTAGGAGGTGTAGGAAGGATTTGAATGTGACCACCTTGGTCTCTTGTGCTGTTACGGGTATGAGGGCTGATGTCACTTCCCGGCTGCCCACACCGTGGAAGGGTATTTCTTGAGGAACCTGAAAAGGAAATTGGATTAGTGTTGGTCTTGACGACCTGGGAGCGTGACCGCAGAGCCCAAGGGACAACTGCTTGAGGCCGGTCGCGCACGGCCTTTTTGTGGAAGGTTTTTGACGTGTTAGCTCCGTTCTTCAAGGGGCCTTACCGCCGGAGACGGAAATCCGTGAGGTAAGGTGAGGTATGCATTTTTAGGGTCGACCTTTTCTAACCCCACCCCTCCTTGTGGGAAGGCAGCATCGCTGTCATGCTGGTTGTCCGAGGGAAACACCTTACTGCTGTCACACCTCTCTACAGTCAGCAGTACGACTTCGCCCTCAGACCTTGAGTTGCTGCTTTTAGTCTTACCGTTCGCCAATCGACCAGCCTGGCATGGTAGAACCTGCAGGAACATATGTTCCAGCCAATATAGCTCGGTTGGGTCATCACGATAGGCAAGCCCGACCACCGCGTCAAGGTAGCAGCTTCGATCGGGTAAATCAATATCCTTTTAGTTATTACTAATAGTTGTAAATTTTGTAAGTTAGAAATATTGAGCAAACAATAAAAAGAGTTCAAAAATAAACCCATATAACAAACATACTTCACGTCTGGAGTATATACGAGAAAGGCCAATATCTTGAGCAATTTGTTTCACTTGGGTTTTTAATAGATCGCCAACTGGAAACATACAATATGGAAGTTCTTTGTGAGAAATCTAGGATAAAAATTAAAGTAAAAAAATTCATATTAGATAAATCACAAGTCTAATTATCCAGTCGAGTGATTAGAATCCTTGGTTAGTACTGAAGCGACTTAGGTTCAATTCCTGGATGAGATGTTATACTGCCGGTATGGAAAATAATGGTTTGAATATTCGACTTTTAACTATTGGCATAGCATTTAGAGTGCTACTGTTGTGAAGTAAAAGCTTAGTGATGAAATCATATGGATTTCAATCAGTAGCTCGCAGATCCGAAATCCTAGTGGCATCATTAGGTGTTTCCACAACTGAGTCAGTTATCGCATCAGAGCACGTTAACTTGTGCTTATTATATGTAATACAAGTCCTGATGTCCCATCTTATATGTGAACAAGCAAATGAAATTACCAGTTGTTGAACGATAAGTGTGGCTAGCATTCTAGGACATGAACAAATAATATATTGCTGTTACATCATAATTTTGTGGTTCACATCACAGAGTACCATTGAATCTAGGTAACAACGAACAACTGTTTCGTTCTAGTATCAGACTTTTCAGTAGTGCGAGTCAGCGACCACACGGAGCATTGCAATTACCTATTCTTTGTAATACACTGACAGTGAACGTAATTCTTTACTAGATGAAAGAGTCAGTCAGTCAGCTACAACGTAGGACCAGGCACATATATGCATCGGTCCAGGTTGCCATACCTCATTAGCACAGCAAGATGAACACCGGATTCATAGGAGTGGTTAGGTCAAAGGTGGTAATATATAAAAGAAAGATTGCATATAAGGATACAGTACAGGAAGAAAGAAAGATATGAAGTGATTTTAATCTCTTAGCTTAAGGGAAGACAGGGAGTGTATAAACCTACGCCATTGTGATCGATTCTGAGCCACGTCACTAAGATTCTCTAACCATTGGTTACGATAGTCACACGGACCCCAACCAAGTAGTCTGCATCTACCAACATGGCTAAGACTAGAAGTTAGTGTCTTCAAGCACTGATGCCACGTTTTGGTTTGACCGCCCCTAACTTTCTTCCAACCATCTCCAATACCGGATAGCATTGTACGTCGTGGTAGTCGGTGTTCAGGCATACGTAACACGTGGCCCAACCATCTCAGTCGATGAAGAGTCATAACCTCATCGACTGATTTACCATCATTCCCTAATACCCTGTGTCTAACCTCACTATTACTTACCCGGTGATCCCAGCAATATTTCTAAGGCATCTGTGGTTAAATACTAGTAGCTTACGAGTGTCTTCTACTCTTAATGGCCATGTTTCGCTGCCGTAAAGTAAAACAGAACGAACTGCCGCGCAGTATACTCGTCCTTTTATTGATAGACGGATATCTCGCCTTCGCCAAAGGTGACGTAAGTTGGCAAAAGCCGAACGAGCTTTTCGAATCCGTGCTGAGATTTCGTCCGATACCAGCCCATTAGGGCTGATCAGACTTCCAAGATAAGTGAAGTTGTCGACGCGTTCGACTACTTCACTCCCTATCCTTAGTTCAGGTGTTGACGCAGACCAGTCCTGAAGCAACAACTTGCATTTAGAGGGAAAGAAGCGCATTCCAAACATTCTGACATTGTTGTTCAGTGCTACCAAAAGACTCTGCATTTTATCAGCGTCTTCACCAAACAGGACTATGTCATCCGCGTATTCTAAGTCCATAAGTGGACCTCCTGGTAGGAGATCAATACCCGAGAACTCAGTAGACGAGAATGTTATTTCCATCAGTAGGTCTATGATGAAGTTAAACAGAAATGGAGAAAGTGGACAGCCTCGACGGACACCACTTGAGGTTGCAAAAGTAGATGACAGTTCGCCATAAGCTCTGACTCGACTAGTAGTGTTCGGGTAAAGAGCCTTTACACGGTTTATGTACTTCTGAGGTAGGCCTTTCAATGACAGACACTGCCACAGAATCTCGCGGTCTACCGAGTCAAATGCTGCTTTTAAGTCAAGAAAGACCACCATTGTCGGACGTCGATAAGTATGCCTGTGTTCTAGAACCTGACGAATGGTGAATATGTGGTCGATGCAACCACGACCAGGTCTGAAGCCAGCTTGGTTCTCTCGTTTTTACAGTTCACGAGTCTTAGTTAGACGTCTGATAATTATCGAAGCTAGTATTTTAGATATTATATTAGTTAAACTAATCCCTCTGTGGTTGTCAAAGGATGATTTTGACCCTTTCTTATATATTGGGAAGATAAGTGATTGTGACCAGCCAGATGGGATAAAGTCTAACTCCCAGATCTTAGCTAAAATATTAATCAACCTAATCGCTAAAATTGGACCACCATCCTTAAAGACTTCTGGAGCCAATCCATCTGGACCAGCTGACCTTCCTTGTTTCAGATTAACTATAGCCTTTTGAACTTCTGCTAGAGTTGGGGGACCTACTTCAATGTTCCATTCACACTGTCTGGGAATGGAGGGTAGTTGTAGAGTAGCTGAAAGCCAGTTGAACTGTTCCCTAAAATGTTTCGCCCATCGTTCTAAACGTCTGGACTGTGAGCAGATGAGAGTATCGTCTTTTTCAGCTAAACGGCTCCGTAAGATGAAAGAATATCTAACACTAACAGAAAATTGACTTGATGGGTAAATGCTGATAAGCAATTAAGGTATTTCTGAAATACTTCATGTTAGTTGATAATACTTTTTACTACACAGTAATATCAAACTTACTTGAAAAGGAAAACCTGACATCTAATAACTTAGCAATTTTAGATTACATTGGATCAAACTGAACGAAAAATTTATCTCGTTCAAAATAAACAAAACACAGTTGTTCTATTTAAATCGATGTCCGTAGATCATAAAAACAATTGGTTATTTATAATGTTTGTAACAAACTGATAAAACTATGTAGCCACACCAATTCGGTGCTTCCGCACTGGGTTTTAACGCTAGCAACCTAGTACTTTTTTATTTGAAATTTATTATTATCAGTAAACCATATTTGGAATATTGAGTTCCACTTTTAACTAAGTAAAGATGAAAGGAGTTCACATCGAAGTGTCCTAACGGAAACGTTTGTTTCTACTTAGCTGATCTTCGATCATACTTCATATGATTTTGAGATGGTGAAGATTTGTAGCTCAGGTGGATGATTTTGGTTTCGTTTTGTTCTCTGACCAATCCATCCAGCTCAGAGAACAAAACTCCACCAGAATCATACTTCATCTATTTCTGTATCATCATGCTAAAACACAAATGCTGTTTCTGTTTTAAACGAAAGGCAGATAATTTATGTCTGTATCGTAGGATCACTATCAACTCTTACAGTCGATAGCCAAAATGTCTGGTCTTTCACTCTATCAACAGAACGTAATAATCTGGCCTCAATATTGTCCTTTCGGTATTGCAGATAATTCCCAAAAGAATTTTGACAGTAATGGCCAGTGGCAATTGCGTCTGCAGCCAAATTTGAAGATGCTTGAACGTCATCATCAGCGCATTGGTTCTTGCTTTTTAACACTGCCCTTGTTAGCAAATTGAATTTTACAAATCTATTACACAATATATCTGGATTTGGTGTAGCTCCCTGCTCATAGGACTTGATAAGCGGTCTAAATAAGTGAAATAACCGGCATTATGATAATCCGTATATAGAAATGAAACACTTACAAAAACACGTAATTCCAATATTCTTTAACAAAATTTTTCTCGAAAAAAGGTATCCCCAAATGATCACAAACAAACTGAGCATCTTGACGGTCTTTGTCTAAAGAACAGTCAGTATTTTCATCCAAGGAATCCCAGTTAGTCATAAATACACCTTTGACTTGAAATCCTGAAGTAATGTACAAATTCGTCGTAAAAAATAATCTACCTCTCTTCTTGAGAAGATATGCAGATACAGCACTATCTACACCGCCTGATATTGCACAGACAACTGAATGGATAGAGTTTACATATGTAACACAACTGAGGTTTGAACCGAACCAATTGAACAGATTTCGGCGTTTCAACATCCTACAGGAGATCAGAGGGTTACGCTAGGGAAAATCGGGATACATTATTGGAAACTGAAAAAAGAATTCATACATCACGACCTCATCAATTATTACTACTTTCTAATTATAACGTCAGTAACGACTGAATTTATTTAGAGAAGTTGTACACTTCATTCGTCAGATCAGTTCAGGTGAACATTCATCCAAATCCTGTGGCCAGCAACTGAATTCCAGTGCTCATGTACTAGTCAAATCATACTAAATTATAAACATTCAAATACCAGGCATGAATCATGCAAGAGACACAAGACTATTACTAAGGAATTATTAAGACAAAAAAGCAAACAGTCGTAGTAATGAATATTACCTTAAACGTTATTTTAATTATTAAAGACTCTGAAAAGTAATATATTAACTGATGTAGGAAATATATCCCAATCAACTAAAAAAGGCGGAACGCACCAAAATGACTCCTATTTCGCCAGTCCGAGGTAAATAACGCGGAATCCACACTTTTTGTGCCTCTCTCCGAAATGCCGCTGAATTGTTTAATTTTTCCCTCCGTATAAGCCAAAATATCTACTTCTCAGAAGCTGTCTATCCAGTACAACAACATATTTTTGCTGCTAATGAAAACGATATCTGGCTACCTTTATTTGGTTTTCAAAGTTACCTTGATGTGGAACCAGAAACAACACATTCAAGAATCAATTGCGAGGATTACTCTTGCAGGTCAAATTACAGTCGACAAATTGGTGTGACGGTAATAAAAATCCAGAACTTGGCTCAAATTCGGAGGCCAAATTACACCACTTGTTGTACCATAGCTCAACAAAAGTTTATTATTTTATGCAGAGCATAAGTATTTTCAACTAATCTCTCTACTCATTGACCTAGATCGGGTAAGAAGCACTTTAGCCTACAGAGCTACGTAATGCGTGGGAGAAATTAAACTTTTATTGCCGGAATGTCTGTCGTTGCTGCGTCAATAAGTATCGATCTCCGCGAAATCAAGGGGCAACGACTACACAATACTGATGTGTCCCTGTTCAAAATAAACTGTTATTCGATAAGGTTATACTGAAACGATCATCTATATATTTGAAGATGTGACAAACATGCGAGATTCCAACAGTTGTAATATTCAGCACAACCAAATGCAACTTTCGAATGCATTGACTGAATCGCATCGTATAACAAATGGAATGATTATTTAGTGGCATTTCTAAAAAATACCAGGTGACGCACACACACAATAAGCATCTTCAAAGAGCTCTAATTCCTACAAAATACCTATTTCCGTTATGAATAAAAAACACAAACGATACAACCTCGTTATAGTAACTCCCGCTAAACCAAAAACTACGGACAATTAATGATAACCTGAAAGAAGTGGATAAAATACTCTTTTCTTTGGTATATTTGTGCAGGTGAGATTCGTCTCTTAATTATCAGGCCAATATAAAGCACAGCAGTGAGTCCTGTATTACTCTGAAGTTGTGAAATATAGCTTAGGGGAGTAGATATGAGTCAGCTTCTAATATTTGATCCTAGATACTTTGGAAGTATTAATGAGGTCCGCTAACCCCACCCCTTCAGACCCCATTATGACAAATATGAGCACTTGGACTTCTTTGCTTTCGTTCAGCCAACTTTCTCCGCCGTATGATAGCTTGAAACAGTACGTGCGTTATACTTTACATTTTCATAACTAAACGAATTCAGTCTAACTTAATAACATACCACTGGTTGGTGAGCGTTTTGGAAACAATAGAAAACCATAAGCCGACCGTAAATGCTTGAATCAGCCGATAAGACCAGTTTCTAGTCGTTCTAACGTGTATCTAGTCATGCGATAAAAACTGTACACTAGTTAGTATCGTATATATCACATGGTTGAAAAAAGTAGGTAGCATACTCGGAGTTTGAAAAATTTTCCCTATAAAACGAGAGATGTGAGCCCCGTCATCTACCGAAATGAAACTTCACCTAGAAACACAATTATATATATATATGGAGTGAGTGACATTGCACGAATCCCTTTCAGACACCTCAAATGAGCAGAAAAATGCATTTAAAGTCAACGAATTGCTGGCACTTGCACAACAGGTTAACAATTAGCGCAATACTTTTGGTAATTTTAGTTCCAGCACAATGACTTCATTTTCAGCCAACCAATACACACTTCCAGAAAAAATATTTGTCAGCTTTAATTTAAAAGCCATTTTTAACGTACAAATTTTATCTGCATGTTAATTCAGAGGTATTCATAACCAAAATATCTTGGACAACACGACTTAGCCTTGACATACTCAACCGTCAGAGATCAGCTGTTTACCTACTTTAAATCATTTAAACTTCGGCCTGAAATTGCTCAATGTACAAGTAGCCCGAATATTCAATCTTTATGAAGCTGAAACCAAGAACGCATTGTTTCGTGGATTCTGAGTCTAAGGCTTTGTAGGTTAGTTATTTGTTCAAATTATAGAATACTTTTTTATCTTGATCCTACAATAATCGAAAATAATAGCTGAAAGTAGGAATCCAATATTGGTTTCTGATAATTGTAAACAGATTGAAAAGAGCCATCACTAGGTATGAACTTGATAGCGATAAACAAAACAGAAACAAAAATGTTGTAATAGACGGTGCTACACAGCACAAACACACTCATTTCTGAGTAGGTACGATCCCAATAGACCCACACGTCACTTTTAGTCTATTTGGTTATTTTCAGAAAAGATCTTCAGTCCTCAGTAATAAGGATGGTAGGTTGGTGAACCTGTGTTAATCCTAACAGATTGCCTTCCAGTGAAGGTTCAGCTTCTCCTTGAAAATATTCACTGGTGGGGATGATACCACTTGTTCGGGTAAGGCGTTCCAGTTATTGACTACTGGATGAGCAAAACCGAACCTCACTTTAAGTTTATTAGGTCGCGATTTATGAACCTTCTTGCTATGGCCTCGGAGATTATTAGTGCTGGAGGGAGCAAAAATATAGAACATATTAACACTCAAATCATAATTAAAGATACAAAATGCCAGTATAAGATCACCTCGCGTCCTGCGATACGACAAGGGGAAATGTTTAGGCGTTTTAAGCGCTCATCGTAGAGGAGTTTAGAAAGACCCTTCACTAATTTTGTTCCCACACAATGAATACGCTCAAGTGAGTTAGTGTCCTTTATCAGACATGGGCTAGCAGCTTGGATACAGTACTCTAAGCGTAGTCTTACATAGGTAGGATATAAAATGAGAAACATTTCCTCGTCAAAGCATTTGAATGCTTGGCGAAGTGACCGTAATGCACGAAAACCTTTGATAGCAGCTGCGCTGCACTATGTAATTTTTTTCAAGTCATGAATTATTATTGCTCCTAAGTCTTTATGTTCTTGAACGCTTGGAAGAGATGTACCATCAATAGTATACTTGTAACTATTACCGTGTCCGATGTGCATGAGCACACTCTTCCTAGAACCAACTTATAAGCCCCAACCTTGAGCACATCTAACTGATTAATCCAAGTCACCTTGAAGATCCAAGTGATCAGCCTCATTTCTTATTGTTCTCCAGATTTTGACATCATCAAACAGTAATGTCGACGACTTAAGCAACAGCATAATTCATTAGCTTAGATAAGGGAAAGTAGAGGGCCTGAGATAGTGCCTTGGGGTACACCACTTTTGACCGGCTTGTATTCAGATAGCATTGCATTGACCCTCAATCTCTGTCTGTGGCCACATAAGACGTTTCCCATACATTCCTGTACGGCACCTATTATTCCGAAGCTCGAGAGCTTCTGCATAAGACCTAAGTGTGAAACCCTGTCAAATGCTTTGTTAAATTCTATGAACATCACATCGGCAGACAGACCGTTATCTATGGCTGCTTTTCAATCCCCTCTCGCAATAAGTTAGTCAAGCATGAACGCTTGTTACGAAACTCATGTTGCTTGGGAGTTAACAGATCAGTCAGTCAGCTACAACGTAGGACCAGTCACATATATGCATCGGTCCAAGCTACCATACCTCATTAACACAACAAGAAGGACAGCGGATTCATAAAAGTAGTTAATTCAGAGGTGGTAATGTGTAAAAGAAAGATTGCAATAAGGATACAAATTGTATATCGTGTGTTCTAAACTTAAAGTACAGTGCAAAGTTGTCACTATTCACCAGTGGGGGAAGGTGCTGAGCGTCGACGGCATCCTCACAGTGGTGTGCGAGGACAAGGTCCAGCAATGACGAGTCATGTTCCATGTCAATATGTGTCGGTTTTGCGATACGTTGTACAAGTGCACACTGAATAATAGTTGATAGAGGGTCTCTATCGAAACCCTCACCTGGAGCTGTAAGCTCTATCCAGTTGATATGTGGTGCGTTGAAGTCACCAATGATGAGACTACATTCTGCCTTACTCCATGAGCAGATGTGTCTAAAGATAAAGTCGTCAGCAAGACAACACGGACTACGGTATATTCCTCCTATAGCCAATAACCCAATTCTGGACTTCATTGTGGAACATTCTACCTCACATGTACCACTAACATGACAAGGATCTTTGGCAGGTATATGGGAACTATCTTTTCATGAAACAAGGCCTACTTTTGACAGGTTCAACAATAATTAATTTCACAAACGATAACATTTTGCACGGTGTTCCTTCTGAACACATTATTTCACTAATTCTCGTAGTTGTACGCAGTGAGAAAATTCCAATTTCCTGAACCATATGACTGCAGAAACACAGCCACTTATCTAGCGAAAATACTTGATGATGACGTTTAATAACCTTGTGATAAAGTATCATGAAGTATTCACTGAATGTTGACTGGTTTTTACATATTTGCAGCAATACGGAAAATGGATAGGTTGTGCTGACTGGTGTAAATTATCATGATAGTTTTATCTCCAGCCGTACTAGGTTTTGTAGTGTGTAATGCGATTCTTTCTTAATTGGCAATATGTTTGACGATCAAATGTTTGGGACGAACATAATGACAAGAAAGGGACGCTAGC